CTTCCTGTCTGTGTTTGTCGGCTGAAAGGGCCTTCGATTCGTTTCGGGCACAGTCCATTTGGGATGGAAATATTTGCGCCAGCTGGGTGTCTGTTTGACGTCATGCATTTGTGCGCCGGTGGAATGCGTCTTGGCAGTGTTAACGTTAACCTTAGCAAAGCGTGAATGAGATATTTAAAGCGCAGCGTGCTCAAGTATGCCCATTTATCAGCGTTTCACGCGGCCATTAATTATCGCCATTGTACCGTGTGCGCATCAAGTGCACCTTGGCCGTCTTCCCAATGGGAATCACAAGGTCAGCGTTGACCTTTGCACCCGGCGTCAAGGGCGCCTAGCTAGCTCCCATCCTTCTCGTTAGCGTTCTCCCATGAAGGCTTCTCCGTGGGAAATTGCTGCTTTTCCGTGAATTTTCTTTCTTTCTCATTGAATTTCAAGAGCGTCTGCTTAAGGGGCTTCAATATAAAATAAATTATATAAGAATAAATCCGTAAAGAATTAGCAAAATCAACTAATAAAAATAATGTTACATATATATTGATAATAAAAATAATACTACATATATATTTGTTACATATGTAGATAAATCAGAAATAAATTACATACATAAAATTTTTGCGGATCGTTTGTAATTGTATGGTGACTTGTTCAATAGTTCAGTACGAGTGTGTTGAGGAATTAATTGGGGAAGCGGTAGGATAGCGTTGGGGATGGATAAGTAGGACGAGCGTCGAGGGAGCGCCATCCGCGGGACAGAGCGGTCAGCCGCGGTCCCTGGCGTCCGTTTTACGGCCGGCGCTGACCCACGCGTCTCCCGGCGCCCTGCTCCGCCGCCACCGCCGCAATCCCGCTAACGACGCGCTGTCCTTGCTGCAACCGGGAAGAAATCCCGGTCGATTAGGTGCCGCTTTATTGACATAGGTGTCACTGTGTAAGTGCGCCTCTCTTTCCAACCGAGTTCGCTGACCGCACTCAGTACACATATCAATTTATCCGTTTTCAGCAAAAAATTGACAGACGTATATAAAAAATGGATACATATAAAAATAAATATTATTTTCACTATGTAAAAATCCAGGTCCTGCGTTTTTAAAAATGTCTTGTGAAAAAATGTCCATTAAAAATGGTTTCAAGTTCACATGAAACTGGTACATTTGCAAGCAAACAATATTATTTTCATTGAAGATGGCATTAAAACTCGTATTGGTGTGGACAGAACTGGATTCCTTGTTGGCAATACCTGCATTATTAATACTGGAGCAAGTTTGCCGAGGCAGGCAACCGTGGCCGATCGGTTGGCCGGAATGGGTGACTTGTTATTTATTGACCGTTGCTTTTGAGAACTGACCGTCTCCCACCAGTGTATATACACTGTACAGTGTGGACAGTGTAGCGGAAGAAGTGGCCCTGGCATTCTTTCATTCTTGGCCCGCTTGTATTGCTTTGAATTATTTGTGGTGTATGGGCCTATCATGCTCATCAAAGGCTATCAAATAGCCGTCTCCGGCCACTTGACCGATATCGCTCTCACATACACATATCTACAGTACGTAAGAGATCCCTTCACGTCAACACTCCCTTTCACCAAATAATCACCGCGATTCTTCACGCAATGCATCGTTTAATAACCTCTCACTGTGCCGGCGTATTTAATATATTTTTAATATTTTTTTCCTTAATATTTAAGCACTATCAAACGTATGTTTTAAAATAATTTTTTTCAAATTTTAACTTCGCCATAAACACATTGCGTGACGTTGAGGAAAAGCAGAAACGCCGGCTCGGGCTGCTTGTAAACAGCAGCGTGATCGTTTATGACTCGTGAAGATATTATATATAATTATAACATTGCGGCGGATGATGGGAACGCGGTGACGACTGCGGGTCTGTTGTGGTCGCTGTTGACAGGCAGTTGCGTAAGGGATCCCTGCCAAGCTAGGTAAAGTGGGTCAGGTCGACGGCGACCAGCCGAGCAGATTACTCCTGCCGCTCGAAATAGACCTCTTCTTCAGATAAACCGTGCAGTGCTCCAGCGGATTACGACGCAGGTTATTCTGTTCGTTGTGTCCCTTTTCCGCCCCAACCAATCTTTAATGCACAACAAACACCGCGATTTCATCCCGAAATTGCACGTGCGCCCGGAATTAGCCGGGCATGCCTAGTATTATCAACGCTCGTTGCGTATTCCCAGGGGAGGAAAAAATGCTGAAATATATAAACGTGATTGTCGCTTTCTTAAGAATGCAGTGGAGAATGGAGTGAATGGGAAAGCGAGGAAGCGATATTGCTTTAGTCAGTGGTTGAATGGAGAGGAATATTGGATGTTATTGTTGGTGAAAGAGCGGCAGAAGGGGCCGGGGAAAGCTAGTCTAAGGAAGCCCTACTGCATGCGGCACAGGCCCGTCGCTATCAATCAATCCGCCGCAATTACGCCCGGCCTGCGCAATAGCACTAAATGTAACCAGAGAAAATCGCCATAACAAAAGAGTGCTGGCGGACAAAGCGCGAGCTTAGCTTACAAGTGAAATTCCATCCAGCGCCCCAGGTGGCTGCCAGCCTGCGGGCGCTGCCCGTGTGTGCGGCCCCCCAAAACAATCATCGCTGCATTCTGTCAACAAATACACCGTGTTCCTGCATAGTTTTACGCTTTTAGTCAAATACGAAAAGGATAATATTAGTGGATGGCTGTCAACACGGATAGCGTAGAGGTGGTGTGAGGTGAGCTGCTGGACACTGGGCAGCGCAGCAGCAGGATGCATCACTCATTCACTGCGGGCTGCCTGCATTCACAACTGAGACAGACAGAGAAGCGCGCGTGTCCTCAGGTGTCCGCTATATCCGTTATATCCGCCACCGGTCAACTGAGTGCGTCCTCAGTTGTCCGCTATATCCGCTTGCGTTGAACGTCCTCAGATGCCCGGTCTTGGCTTACTTTTCCACGTCATATGTATCTTTTTGTATCGCCATACAAGACAGCGATCGCAATAATACAACCGCCTACTGATGTAACCAGAAAGGAAAATATTTATGCTGCTTTTGCTGCACAAGTCAAAGCCATGACACAATGCAAACACGCCGGCAATAACAGTGTCATATTAATACGGCCAAGCACAGCCAAGCGTATTGCGCGGATTAAGGCCGGGATTAGGGATAATCCGCAAACACGACGCTATCATATCGCATCATATCAGATCATATCGGCCCTTCCGTCATGCCAGAATCGGCCGGCCAGCGGAATGACCAACCGGTCATTCCGCTGGCTAATCCGCCTTGAGCGAGATCGCTCGCTCTCCGCTCGAGGCGGTTTCATTTTCCTAGAGAAGCGCAGTGTGCACAAATTTGCATATCATTGATATTACCGTTTTATCTCATCATCAACACTCACACCGGATACTGTCAATCAGCCGCACAGCGCGGCCCTCATCTCCCCTCTCGCCCGGCGTATTGACCATCCCTTAATTAATCCTAACGGCAGTAATTACGTATAAGGCTTTATTGCCCATAATCGGCGAAAAAAGCAAGAGCAGCGCTAGTGTAAATCATTTTAATGCCTTTTTAATGAAGTTGGGATGTTTATGCTGGGAAGAAGGGAGAGGGGAATAGCAGGCAGCACGCACGAACGACTGCGCACAATCCCGCATCGCGATGGGATCGGGCCGGAGTGACAGGAGCAGTGGCGTCGCTGGCCTGGTGTCAGTCAGATGCGGGATAATCCGTGCTCCTGTCGTCCCTGTGCAGCCGGGCCAAACGCAGTCCATTCAGCTGTCTAGACGCGCTGTTATGCTGCCCGTATTGTCCACTTCCCGGGCGAAACAGGGATCACTGGCCGGCATGCATAATGCGGCCTCTGCATAATATTCTCCCCTTGCATAAATATTGTTGTGCTAATGGATTGACTTTTCTCACGCTGATCGGCGCTGGGAATAACTGCGCGCGATGCGCAACCTGGCAGTAAATGGCGCGCGTAAAGCGTCATCGTTAGCGTGTAATTAAATCCTGGCTGACCTAATAGTTAATTGCGTTGCCAAGCGGCGTTGGGGGAGCGGGGCCGTTTTCGGGCGGGAGTTGATGAGGTTTTTGACCCGGCAGTGGCCATGTAAATGCGGAGCGATGCCGGTCAGGACGGGCTGCAGCTGATTGCGCCGGCGCGCCACGGGACGCCGCTAAATTGTCCTCTCATCCTGCGCGGCGCATCATCATCCGCCGGCCAGCAGCAACAGCAGCGAACGGGCTTCGGCCGCTGCTCATCCCGCTTTGCGCCCGTGGTGCGCAATCATCGCCCCTCGATCGATATTAATTCAAATCTTTTAATCACGAGTCAGGCAACTTGAAGGTTTCTTTGGCTGACCTGCGTTCGGTGATCTTTGCTTGAGACCACCACGGGTGGTTAGCTTATGTGCAGGTGAATGAAACAGCAATGTGGCGAAAGGGAAAAGGAAGAGTCGGGCGTTGGATGCGGCCGGCTAATGCTAACGCTAATGGGCGGCATGATTCAATCAGGGAAGCATCGGTCATTCCCTTGTTTGTCGCTCCCGCGGCACTCATTAGCGCCGCATAACTAATCGCCGCTAAACGCTCACAGCCATCTAAGTGTACTTACATAAAAAGGCGCTTTTGGACAGCGGTCAACGTCTGTTTTTGCGACGATCGTTGGTTACAGTGGCGCAGGTTTCACGTAGAGTTGCATATATACGCGCGTCTTGGCTTGTCTGATACAGTATCGGCACGCTGGTCAATGACTGTTTGTCCTACTTAATTCCCATGTACACTGTCTTCCTTTCTGGGTGGTCTCGGCCGGGAGAGATTGTTTGCGCTGGAGAGTCACTTCTGCCGCTCTCTGGCCCGCGCATTCAGGCCGGGTCAGTTTACCCATGACCAACATGTACGCTTCTGTACACTGCACTGTCTTGTAATATTATATTTATCGCCGCTTTGTTTCGCGCATCGGATGACAACGCATGTATCGATCGCATATATAAAGTTGATGACGTTGTGCATTGCAGCTGTGATGTGCGAGGAGATCCCCGCCGCGAACCCGGCGCCCGAGGGCGCGGACACGCCCAGCTCGGAAGAGACCAGCGAGGCGGCGCTGCCGCCGGCGACCATCGCCACGCAGGGCCAGCTGCTGAACGTCAAGGTGGGCGACCGGCTGGAGCTGCCGTGCGAGGTGGAGAACGTGGACAGCGGCGTGGTGGTGTGGCGGAAGGGCGCCAAGGCCCTCAGCAACGGTCCCCGCATCTTTAGCCGCTCCGGGCATCTCAAGATCGAGGTCAAGGGCCGCAACTACAACCTGGTGATCAGCAAGGCGCGGACGGACGACAAGGGCCAGTACACGTGCCTCGTGGAGCAGGAGAACGCCGTCAACATCACGCACACCGTCACCGTCACCTGTAAGCCTTCTACTTCCGGTTGTAATATTTATACTTGGTCTGATCAGTTTGATTATAGACCCGCCGACGGTGGACGTGCAGCCGCTGCAGGACAGCACGGAGATCCCCAAGGGCGACTCCTTCTCCGTCTCCTGCATCACCACCGGCGAGCCGGAGCCCAGCGTCACCTGGAAGCTCAAGGTGGGTCCCGCCGCCCGACGTCGGCGCTGGTTAACTAGGTAAAACGTCACTTGCGGTTGCAGGACGAACTGGGGAACAGCCGCGAGCTGCCGGACTTTGCCGGGATGCGCAACATCACGGTGGAGCAGTTGAGCCGCGCGGACGCCGGCGAGTACCACTGCGTGGCCGACAACGGGGTCGGCGAGGCCGTGTCCAGCAGCGTCAAGATCGTCGTCACCTGTACGTTCACTTCCGCCTTCTTTAACGCTCGTTCTTACCGTTTCCGGTGTGGTTGCAGTCCCGCCGGAAGTGAGCGAGACCAAGAGCTTGTTCTTAACGAAAGTGGGCGGCGACGCCAGTCTGCAGTGCGTCTTCTCGGCGTACCCGCCCGGCGAGGTGCAGGCCAACTGGTACCGCATGGACAAGGCCGTGGATGACGCCGCCAGCGCCGACGGCTTCAGCAAAGTGGAGGTGCGTAACGCGGCCAGGGTCGCAGATTGATAAGGAGAGTAATATGTTGATGATGTTGCAGGTGGGGGCGGACGAGCGGCACGCCATCCAGACGGACGCCCAGGGCTCCACCATCACCACCACGCTCACCGTGCGCAACGTCGAGGAGACCGACCTCAAGAAGTACGAGTGCGCCATCCGCAACGACAAGGGCGCCGCCGAGCACAAACTCGAACTCTCCGGTCAGTTGAGTCAGGAGTGCTGCTGATAATTAACTGAATTAACAAAAATAAATTGGATTTTATTATTTGGAATTGAATCTAGTTTTTAGATTTAAATTAAAATATTTAATTATTAAATATATGTAAAGGTACGGTATACCTAATAAGATTTATGTTTATTTTAAATAATTGTTTATAATTATATTAATAATTTATCTAAATATTTAGTAATTTTGATAACTGATGACGTTAATACTTGATGACCTTTACATATACAGCCCACGCCCACCCCGAGAAGGTACACCCGGCGGAGAGGCACAAGGAGCCGCAGGTGTACGGCGTGAAGATGCGCGTCAAGTCCATCAGTCCGGTGAAGCAGTACCGCATCATTTACCGCGAGGTGGCCGCTTAACATTGACACTAACATGGACTACTTAATTAAAGACTGTTTGGTCTGCATGACAGATTAACGAGACGCACGAGGGCGACGCGAAGGAGGAGCTGCTGGCCGGCGACGAGAAGGACGTCGTGGAGACGGAGAACGGCGTGAAGGTGTACGAGCGCGTCTACATCATCAAGAACCTGCGTCCGCTGGCCAACTACACCATCAAGATGGCCGCGCAGAACGACTACGGCTGGAGCCGCGACACCGACATGCACCGCTTCTCCATGGAGGACCCCACCAAGTCCGCCGCCAGCGGCCTGCAGGGCGGACCCACCGGTAGGTCGACATGTCGGCTCACTAAACGCTCAACTGCCGCTACGGGCGATTTATTATTGTTTTACCGATACGTTATTAACCGGCATCGGCAGTACATTTACTGTAATTTGTTGTAGTTCTCTAAATTTTACTGTAATGTTTTGCGTTTTGCATTCAAAATTTGTATTTTTCCATCTAATTTACTTTTTTTGTTTAACTTATAAAATAAACATTTATGTTTTATTCAGATCATACGTCAACCGGCATTGGCTGACAATGCAGTTTTGCGAGTACTTTAAAGTTTTTTGTATACTTTTAATTTGGCACTTTTATTTGACTATCTCCAACAGGCATCGGCTCTATATTGGTTTCACATTTACTTTAGCTTGTCTATTATAAGCGTAACTTAACGTTTTTACTATGCTTCATAATTCTGATCTTTTTATCGAAAAATATAAATCAGATTTTATTTTATAAGAAATTTTTTTTAATGATGAAGATTTTGGTTGTTTCTTTCAGTCGTAATTATAACTAATTATGTATGCGAAGTGTCAAACACCACTAAAAATACATCTTTTTATCGGCATCTGTTTTGCTGCTTTGTACATTAACATTAATTTGTCGGTTATTTATGGCACAGTACAATTATGATACTCGGATACATAGTTGTATGTACATCGGCTACATGTAAAGTACATGTACATAATTTTACGTTTTTACCTAGCTTAGATTTCAGCTGGCTTCGGCTTAATTAAACATTTTTATTGTATTTGTATCTGTACATACAGTTGGACAACTTGGACGTAATGGTTGCATGTGTAGGGTCGTCGATGATATTCTGCCGGAGCAACCTGCTGCTGCTGTCGAACGTGCTCTTGTGCTGGCTGCTGGCCCACGCCGCCACGCACTGGCCCGCCAGGCTCGCCTAACCGCCGCACCGGGCAGCAACGGAACAGCGCCGGACATCGGCGCTGAACGAGACTACGACTGAACCAAAGATGACCGTTTCGTTTTGTTGGGTGGGGGAAATTATAAATTCTACGGGGAATGGCACACTGCAACGGATGGGACGGGACTGGACTGCACTGGCCAGAGACGTTAATTTTGTTGAGTTGCCCGCGCCGGCTGTCACTACGGCAACCGCCCGGGACGCCGCCTCTTCTGTTTCTCTCTTCTGAATCTGCATCGTCTGCGCGCCCTGCTCATCGCTGCGCTGATCCGCTTCTGTTTCCGCCTCGCTTCGCTTCGCTCGTCTGCTCTGCGCCTGCACCGCTGATCTTCAGTTGAGCTACACGACTACGCTCTTCGCTTGTGTTGCACACGTGATGATTGGTTGATTAATAATTTTTTGTTGTTGTCCTTAAGTGGTGCACGTGCCGTGTCTGTTCATGTACATGTCCAGTTGAGAATCTTATTCATTTTACAGGCAGATTGAATTGAATTGAATTGAATTGAATAGCATTTAATTCCGTTTTGTGATACACTCAATAAAACAACGCCACAACACCCAGCATTCTCTATGTCGTTACGTAAGTTGTAGTCAAAGGTCACTGTTCAGTAATATACTGCATATGTATACAAAATAGGAAAGGTAGAAGAGACAGACGCGTAAAGGATTAGGACCGGAAGTGAAAGGTCAGTTAGGCGCTGGGCTCGACGGAGCCGTTGTCGGTGGTGTCCTTGACGACGTCGTCGGTGCCCTTGGTGCGCACCACCCCGTCGTCGGCGGCGACGGCCTTGATCTGCTGCGTGGCCGCCACCTCGATGCGGCCGGCGCCGTTGGCCGTGGCGCTGACCGTCGCGCTCAACAGGTCGAACCCGTGGAAGACGGCCGACCCGCTGGCCACAATATTGGAGTTGTCCGACGTCCCGGAGATGGACGCCGAGGCGAAGTTGTCCAGGACGGCGTTGAGGTTCTTGGTGCTCACCGCGCCGATCATACTCCCGCTCTGGCTGGCCACCACCACCAGGTTGGCGCACTCGTAGTTGGCCACGACCTGCGCCGCCCCGCTGACCACCACCCGCATGGTCTGCGCCTTCAGGACGCTGCGCGACGCCACCTGCGCCGAGCCGGCGGCGATCAGGTTGATCAAGGAGCGCGCGGTGATGCTGACCTGCAGGGGCGCGGCGCCCTTCTTGGGCTGCCACTTGTACAGGCGGATCTTGAGGGTCCCGTTCTCCACCGGCGTCTTGACGGCCGCCACGAAGGCCGGGTCGCCTTTTAAGACGAGCGACTCGGGCCCGTCGGTCAGCTCCACGTTGATGAGGAACGGGCCGTCCACGGCGATCCCGTTGAAGCCCGCCGAGACGTCCCGGGGCTCGCTGACCAGGGTGGTCGTCTGCGACACCACCGACAGCGGCGCCAGGGCAAAGGTCACCAAGGTCACGGCCGTCCACATGGTCATTCAAATCCACTAATACAATATTTCCGCGAATTAAGCGCACGACGACTCGTGAAGGAGCGGCGCGAGAAACGAGGGCGGACGACGGTGTCAACGGCAAATGCGTTCGCGCAGCACACACCTTGTCCGTTTGTATACGAGTATTTTACCGGTATTATTTTGCAGTGTGCGCGCGTTTAAATAGACAGTCGGTGAGAATGAGCGCGATTTTTCTGGAAATACATCGGGGTGCGGGCGGTTACGTAACCGGCCTGGTGAAAACAAAAGCCGAGTGGCATACATATATTGACCGAATTAATTGATAGTCGGAGTTGTTGGGTGGAAGTGTGTCTTTGTGTTTGTGGACTGGCAGAAACTTGGCTGCTCCCGCAACTGTAAGCAGTGATAACGCTCATAGCGACAGCTCGTTCAGCCCGTCCACGTCAGTCACGCGCATTCGGAAGGAACGTGCTACGCGTACTATTGTGAGTACTGTCAGCTGCCACTGCGTTCTTCCTGGCGCAATTTGGCACGGCCGCCAATATTCATTGTCACCGGCGCTAATTGGATTCAGCGCATTGTGCAGCGTTACATGAGCCGGAATTGGCAGGACTGCACGCGGCCACGCGCACTATATCCGTACATATGACATGTTGCTGAATATCGAGGTGGACTGGATGCATGGATGAATATCAATTAACAAGTCTGTGTTATACCGCTGCTACGCCTTAACTATAATTAATGAATGCATTCCCGTGCAGCCGCAGACCGACTGCCGATGGTCCCGATGTATACAAATTACAGCACAGCTGACAAACGCAGGTACCGCTGAAACTGCCACAGGTACAGTATTGCGCAGTGCATGATGACAGCTGTTTTCCTTAATTATGCTGTAGAGGAATCAAAAGAATTCTGCATGTCATAAGTATATATATTTGTTGCACGTCGTGGCAGGCGGGGCCCTCTTCCACACTGCTGTAGTAATTATGTAGGCAATCCGACCGTTCAGCAGATCATTCGGGCCAGCCGCTCGTGTCACGTACTGTGAGTAAGTACTAAAGGTCACCGGCTCAGTAACTCCACTGCTAGCGGCTGGTTAGTTGCTACTACCTCCAGATTAACTGTTCAAGAAACCAATAAAGCTGATATGCTCTGTTAGACAAAGAATTCCAATACGAATTTTTCTCATTTAATTACAACTTTTCCCAGCGCGTTGAAGTTGGCGGTCGATGGAGTGAATGCTGTTTGAGGAAAAGCTGACAATGAGTGCGCGACCTATATGGATGAATCGTTTTAAATCGTACGCAATAACTACGTTTGCCTGTTTTTTTCAATAATGAGTATTTAAATAACGACCTTTGCTCTGTATAACAGGGAAGTGTGCCGGTACATGGTACCAATTTGTACACGTGTACGAGTACGAAACTTTCGCTTTCGCGCACTCCCAAACACCTTTTTGCAATGTTTTATGCCATTCTATAGCCAAATGATTTGTATACACTGGCGTGAAAAACGTTCTGTGCGCTCAACATTTGGTTAGGGAATTATCGGTGAAGTAGACTTCTAAACGTTTCAACGCACGGAGCTGTAGCAAAAGTCTCATTATGCAACGATCCTCTTCGAATTCTGCTTGAAAACACACAGTACCATGAAGATCCTTTTTACACCGAACCAGCCTTCTACATTTTTTTTCCCAAAACTTTAAACTATTTTCAAACGTTTCAAACTGATGTTAAAATTTGAAAAACGGCGGAAAGGCGGCGGAAAGGTGTTTTTTGCGAAATAATGTACTGGTACAAACCCTAGGGTTATGTATTAATTTTAACTGGGCATGTTCCGGGGAAGGCGACACAGTTGGCAGTCTGTTGCTAAATATGTCGCACAATTTCAGAGCAGACCATTGCATAAGCCGTCTGTCTGTCAAGCGAGACACCACACGTTCCGTTCCGTTCCGTTTAATCAATGACATCAGCCGGCTTTTTGCTGTCACTCTTCAGCGGCTAGCTCCTCCTCCGGCGCCTCCTCCGCAGCAGGCGCCGCGTAAGACGCCCGTTTAGCCGGCGGCTGGTCGTCGTCGCGCTGCGGCGGCTCCTCGTCGTCGTCGTCGTAGGTGTAGTTGCGGCGCTCCTCCTCGGCGCCCTTCTCGCGGATCCACGTCTCGCGCTTCTTGGCCTGGGGCTTCTGCGTCTCCTTGGCCGGCTCCCGCGAGGCGTCCCACTCGAAGAGGCTCTTGCGCTCGCCGAAGGTGCGCCGGTCCGTGCGCCGCTCGTACTTGCTGATCAGCTGCACCTTGGGCGGGTGCCGGCCCGCCGCCGCCGCGCCCGCGCCGCCCTCCACGTCGCCGCCGGCCACGACGTACTTCTTCATGTTGATCTGCCGCTGCCGCTCGTTCAGCTCCTTGATCTGCAACCAATCCATAATCAATGCAATTTAAATTTATCTATTAATTAAATCAACTATGGACTAAAGTGAAACAAATTCTGTTGCGCACTGACGTCGTATTCCTGGCGCGTGAATCGCTCGGCGAGGTCGTACTTGGCGGTCTCCAGCTGGATGATCTGCTTCCACAGCTCCTCGGCGTAGCGCTTCAGGCCGGCGTTGTCGAGCTCCTCGACGGCCAGCGGCTTCAGCCGGTCGGCCACCGTCTTCTTCTTCAGCGTCTCCAGCTCGCCGGCGTTCAGCGACATCTCCGTCTTGGCTTTGGAGATGTTCATAAACTAAATAGCGCCACATTCTGTCAACGGCATCAACATCTACAGAAAGCACAGCAGTTAACGGCCCACCTTGTCGATGGTGCTGGAGCCGGTCTTCTCCTTCTCGATGACGAAGTTGCGCCCGCCCGCCATCGCCGCCTGCGCCGCCGCCTTCTTCCGCTCCGCCTCCTCCTGCTTGCGCCGCTTCTCCTCCTCCGCCTTCGTCTTGCGCGCTTCCTAACACACCACCAATTATATCTTTATTAAAAGGTCACCAATATTTTTATATCGCATTTTTCTTTTGCATAAACAAATTAATGGTACACCGTATATAAATATGCTTACATATATACCGAATATATACAAAACTAAATGCAGGAACATGGTGACCTTTTATTTACTACGTTGACATATATCTGTACTGCTTAAATCAATATTTTTATATACTTATATACACTGTATATATTTATATCTATTTACGTATAATTATATGAATTCAATTTTCTAGACCGCTGACCTCTTCGCGGCGGCGTTGCTCTTCCTGCTGGCGCTTCTGCTCCTCGAGAATGCGTTCCTCTTCCTCGCGCTGCTTCTGGCGTTGTGCCTGCAGAAGCCCTGTTCATCCTTTCCTGCTCAACACTATAACAGCGTAGTGCCTGCCTGTTTCTCCTTGAGGCGGCGCAGCTCCTCCTCCTGCTTCTCGCGCTCGACGCGGCGCTGCTCCTCGATCTCGCGGATGCGCTCGGCGTCCTCCTCCTCGTGCTTGCGCAGTTTGGCCTCGATCAGCAGCTGCGCCTCCGTCTTCTCCGCCGTCGGAGTCTCCTCGGCCACTCTGCTCACAGTCACAACAACAACGCACACTATTGACGCTTCCACAACCGCCGGGTAAATCCCCAAATGCAAATAACAATTGTAACGACCGGCACGTATTACTGTGGCGGTCGGAGCTCACCGTGTTTTGGTCTGTCGTTCATTCTCCGCATTTTCCCCTCCCCTGGTGACAACGACACTGTTGACGCCAACCAGCAGGAAAACAAGCGATTAAATGAAGCCTTACTCTTGCTCCGCGGAAGCGTCCCTACATCAACAAACAAACAGCTGAATTGTGCAAAGATACAGAACGATAACGGCTTATCGCAAATAAACAACACTGGTACTCACTCCATCCAGTTGTCCTCTTGATCGCCCATCTTCACGCTATTCCCTTACACACAACTCACAACCAACACTCACGCAGCACGGTGAAATGGAAAAACGCAAATGACTCGCTCGGCACAACTAACTCAACGGCGACACGATTCTGCATCCTGCGCCGGGAAACGGCGCGTAGCGGTGACCTTTAAAAGGCACCTTATCTAAACAGACGGCCGGCAGTCAGCGCCGCCGGGCAGGGACGATTAGGCAACACTCCGCGCTAATGTTTACATGTCGCCACTTTCCCAACGCACATGTTGTTTATAATAACGCCAGTGCCGGGCGCAATACACCGTACAACGCGACAACGACGCAGAACCGGGGCCAAACGGGCATTTATTTATATAACCAAATATCTTTCTTTCCTCAACTAAACGCCGGATTAGCGCAAATACTCGTTAAACGGAAAGTACGGTAGTTTCAATACTAACGCCGTAGAAAATGCAAAAGAGCAGAGAAACATCGGCATGGCTAACTTGGGCGTGGCTGCGCGTGGAAGACGGTGAAGCGGTGGTTGAGCTGCTTGAGGGCCTGCAGCTTGTACACCGACAGGACGCCGCCGTCGCCCGCTCCCGCCTGCCGGAAGACGATGCGCCCGATGCGGCCGTGCACCAGCGCCATCGCACACCTGCACAAACACCGTCAATCACGCGGCGTTTAACAGAACGGACGCGATGCGTACATGATACAAGGCTCCCGTGCCAAGACGGCCGTCAGCCCCGTGCAGAGATAGCTTCCGGCGTCGCCCTCCTCCGCCGGCAACGCCGCTTTCTCTTTCTTCACTATAGACACCGCATTTCAAGCATAAAATAAATAATAATAGAAAAATACTAACAATATAAATAAAATAAAATTAAATATAGCAGCTCACCGGACTGTCGCTGACTGGCGGCCATCATCCCCAGCGCGTGCAGCACGGGATGGTCCAGCGGCGAGGCCGGCACGCTCTTGGCCCCGCGAATCAGGGAGCAGTGGGCGGAGCGTCCGTCAGCAATGATGACGCTGTTGCCGGCACACGTCCGCCCTCCCTCCCCGTCCTCCTCCGTCAACAGCTCCAGGAAGTCACCGAGGACGGCCTCCTCCGCGGCGGGCAGACCGTGGGTGTCCAGGCAGACCAGCGGACTGCAAACGAGACCATACTACATCAGCGGAAGTTCAGAAAGGCAGCCTGGATGACTGACTTGGGGGTGATGGTGGGCCAGAGCCGCTGGGAGGCGGTTACGTGCTGCTGCGTCAGGGGCCGCGTTAAGGACACGCGGCGGACGATCAAGGCGGGCTGGAGGAGCTCCAGCAGGGGGGATTCCTCGGAGGCGGTCAGGACAAGGTGGGTGGGAACTTCCTGGTCCACGGAGTGATCGGCAGCGGCGCGGCTGACGATTATCTCGGCGGTGCGCTCTGAAAAAGGGAGAAGCTATCAGTTACGAGGCGAGCTTGTCGTGCTGATTTCTATCCAACAATTTACGAGTATACCTGCGCTAGTCTAGACAACTACTTAAAAATAAATAATTAATTTATTAATTTCTTACTTTGTCCGAGGGATTCGCCGACGTGTCGTACGCGTTTCAGATGGCGCAGCGCCGGCAGCGGCTGCACGCGGTTGAGCAGTCTGTTCTAAACAGCAAACGAGTCAACTCCACTGTGCGGGTGCTCATGGCGACACAACGTTGAAAATGCGCTGGCTTACGCTACGCTCTTGCCAATATCCTGAGCTTTCTTCAACGTCCCCACCAACACCAATCCTAAAATCAGGGAAGACCAGGGAAAATTATGCAGCTGGGCTTGATGAAAGGAAGTCAGTGACGGTACCCTCTTCGGCAGGCGACAGGTACTCGCCCGGCCAGATGCGCACGAACTGCCAGCGTCGTCCTGCATGCGCTCCGTTTCCATTGCTCTCCGTCTTCTCCGCAGCCATCGTGTCTCCAGCCTCTTTACGCAATGATTAACAGTTTAGAGATTCATTAAAAAATAATTAAAACATCAGGCAACGATCCGTATTCAGAAATAAAGCCAGGAAGCGAAATGACGACTATAAAAAAAGAAATTCACTTTGAATTTTCACTTTTAACTCTACTGCTGTTTACCACCAACTTCAGGTTGGCGTTTCTTGCTTAAGCACGCTACTGCTTGCCATCCAAGGCGGTTAGCGCAGCGACAGCCTATACCGCCCCTCAAACTTACCGTCGCTTGCGCTACGCAACCCAAAATAATCTGCAGTTTTTCACTTCCTGATCAAAATTTGATATCGAGTTTCTGCTGTGTCTGTGTGTTAGTTTCAAATTTGCGAGAAAATTCTCGGGTTTTTCTTTCACTTGGACTTTGGGACACATCTCAGTGTTTATACATGTGTATTTTCATATCCGTGTGTCAGTCGCTGATCTTGCAGAGCAGTTTGCGTTGCGTGCGAAGTGAGGCGTGCTAGGCGAGCTCGCAGCGGATTGTGTCGATCTGTGTGATCTGCAGCTGGCGGGATGTTTGGCGTCCGCGGGCTGGTGCTGGGCCTGACGGGGCACCCCCTGCTGAAGGGCCTGGTGGGGGAGAGTGCGCGGCGCCTGCTGGTGGAGCCGTTGGCGGCGGCGGCCAGCGGACTGGACGCGACGGCGCAGCGCGGCAAGTACCGCGCGCGCAAACCGCGGGGACTGCCGCGGGCGCGCAAGAAGCGCTACTGGGTCATGCCCATGCCCGAGGAGGATCCCTGGGAGATGAGCCAGCTCTTCTGGCGCTACAACCACTACAAGACCAACCGCCGCTCCCTCGCGTCAGTCTCAGCTTCTCTACCCTACACCAGCAGTTCTTCGTTTCTTGAATATTAATCAGCAATTTAATTTAATTTTCTATTCGTTTTTCCAGCTATTTTTCTGCATCTAATTTTCTTAGTTTAAATTTTAACCCTCCGTTTTTCATTGATTTTTGCATATGAATTTTTCAATTTAATCAGCAGTTTTCCATATTTTTTCTTCAATTTAATTATTTTAATAAGCGCTTTTTCATCGAATTTTTCGGTTTTATCAGCAAGTGCTCAGTAATTTTTTAATTTGATTCAGTTATTAAGTTCCTTTCGTAACGGAATTTTTCTTGATTTAAGCTGCCATTTTTTAAAATGTGGTTAATGATTAATCGTGAACATTCGGGATTCGGGAATAATTTTGTGACGTTGCCAGTGCATATCCCGCATGTGTGTGTGTGTGTTGCAGTTCGTACTTTGCGGCGTGGAAGGCGGAGCACTACCCGGCCGAGAGCATCCGCCCCTCGCCGGGGGGCCCCGCCCTGCCCTCCCCCCTCGACTCGCTGGCCCCCGCGCTGCCCACCTCGGCGCCCCTGCCGCCGGACTTTGTCAAGGTCCTTGAGGCCAACGACGCCGACAACGCGCAGGTGGCCAAAGTCAGGTCAGTTCTGCTGAGACAACAACTCATTTTTTCCTCCATTTTTCCGCCGCAGTTATTATTTCGCTCGTAATCCCATCCGCTCTCCCATTTAACCAGCAATCTTCTCAGTTTTTAAAGTTCTGTTCTAATTGCATTTTTCTAATCTAACTTTTAAGCATCAGCTTTCGTTCATTTTACAACTGAAACATGTATGTTATGTATGTTATTTTTATGACTTTGTACATTAATTTTGTAATTGGATCAGCATTGTTTTTATTTAATCAGCATTTTGTATAATAAGTCAATATTTTCCGAATTTGATAATCCTGACATATTGCCATCACGCGCCGCAGTTTTTGTTATGTGCAATTAACCAATACGATTTACAAGCATGGAATTATCAGCGTGGTAGGAATACTGTAGATTATTAATGATCTGCGAATGCGAATTGGACAGTGATGGAGGGATTGCGTGGTTAGTGTTAGTTTGATGCGTGTAGGGAAGCGCGGCATGCGGAGGAGCTGCGTTACCGCGCGGACGAGCGACTGGATATGCTGATGCAGTGGGAGACGCGCTCCAAGATGGAGCGGGACATCCGCGAGGAGCAGGTCCGCCGCAAGAAGGTGGGTATTTGCCCTGCAGCTCGTCCGCTGGGTACTGCACCTAAATAAACCCTTCATCATCCACAGGCCATCGTGGCGCACATGGTGACGCCGGCCAACCTGGAGGCGCGCATCCACCGCGCCCTGGACCACCCCACCGACTACAACTTCGCCATCGATCTGGGCGGCCACAAGCGCTTCGGCCGGCCCGATCCCCTGCGCCGTCTCAACCTCTTCCCCACGCGCGAGGAACGCCTGCTGGGACGCCAACGGGAGCGCCAGCTGCGCCTGCAGGAGCCGTCTCCCGACGCGGCAGACGAGCCGCCACAACAGCAGCAGCAGCAGTCCCGCGAGATGTAGTCTGCCAATCTGTCATGTTATTATGCAGACGTTGTGTTGTCGCTGCGTGGCTGCCTGGTTGGTATTTGGATTTGTTGGTGATTATGGTAATCCCATGCACTTGCGCCTGATTAGATATGTATGCGTCGCGGCGGTCTCTTGTGTTCCTGGTAATAAAAAAAAACACTGGCTGGTCGCGGCTGAGCGGGTCTGTTCTTGCCGCGCGCAGGGATGTTGTGTCTGGTCGCTGGCGGCATCCGCGACGCCGGCATCCATCTCACAATCGCAAAATAATCACATTACATTATCCGCTTCACTGGCTGACTGGTGAGACGCGGCGCGCTTGCCGTCCTGTACAGTGTGCAGCACAATTAAAATCAATGCTGTCGGCCGTGAAGATTTATTAGCAGCCAGCTGTACTGCATATCTTGATGAACCCGCTTTGCTTACGAGTACGTACGACTGTAACAGATGGGCCTTCACGCGCATTGGCGGCCGTCTCCTGTACGAGGCTACAGTGCTGCACCGGCTATACGCTGACCGATATGCACTTTAATTTATACTGTACTGTACACACTGATTCAAGTTTCAACAGCATCTTGTACCGGTATATATTATTTAATTTACAGTATGTACCGGTAAATACTCTGGGAAAAACAATCATGTTGGTTAATAATGTGGCTGGCGGCGGTGATCTTTGGACTTTCCCTTTTTGCCGTCCGGTCCAGCCAGCCAGTAGAATTTGGCTAGGATAAGTAAGTTGTCGGTCGGCGTAGTGTTAATACAATCTTATTAAATTTGCCTTTGCCAATTGGCGTATGGGTTGCGACGTTGTTGTTCACATTCGGCTGAACAGTTCGCTTCCACAGCGTCAACAGCTGACATGACATGGCTGGTCAGATCTAGACATGCAAATCAAATTACATTATTCCCTCGTGGTGCTGCCAACAAAAAACTTTCTCCACCTTTTTTGCATGGTTCTTCGTAACAACGATTCCAAGTCCGCGCATGCATTCGTTATTCAGATGCGCAATTACCGTACGAGTACTCGTTACATATTAGCGATTGCCGGCACGATAGCGATTTCCTTATCCATTCATATCTGGTGAATACTTATTTATTTATCACTACTGCCCAAGTTTTTCTATCACCGCTGCCGCCGTCTGCCAGCTGTACGGCACTGCGGCACCGATGATGTTGTCCGCCGTGTCAAGGTATCCCCGGGAATTCCATAGCCGCAGAATGGAACGGATTTTGTTTATTGTACGGCAGTTCAGTCCGCATCAACCGGAAGCACGCAGCGTTAGCGTACGCTCATAAAACAGCAGTGCTTTTAATGTAAGTGAGTCATCTGTTTAATTATGATGATTATTAATACAAGTAGTAATATTATCATAAATTTAATTTTTAAAACCATATTATAATGGTATCACGTCATTATACAGAATTTATTGATATGTAGCTATTAGTATGTGTAATATGTATTAAAATCATTTATTAATGACGTTTAAGGGATTTTATGTTCAAATCTGTGTCGTTCCAGTCAGATTTATGTTATACCACCGACTTTGCCGAATACAACCTTTTTTTGTGTCTTTTAAGGTCACTTTTTAACGAGGTACTAATTTTGCAGCTATTCTGTACGTTGCCTTTTCTATATTTGTAAAAAATTAATTAGTCACAAGTGCATATTTTAATTGCATGCTTTAATTATGTTAGTGATGTAGAGCGGACGATGCATAAATTTATTTATATTCGCAAACTTGCAGGTTTCTTCATATTGCAATGGTTTATTTGATTTATCTGGCGGATTAATCTGCGGCTCTAATTGATTCGCAGCGCGATTGTTGTGTTGATTTGGACTGCATTCACAGAGTTTTTTTGCACTCTTTGTCTGGTGGGTTTATCTGTGTTACGGAGGGAGATGTGCAGCTACAGAATGGATTATAATAATATATTAAGGAGAGCGGCGGCCGCATGGATGTATCCCTGGCTGTACTACACCTTGCTAACGCTGTGCCTGCTGAGCAGTACATCCCTCTGCCGGCACACCTCCAGCGCCCCGCATCCCCAGCACGCCACGCCCATGCACCGCCACCACAACCGGACGTGCAAAGGGGGCGGGGTCAGCGTAGCGGCCGCTGACCGGCAGAGCAGTAGTGCGCCGGCGGCGCTGGCGAGCGGCAGTTGCCTGACCGCCGGGCCGACGTTATTAAACCGGGCGGTGCGGGAAGACTCCTTCAAGAAGGACATGCTGAACAAATTGGGCTTCCGCGACGGACGAATACCTCAGCTGACAGAGGCCCAGAAGCGCAATCCCTCGCACATCCACTCCATCAGGAAGCACATCGAGGAGATCATGCAGCGCCAGCAGGAGGAGGAGCCGGACGAGGCCATCTTCCAGCCCAGTCGCGTTGTTCTTTTTCCGGAGCCGCGTAAGTGCCGTATCATTTTTTATTACATAGTTTGGTCACTAAATTAATTGATTAGCTGTTGCGCAAGCGGTTTCTCAGTTAATTTCTCAGCGTTGTCGCAAGCGTTGCTGATCAGGCGTGTAGATTAGCGATCGATGATCAGTATATATAGATAAATATGGAACTGGTGCCGGTCGGAGTAAAGCTGGCTTTTCACCTGCGGGAACCAGGTCGACCTGACTAAGCATAATTTTCTGATTCGCTTTAAGCGTTGTCGGCAGCCATGGAACCGGATAAAATAATTATCTCGCCCTTATTAATAAGTAAAAAAAAATTCTGATGGGTTGATTCCATGGAAAGGTTTCTTTGGGTTGTCGTGCCAAGGCAGTTACAAGCCGGCAGTCATATAAGCGAGTTGGACGCTGTGCAGTGGCACATGCACACCCCACGTAACCGCAGCGGCCTGATTTGTAATCTGCCATAGCAATCTAAGTGTGCTGTTATATGGTGATCGTTGGCTCGGTGCTGGCCAAGGCCGCGCGCCAACGCTCACCGGCCGGCAACGGTTCCCATGCACGAAGGGGAAGCTGGAGCAGTGGGTCAGTTGTGCATGCATCTGGGAAAGAGAATAGAAACTGCAGAATTACTGGAGGTTTTCGGGCCGAGGTTTACGAGTGAACTTGAACTTTGGATGGCATTGTCTAGCGATCAATGCTCCGTGCCGCCAAGCGGCCGCACTGCCACCGGCCACGGCGTGTACATCTTGATATGCACATCAGATAGTGCCGCTACATACGCCCAGTGCTAGCTTGTACGAGCCGCGATTTAATTGTAATACGCGCATTTCTGTACGCGTTAAATATATATATACTTCAATATAATTATTATTCAGTTGCGGTGGCAGCTTATAACCCGGTCGCGCGAGCGCTATCGCGGACCGTACGTTGAACTGTCTGATCATTGTTCCGGCATTACGGGAATTTTGCGTACGGTAATATAAAGGCACGTACTGGTTTATCGTCACGCACAAAATGAGGATATCCGATGCTTTACTTTAACCGGAAGTTTTGCAAGCGGGGTCAGTTGTACTTGTCCCGGCAGAAAGCAGAGAGTACGTGTGTACGATTCGCATATATGGTGGGTGTGAGTGTCTGTGCTGATCGGTTGATTTTGTCTCAATCTGGCTTCAGGAAAGGCATTTGCAACTCGGGATAGTTTCTTGTAATTTTTCTTAATTTTTTTTAGAAGTAGAGAGAAAGCCAATTTCTGTAACGAAAATTAACTAGGCGGGATACAAATTTTTAAAAACGTTCCCAGATAAAATTTGTATTGCCCTGCTGCACCGATCGGTTGCAACTGCTTCAAGCACCGGAAGTCCTTGCATTTTTTTTTATTTGAAATATTCGGGTGGGAGGTTTTTGTGAAAAATAAATAACGTTAGACAGTAAAGTGATATCCACAGGAATACAGCTTAGTCTGAGGAAATCGCTCGTGTTTGTGTGTTAGGAGCTTTGCGCCCCGAGACATTCCTAGTGCTGACTGTAGCATGATGTTCCAGCGCTTATTTTGTATAACCTGTGATTCATATCGCACAGTGCCCAGCGAGTGGAACGTGCCAGCGGAGATGCGCAACCACTCCTTCTTCTTCAACGTGACCACGCACGTCCGCAAGTCGGAGCAGGACAAGAGCAGTCTGCACGTGTACATCCGCGGGACGGGCGGGGACGAGGCCAAAGGTCACCTGCTGCTGCAGCCGCTGAAGATGCGCGCGGAGCTGCTGGTCCGGTCGGGCGGCGCGGGCGGCAGTCTGCGGGTGGACCCGGTGTGGACGCAGGAGGCCTCGCGCGTCGTCGAGCTGAAGAAGCACGGCCAGTGGGCGGAGTTCCGGCTCAGCAAGTTCATTTCCCACTGGCGCCAGGACCACGACGTCGCCGGCAACTACGGCCTCCTTGTCTCCGCCCTGGACGCCGAGGGCACCAACTGGGCGCTACTGCATCCCGCGACGGAGGATGAAAAAAGCTTTGTAAGTGCAGGCCACATTTTGAAAACAATGCTATCGAAATAAATGTTTTATGTACTTGTGCGCATGCAGTGTAATAACATACCATTGTTACATTATCGTAAATAAATTCATATTTATTCACTGTCGTTTTATTCCACTTTAAGTACGTACAGACCCATGGGCAGTTATAAAAAATGCATTTCACCGTTAGAGTTACGAGTTACAGGGAGCGTGCGAGTTACGCTATTCATGCCCAATGGTGTTGCTGCACACCCAGGTCACCATCGGTGACTTATGGTCAGTACAAGCACACCAAAAATTCCCATTCTTAATTGAATTTTTTCATCGGGAAATCCAAGTTTTCACAAACAAACTCCCATCCTTCGGGTAGTGAGCGTTGGAGGGCTAATAACTTCATGCAGATAATGCTGAATTTGTTTCCTTAACTTTATTCAGTATTAGACTCGTACCATCTAGGCATCTGCTCGTAGTGACGAAGCAGTTCTAAAAACCCGCTGAGAATTACCGCGCTGATCATGAAGCTCGAGACTTGGAACAATAAATCTGGTGGAATGGATTTCTCCCATTCGATAATGCGATTATGCAGTTTTTTGTCGATTTCCCTGAACAGATTAACAGGCGCGGTGCCGTGTCGCGTTAATTATGTTGTTTATTTATTAGCGTCGAATAAAATGATGCTACGGTTATCGACTTCGCGGCGAAGACGGTTAACTGCATTCTGGTAATTATTTTGTCTGATTCTTTACTCGTTCGTTGGTGTGGGCAGGGCATGTACCTGGACGTGATGGTGCGGCCCAAGCCGAAGCGGATCCGGCGCGGTCTGCAGCCCGACTGCTCGGAGGACAAGCCGGGCAACTACTGCTGCCGCTACCCGCTGCAGATCAACTTCACGGCCATGGGCTGGGGCTTCGTGGTGCACCCGCGCACCTACGAGGCCTACTACTGCAGCGGCCCCTGCGGGACGGCCGCCGACCGCAGCACCTTCAACCCCGCCCTGCACTACGCCCACCTGGCCAGCAACGCGCTGGCCGAGACGGAGAAGACGCGGCCGCGTCGCCAGCAGGACCAGGACGCCAACGTCGGGCCCTGCTGCACGCCCAGCCGCGCCCTGGACATGGAGATCATCTACTACGGCGAGAACGGCGAACTGGTCACCGGCATGCTGCCCGGCATGTCCGTGGCGCGCTGCGCCTGCGCCTGACCGCCGGGTCGCCGGTGAAAAATTCCCCTTTTGGCCGGGACGTCCCGGTTCATCCCTGCCGGATGTCAGCCGACGCCCCGGGATCTCTGACAAAGTGACTGCCGAGTGTGTGTGCGCGGAGAATACGTTGCCGGCATGACTGTGAAGCGTGGGACAGCGCGTGACCTTTGTGGATATATATATGCGTGACCTTTGTGGATATATATACGCAGTTAAGCACGATACACGCGTACATTGTTACGCGTTGTGGGCGTGCTGCAGCGAGCGGACGATGCTGTGTGTCTTTCACGTGTAGAGCTACTAGTTCATTCGGTTCAGTTCATTGCGGTTCCCTGCCTGGCCATGATCTTCGCTGTATAGCTCAGCGTCAGCGCTCTAGCTAGCCTATTTATTCCGCTGATGGCAGATTAATTGCTTTCGTGGATATACGCGTTCTCCCAAATTTGTCTGTGTCGCTACCGACTGTGTTATGATGCTGGCTGGTCTGCGCCATATTTGCGCATAATTCTTTTCTTTACCTATTAACAGGACAGACGCAATTACCGCGGTACGTGCTACAAATCTCGATGCTGCTAGTGGAATTAACGGTTTGCTTCATAGAAGCCACTTAATACAGTATCTGTATGCTGTGCTGTACAAGCAGCGCCCAATTATTGCAAGCACATGTTGCCCTTGTTCACAATCGGTCAATTAAAACTGATTACACGATTGGGGTTCATAATGTCATTTCACCGCCGGCATTTCCGGTCCCAACTGATACTATTCATGTTATTGGCGTTTAGCTTCAGAAAATGCGTAAGGCGCAGCACTTATATATATGCGGTACATGCGTCGACATAAGCGCGTACTACGCGGCTGTGTACAGGTCGTCTTGATGCCGTTGTTGGTTTAATCCACTGGAAGTTATAATATGCAGTTTTTATCGCTGACGTCAGGCTTTGTTGAACTTGCGCACGGACGTGACGCCGCCGGCAGTGCGTGTCTGCAAGACACCGAAGATGACAATAGTTAATGCACTTAATTGCGACCGGCTTCGGCAACGTAAAGGTCACACAAGTAGTCCGGCGTTATTCAGAATAATTAAATTCTGTTTCATTGTGAGAAACAGCGGATCGGAGAGGTGCAGGTACGTTAAGTTAGGGGTTCTTACGATGGTCATCTGGTTGCCGCGGAAGGTGTAGCGCAGCGCGTAGCTGCAGCAGCCGTCCTTGCGGTGTTTGGCCTCCAGCTCGTTGGTGTCGGGGAAGAAGACGAAGGAGCTCTGCAAGACAATCATAGTGCAATTAACGCCGACCAACCGGTACTGTGCGACCCGGTTAATTGGACGCTGCGGATGCTGGCGATTGTGTCTGCTGCTGCATTATATTCTCAGATAACTCTATGAAACTTGTGATGCATACCTTGAGGGGAGCGCCGTCGGCGCCGCGGGTCTCCACCTCCTGGCCGAGGACGAAGCGCGTGTCCCAGCTGATGTTGGGCGCCGGGAAGGCCACGCCCATCACGTACTCCTTCTCCAGGCCGCCCTTGCTGAACGTCACCACCATCTGGTTGTCGGCGCACTTGCGCGACAGGCTCTCCGTGTAACCTGCATCAGCGCAACGACTGCCAGTCAGTATAGCGGCTAGCTAATATAATCGCGGTTGTACGTAGTTTATGTTATGTGGCATGATGCGGTCGCGGTTGTACATAGTTTATGTTATATGATTAGCTGCTGCTGGCCAGTGTCGCTGAACGTAAACATGGCTCAGAATGGGAGAATGATGTGTTTATCTCACCGATGGCCTTGAACCAGGCGAAGGCGTTGGGGTCCTCGCCGCAGCTCTCGTAGCGGCCCAGCGGGATGCAACCGTTGTCGCAGGCCGTCCGTTTCGCCACCGGCGCCGCTACCGCTGCCATTCCCAGCACACGCACACAGTACGGATACCGATCAGATAGGGCTCGTCGGGAGAGGGCTAGCTGCCACAACGTTAACGAACGGCCGCCGCTACTACGGCTATAACTACTACTGCCGGCTAGCTACCGTTACCCTTGCCGGTATGAACTATTCTGCTGCACTACACAGACCTTGAACAATTGCATGTTAATTTTGGAGTGTATTTATTGTTCTGGGATTCCGTAGCAACTATGATACTATAATAATTTGAAAAATACTATAATAATTTGAAAAATTACCACATATACTGTACACTTAACATGCAGCTTTCACAACAGTATAAACAAGTAGGTAAAGGACACTGTACATAATAAAACTATACTACTGCTGTGCTGCACACTGTGCATAATTAATAATGTACTGTACTTCTCTAATTTGACTAATAGAACGCTCAACGCTGTAAGTGTCGACAGGTACGAGTATTAATCGCAAATCGCAATTCGTGGTAGAAGACAAAACGTCCCGACTCTTGATTTAGCGCTTTACCGCCTTGTTTGGAGTTTGAATTGGTAGTTGGGCTGTAGGGCGGTTGGTTGGTTGACAGGAGTGGCGAGTCGAGCCGAGCGCCTGCTTTGGCTCTTTTTCATGTCAGTCTTTTTCACTTTTGGGAAATTTCCAATTTCCTTGCTCTCTTCTCGCTGTGTGTGTCTATCTGTGTTTCTGCTGTGCGACAGCGACTCGGCTCTCATTACGGTTTTCTCCTCTTTCCAGTTTCCCGGTTCAATTCTTGTTCAAACCAAGTTGCACATTGAATGCATGCTTTGATTGTGACGATATTGCACACTGCGACTATTTGATGATTGTTGGTGAAACTCCGTGAAAGCATTAAATTTGGGAGTGTGAGGCAGTTTGGGCTGTGTGGATCTCTTGGTCTTCTGTGCATCGTGATTCGTGACAGTTGTCGGGCAGCATGACGTCGGCGGTGTGGAGCTCGTTGGGGAAGGTGTCTGCGCGGGTGAACGCGTGGGTGGAGGAGGACGCGGTGCTGCGGCAGAGCCGGCCCTACCTGGCAGCCCTGGGGGCGCTGTCGGCGGGGGTGGTGGGGGTGACGGCGGCCTACCAGCTGGCCAAGGGCATCACTAGCTACTGTCTGGCGGCCCCGCTGGCGCTGGGCATCAACGTCCGCGAATACGGGGAATGGGCAGGTGAGGGGCTCGTCCAGGGGAAAAGGGGCTGACGCAAGTGTATTCACTGTATTGGCTGTGTTGCAGTGGTGACGGGGGCCAACGCGGGCATCGGGAAGGTCTTCTGTCTGGAGGTAGGCATCCACGGTTCATTTTATTTTGGGGGATTGTCTGCTTGAAGGATCGTGGTTGTAGTTGGCGCGTCGCGGTCTCAACGTGGTCCTCATCGGGCGCAACGAGGAGAAACTGCAGGTGGCCGCCCGCGACGTCGGTTAGTCGCAATCAAATGTCCATCATTTTGTTAGCTGAATTTGTCTTCCAGCTGATAAAGTGCTGCATGTTGTGTGTTGGCTGATTGGCAGAGTTGACGCACCGCGTGAAGACGAAGGTGATCGTGGCCGATCTGAGCACGACGAATCTGGCCGTCTACACCGACATCCAGCAGCAGCTGACGGCCCTCAAGATCGCCATTCTCGGTCAGTGCCAGTGTACACTATAACACAAGCAGCAGCAGCAGTGCGACTCTGTGCAAGTTACATTTCCATAGCCTTTAGTTACTTTCTCATATAGCGGCATCATATTATTGAACTCTTGTATATTTGTGTTATTTACTGATTGGTATGTTTCAGTTTATGTAGCGATATTGTTTGAGTGGTTGTGGTGTTGTTGCAGTGAACAACGTGGGCCAGGGCGGCGACGATGCGCCGTTCCTGGAGAACCCGCCCGACAGCCAGGTTAGTCAGTGAATGCAGTCTCTTACTGACTGCAAACGATTATGAAGGATTTCTCTTTGCAGGGCTGCTTGGATCTCATCAACACCAACACCACCGCCTACGTCATGGTCAGTCAGTCCACGTGTTGTTCTGCTCATGCACAGACAGATACATGCTCATTGCATAGCCGGTGTAATTATTCTCCTTGCTTTCCTCCGACAGATGACGCGTCTCATCCTGCCGGGTATGTTGACGCGTGGCCGCGGCATCGTCGTCTTCCTCTCCTCAGTGTCAGTAATAATATCTGCTTTGTACAAAACAGTAAGTACACATACCCTGTCTGGACTCATGGTTCGTTGTTTTGCAGTCGCGGTGATGTGCCGACGCCGAAATCGGCCGTCTACTCCGCCACCAAAGGTATCTGTAGCCGCCACAGTAACCGCTCTGACATTAATATAAGCAGCCTGCTCATTCCACCTCCTTGACAGCGTTCGACCAGTTCTTCGCCTGCGCGCTGCACGAGGAGTACAAGGAGCGCGGCATCGTGGTGCAGTGCGTGATGCCGGGCGCGGTGCAGACGAAGATGGTGCAGGAGGACGAGAAGGAGGGCTTCTGGTGCGTCAAGCCCGAGATCTTCGTCCCCAGCTGCATCGCGCAGGCAAGTAACCAAGCGCATTATTGCGAATTGTCCTTGTTGTGTTAGCTCTTCATAATGTGTGTTGCAGTTGGGCGTGCGGACGCGCACCTACGGCCACTGGAAGCACGCCCTGCACATCAAGATACGCAAGTACATCCCCGGAATGAACAGCAAATGATCCCTGGATGGATAGCGTCAGCGTTCTCCTACGCACTGCTTTTATTCTCTTTTAATTAACGCTGCTTCCCCGTCGCTATGCTCGCTGTTTGATTTATGGTTTACTGGGCAGTCTGATTGTCAGCCAACAGCCATTCAATACTGGTCTCACTCCGACTAATGGAGATTGGGGCCGGCTTATGTACGTACTGTGTACGTACATAATATCTACATGTGCTGCATTTCTACCGCCGAATAAATCAACTTCTATTTGCTTACTGTAACGAATATTCTTTAACGATGGCCACAGCGTTTTACCAGCTTTCCTGCTAGAGTACTGTTTTAAGTTGTTCCACACCTTGATAATTATCCACCAATTTTCCCTTTAACATCGGTGTTCGGTCGTGCGCTTTCGAAAATAAAAATTACAAGTAGGCGCTTACTTTTATGGCAGTACCACTACCTACCCGGTAGTCACTGCATCAAATTTGTATTTTTTGGAATTGAATTTTGGATGTGCTGTACCTATAATATTATTTTAAACGCTTCAGTTTTTGATCAGATGCACAGCTGGGTGGATCTTGGATAGTAGACCAAAGTTTTTTTTTAATAAAAAACTTTAACAGGAACTCTTCATCAATAAAGACTTGAGGTGAAGATCGTTGAAAGTGAAGATTTAATCATTTTAATGTCGAAAATCGAAAAACAGGATAAGCGCAACCGGACGCCGTAACAAATCCATGTGAATTTTGTTCTGTTGGATTTGTGCTGGCCCAAGTGGCGGTGCCGCACGAGGCAGTCAGCAGGGGGCGGAAGTCAAAGAGGGCGTTTTGAGCATCTCAGCCAACAAATAACTGATCAACATTCCTACACCACAATAACAATCACTGAAACAGGATATCTTCATTTTAAAATTAAAAACAACAACAAGGTAATTGTAACTGATCCAGAAAGTATTCACAGGGAGTACGCGATCAAACAGGGCCGGAAGACCCCTAAGCGACATGCTGGGCACGTTGACGGTTGTCAGTTGGCAGCTGCTGTTATATTTTCACTCTTTCAAATTGTGCAAGTTAGCGAGTACCAGACTTCCCTAGTCCCTACTGGTACAGCTAGTTTTACATTGTTGTTTATACTGTTTTTCGATGAGCTACTAAAATGTGATCAATCTGGAGAATTCATTTGGCACGACGGCATTATTATAAGCGGAGTACTGGCGACTGTACTGCGTAGCTTGTTATTCCATCAAACCGAAGAACTGCAGTCTGTCTGTACAGATATAGCGTGCATGACTTGATGGGATGCGTGTTAGAACACGAATCTGTTCCACTGTGGTGTGATCGTTGTCCTCTTGATTGGTGTGTATCGTGGATTCGGCAGGAGAATGGAGGACCTGTTCGTGCAGGTGGACGTGCAGGTGACGACGGGCAGCTCCTCCTCCGGCGTGACATCCTCGCAGAGTCGCTCCGTCTACTTCGCCGCCCCCCTGCCGGGCCTGCCCCTCTCCGCCTCGCAGCCCCCGCCCGACCCCTCCCCTCCCCAGCTGCAGATCCCTTCCCTCGGGTTCAACGACGACATCCAGCTCTCCGACGACGACGACACCCCTGACAACACTGCCTCCCTGGCCCCCGCCCCTGCAGCCCCCCTACCCCAGGGGCGCCCCTTGCCCGACGTGGACAGCGCGGAGTCCCCGCGCAAACGCCCCAAACTGCAGCTGGCCGTCAGCCTCAACGCGGCGCCCCCGGGGGCGGCGGCCAGTAGCGCGGAGGCGGAGGATGACGAGAACGAGACGGACGACTGCCTGATCTGCTTCGACGCCATGACGGCGGAGGGGGAGCACCGCGCCTGCTGTCTGGAGTGCGGCCACATCTTCGGCCAGCACTGCATCCTCAAGTGGCTGGGCGCCGCCGGCGCCGACAAGGACCGCCGCACCTGTCCGCAGTGCAAGAAGCCCGCCAAGTCCAAGGACGTCCGCGTGCTCTTCTGCCGCGGCGCTGCGCGTGGCCGACAACGGGCTGCTGCTGCAGCTGCGCAAGGATCTCGACAACGTCAAGAGCCAACTGTGAGTCAGGCATTTAATGCAAATTAACTCATTTTAAATTTAGCTGTTAAATTAATACAAATTTTATTTATAGAAATTAAATCAGTGCCAGTTAATTCGATTTAGAATGGCTCTTCAGTAATGGCTGTTTTATTTTGAAGGACAATAAATTAAGAAATATGTGGACTTTATTTCTCAATATGTACAAAGCGAGCTTCACTCAACAAATCAGATCAAATGAAGAATTTGTCCCAATTAACATGGGAAGGGACTGTGCACAATACACTCATAGCATTACCACGCATAATCTCCAAACTTAAACGCTGAAACAAAAAACAAGTGGAGCGACTCTCGCCCGTCCTCATGAACAATTTTTTACCAATCTCCTTTAACGTAACAATGCCGGTCTCACACCAAGTGCCAAAAGTCTCGCATGCGAAGGGAACAAAATAACAGCGATCAGTAAGTGACTTGTATTTTCTTATCTTCTCCCGGCATGCAAGTTCAGCGGCGGCGCCAGCACACTTTGAGGTCGCGTCGATGTATGAATCAGCCATCGTGTCTCTGCAAGTAACGTCCCAAACTAAAGGCTGTCCACGATACCATTAAGAAATTGATGGATATTGTTGAAACAAATTAATGGCCTGTGAATTGTGTGTAGTTTTGGGGCATTAAAATAAATTAATGATTTTGTGCGTTAAATTATTTGAAACTTTTCATTGAATGGAAAATGGAAATTAATTTACTAAGGAATATATTCATGGAAATTAGACTGAATTTAAATGGAAAAAGTGTGAGAGAGTTGCGTATTGATTTAGGAAAGTGGCGCAGGACGAGAACCACTTCTGCCAGTTGCGTCTGAAGGACTCGCAGGATCTCATCCAGCGGCTGTCGCGCGAGAAGCGCGACCTGGAGCGCATAGTCACGGAGAGCCGTCTGCAGTCGTCTGCCGGCGAGGCCCTGCCGGCGTCCGCGGAGTGCGCGAGCAGCAGCATAAGTGCCGCGCGTGCGCGCAGCCTCTTCGAGCTGCAGAAGGTCGTCGACTACGGCCAGCACAAGTCGGCCCGCGTCCTGGCCCACTACCCCTTCCACAACGTCCTCCTCGTCTCCCAGAAGCTCACCTCCGCCTCCGCCGGCCCCTTCAAGGTGCGCGACCAAATTTTCAACAGTTTTTCGCCATTTTTAGGCGCTTTCGAATGAAATTCTTCTGAAAGATTTACAACGGAATTCTCAGTTCAAAAATTAATCATTTTTAAAATTTATTTTTCCTTTTTCCCAGCAAAATTAATACGTATTAAGTTTGCTGTGTAGACATTGAAAGAAAGAAATAATTTAAAACTGATTTTGGACAGTTTTTCAGACGCTTTGAATTGAAATTATTTAAACTTTAGTAAAACTATGGCAGTAATAATTTAAAAAAAAATTTTCATTGCAAACTACCTGAAAGACACGAAACCATTTTTTAATTATAAAAAAAATCAATTATTACTTAATTTTTTCCCCAAAACATATTAATTTTGCTATGTAGACAACGAACTGAACGAAGGAAAGAAAGTTAGAACTAATTTTGGGCCGTTTTTTTAGACACTTTGAAGTGAAATTATTTTAAACTTAAAAATTAAAGGTTACAGTAAAATTATTGCAAAAATAATTTTAAAAAGTTGAATATTTCGTTCCAATCCATCTGAAAAGACACGATACCATTTTTTAATTGTAGAATGATTTGCAATTGTGAAGCATGAAATGGTTAGAAGACTAGTTTCATTCCCGCTCCACTTGCAGGACTCCTCCGGACTGCGATTGGTCAGCTGCAACGATTTCCGCAGCGAGTTGTTCACCCTCCCGTGCGGCCTGATCCGCGACATGTCGGTGAACAACAGCGGCGGGACGGCGCTGATCGCCAGCGCCAACAACTGCCTGACCGTCTACAGCCTGACCAACCACTCCGTCGTGCACCAGTACCGCGACGAGGCGCCGGTGTGGTGCTGCGCGTGGAACACGGAGGACGGCCGCTACCTGTACGCCGGGCTGCAGAACGGCTCCATCTCCGTCTTCGACCTGCGCAATCTCAACCAGCGCCTGACGACACTCACCGAGCACGCCTCGCGCGCGCCCATCATCCAGATGGCGCACGTGGAGCGCCGGCCGGGGCACGGCTTCCCGCTGGGCGGCCTGCTCTTCTCCAGTCTGGACCGCTGCGGCTTCTACGACAGCAAGGAGCCGGGGATGAGTGCCGCGCGCTACAGCACGCTGGTGCAGGGCGGCAGTCACTTTGGGCTGGCCTATGAGCGGACGGGGCGACTGCTGGCCAACTCCTTCCGGCCGGATAAGAAGTATCCCACCGTGCGCCACCGCATCGGCGAGCTGCACTACCAGGCCGACGCCGAGAACGCCACCAGTCGCGTCTTTGTCGGCGACCTGCAGGAGATCCACGGCGGCAAGGTGAGTCAACGGGCAGCCCTGTCATTGCTTGAATTAATGCAGATTAATTTGATTGCAAATGGAATTTTAGTTAATGATAGCAGATTAATCGGAAATAATTGTATTAAATTGAAACTGTATTACTGGAGAATAAATTAACGGGAACGAGAAACTGGAAAATCAAATTAAATTACAGTAATTGAAAATGGTCCAGCATAAAATGGAAATTAAATTACAGGAATGGAAATAAAATGACTGATTAATAGCAGAATATAAAATTCAAACTTTTTATGTGTGTAGGTGGGCGTGGGGATGTTGCGGGGGTGTTTCGTGCCGGTGGGGTGCGGGGAGGACGGGAGCCGGTGCCTGTTGGCGGTGGGGGACGAGGCCAGCCGGTCGGTGGGCGTGTGGGGTCTGGTGGAGCCCCGCCGGCCCAAACAGGACATCCGCCTGCAGGGGGTGCCCCTGGATATCCTCTCCTGGGAGGCCGCGGGCCGGCGCATGCTGGCCGTCACCACGGAGAACAGCCTCTTGGCCTACACCCTCACCACCCACAACTAACATCCACAACTAACGACCACTTTCCTCCACTTGCTCACGCCGAGACGCAGTATTTTATGCCTGTTTCTTTCTTTCTGCTGATGTTTAACCCCTTCCGCTAATGGTTCCTCTGTAACACATTTTATTAACGATGTTGGTCGCGCATGGAATGAGCGTGAGCAGCTTTAAGTTGTTTTGTGGTGGGACATGGATGTTAATTAACATTAACATTTAACAGAATGAAAAGGACAGAGTCATAGGTGATTAATTTCTCAGCCGGTCGAATACAGCACGGCACATGTGTCCGGCTGAGCATAACACGTGTAGCTACACGATGCCGATAAATAATAACGCTAATGATCGTTTGGCCAGCTGCAGCAGTTCCTGGCGGTGAGCGGCTAGCAGCGCTGCTCCTTCTGCGGCGGAAGAAGCGCTCGTTTGCGTGGAAGTGGAGTGCCAGTATAATGTGTAATGCAGTAATGTTCGTGGACGCCCGTTTGGCGCTAGAAGTTGCGGCCATTACTAATAGTAATGGCATTAGGATTATTTTGGCTTGCCAGACACTGGCATCATCATTAATCTGCTGCTATGTAGTATGTACATGGTACATGGAGAATATGAATATGCCGGCACAGAGCGGTGGTGTGAGGGTGATGTGCAGTATGGTCATAATCATTATCATTATTCCCGGCAATTATCATTTACCGCGGTTGAACCATGATCATAATCATTATCATTTGCCGGTTATACTTATGATGCTATATATACAGAGTACTGTAGTACAATATAACGGAAAGTGAAGTTCATTGGAATCGGCACACATGATAGAATGATACATGTACAACCATTTCCTCGCTGACATTACTCACATCCACATTCACATAGTTAAGCAGGTCGCCGTTAAGTTTAGTTTAGTGGCATTCCGCAGTAAAGATCATCAAGGATGAGCAGTCAGTACGAACATTAAGAATCCCCATCCGCAGTCAAGGGAAGTCAAGGCGGCAAGTGTCCACTGCGCAACCAGAAGGACGGCTTCTTCGCTTGCTGCCAGGTTTCGTTTCAGTTTCGGTTTCCTTGTAGGATTATCTGTACATGCGCGTTCCCCGTTGCAGTTTGATTTGGTTAACTTGTCAAACTGGCAACAAAGCTCTTGATTTACTACGGGTAGTCAGGCATAAGCCGTGTGGATTGAAAAACTGGGTACTTGATCATCTGCCGCATATATGTAAGTGCATGTACTTTATATAATATCGACAGTATATATATGCATGCCGCGTGGCGGAAGTGGCGGCCAATGGACGCCGGCAGTGCAAGCGCATTTTGCGATTTGGCAGTGGAGCGGTGTGGAATTTTAAACTGCCAGTATATGTGTATTGTTAATTGTCCCGTCTGTGTCGCGGCCGCCGGTCATCGCAGTGCCAACGAGGAACAAGTTGCTGCTTCCGTTGGCCATGTACAGTGGTACAGTGGTACAGTACACTGGCCAGCGACCAGATGGGTGAGCGTTAATCAGCGGCGCAGCTTCAGATCCGCGCCAACTGCATGTTAATCAAGGAGCATTCCACATTCCCAGTGTGGCTGCCGCAACGGCTACGCCCCGTGCACTGCTGCACTGCCCAACGGTCAGCGGACAAAGCCAGCGCTGATCAGTCTTAAACTGCCACTGGCCAGAATTTAAACTGCACAACACTTGTTCCGCACTGCATGCATATGACCAGTGCGTGCATTTGCAGCTCGCATATATACTGTAACTGTATAAGTACACAGTTACACTCCATGCAGATGAGCATGCTGGTCAGGAGAGTTTGAGTTCGCTGCGAATTCTGGCTAGCTTATCAGTGTCGGGATTGTCAAATTAACGCTGCATGCTCATTGTCCCCGGAGCCGCTTGCCTGATATACTCGTATATCGCTGTGGTTTACATGTGCATCATCCGGGATTTCCCATACAATTAACACGGGCGACGTATCTCTGCTTCTTGTTTGTAAAGTGTGGAATGCATAATTATGTTGTTGGATAATTCGTATTTCGTGGTGCAGTATGCTTGGTGCACGTCGGAAATTAACTGACGGCGTCGTAATTCGCTTCTGCAGTTGTCATACGGGGATTAGATCAATCTGCAGATCATCGATGGTCATCACTCTGGTAATTATGTGCAGCCACTATCCACCGCACCGCCACCGCTGCCCGTCAGGCGGTGGCATCATCCGCCAGCCGACCCGACCGCAAGTTACTGGAGCCGGCCATCAGCCTGCGTCATCGATCGCGCAACAGAGCGGCGTCGGAGCGCGGTCACGTGCTGGTCACGCTTGTTGTGCAACTCAAGCTGTTTGTATTTGACGGGATTATTCATTTTATCGGGACGCGGTTGTTTCTCTTTGGGATTACGCGCTGGATTAACCTGCCGGGCAACGCTCATTCAATCGAATTTCTGCTCACCGGTACGTAAGTTGCAACTATCTCAGTCTACCCAGGACTAAAAGCATCTCCTTGAATTACACACACTGTGGAAACTGCAAACTACTAATGTGTCTGTTTTCGCTAGTGACCGCGAAGCACGGTACATGAATCTGATACTCGTACGGCGTATGTATATTTACGAGTTTCGACTGTTAAGTTAAGTCGACGGTCTTTAGCGTTTCTACAGTAAACGATCAAAACATCTGTACAATTTTTTCCCGCAAGTACGGACTGAACCGCCACGATAAATCGGCTGGCGACAATTATTTAAAATTACCTGCACCTATTTCGCTAATTCGTCAGCGCGATGACGACATTTCTGCCTGTTTGGCTGTTCGTGTCGTGCTAATTAAGAGCGCAATGCACGCGGCGATGACATGACGTGTACATGTCGTGCTGTATGTATAAGACGACCGACGACACCGGTACAACGTACTCATCGATTGTCCGCTAATGGCTCATGTAAGCGCCGGCTGCGACTGCGGCCCGCTGGCTCAGGCTGCTAATCGTTTGTTAGGCAATTAGCTGATTAAAGCCAGCTAGCCGCCCTCCTCTCGCCTCTCGCTCTGGCCAACTGTTGAAGCTAACGACCCGCCATACAGACAGCGCAGCGGCTCTCGCTCTCCGTCGCAGCTGCTCAGCACTGACCAATGGTCAGCCGGTTGTGCATAGTTTACACTGCACTGCACGACCACAGCGTCTCATTCAGCCTTCAGGCAGGCCGACGCAGAATGCAAGGAAGACGCAATAAACCGTCCCTGTACCGCACTTGATTACCGCTTTTACGACCGCTCATCAAGCTCATGCAACTGCCGTGGCCATTGATGGTGTTTATGTAAGTCGGTGTAGTGCAATTAGCACTGATGTATGTGCAGACGCAGCACCGCCATGTTAACCCCATCGCCATCGACCGGTTGCCTTCTAATCGTTTTATTTCCTCACACTTCCTAGTCCCTCATTTTCTACACAGTTTGCCGCCTTTTATTGCATCCACCGAGCCGCTGTGTGGGTCCCCATGCCCGCATTTGCTAATTGTCTGCAACGTTGCGCTATTTGCTCTAGAAACAATGGCTGGGCCTGTTGTTTCCCCGCTGCCAATAGGGATAACAGAGTAACGACATTCCCAGACTGATTGCGGTTGTTCGTATTAATTCCTTCAGCTTGTATGAAATTAATAAAGAGCAGTATGAACTTTACGAAATGATACGAAGGCTTGTACGGGCGCAGGAATGCCGGCCCCACAACAGACTGATAATAAAGTGATGATAAATGTTGGCTGCAGTATTTAGTATTTACGATAAAAATTGTCCGAATGAAATTAACAAGAAAATATTCTAATTTGATCCTTAGTGTATGAGCCGTGTATTCAGTATGGAACTAGCGCAGAAGTCAGCCTACAGAGCCGCAGCGGACATTAGCCCGTGGCCCGTAATATTCCCATAAATAGCCTGTCGCGATCAGGCAAATTGAAATCCCGTCGCTGCAGCATTTGATTTTCCGTGTTTCACATCGTTAGCGGCGCAAGGGATGATTGGCGCAAGGTCGGTGTCGGCGCAGTGCCGACACCGACAGCCGTTGCGTGTATGGAGATGTACCTGCGCTGCATGTACATGTACACGGGCAATTACGGGAAGGTCATTGCATCTGCATATACTTAATACGGGCGGCTTCTTGTCGTTTATCATGGAGGTGCCAGCAATTAAGCGCTCCTGTCGGAAGTGACTGCTGTCTCCGCTAGTGCAGACTGGACCGCTACGACGACTGTACAATGTGCGTGTGCTGATTTCTACAGGTTGCCACAATGAGCACTGCATACTTCTACTGCCTTGCACGAGCACAGTTAATTAACCCAAGTTATTTTGTGTTTGTCTGTCTTCTTAGCGTTTAAATTTGGACAATTTTAAGTAAGTAGTATTACGCTAACGCACTCTTTAAGTACAAAGTATCGAAGTGTTTAGAACCGAAGTAACTGTGCGTCCTTCTGGTGCTGTAATAATAATAATAATTAATAAATCCATCGCGATCGGCGATAGCCGGCCACCTTTGTCAGCTATAAACGCCCGGTAGGAAACCTGTATAAATTATGCAGCTTATTCCCGTATAAACTACAAGCTTGGTATGATTGTCCAAACAACGTGCGAATCACATTGCTGCTGTTTGTAAAAGTGGTGGTGGTACGACTAGTACTTGTCACTCCACCGCGTTATGCATGTTCCCCCGCGCGTGATGCTGGCGTTGGTGGCCAGCAGCGTGCGCCCGGAAATCGCCGCATGTGCATGTACAGTCTCCCGATCTCGATGGACGCGAGGCCGTTGCGAATTCCCAGCTGGCCGGGCTGCCTGTCAGCTCCGCCAGATGGCAGCACCGCGCCGACCATAGGAACCTGTGGATGCTGTTTCGCTTCTTTCCAACATTATGATTCCAGCTCGATTATGATTCCACAACCATTTTTAACTCGGGGCTCCTGTAAGTACTGCGGTACAGTACTACGTTTTTACGGCAGATATGACGTGTTGTCTACGGGCAAATTATAGTGTCGGCAGAGCAACAGCAGCATGGCATAATTTATTGGACTGGTACAGTAGTTGTTTATACGATTATTGTAACCAGTGTACAGTAATATAACAGACTTGTCGATCGTTTTACTTTTACAGTCGTAGTACAATCCTTATTAGATTCTTCTATATGAGTTTTGCAGATGCTTTTCATTGATTTTTTACTTAGTTTTATTCTATTAATCAAAACGCTTTTTATTAATTTATGGGATGGTTTATTTAAATCATACCGGTTGACAAAAGGGAGGCAGGCGCGGCAGATAGACGCAGCACATGAAAGCATTGAAGGCAGTGCTGTATGGTTGCCGGTAGGTAAAGTGTTATTGCTGTTTTATTGCCGTCCCTGTCAATGAACATGTCCCGACGGTTTCTCCTATTCAGCCATTTATTCTTTGCCGACCTGCACTCCTTCTTGGCTGCCTCAGCCTGTGTCATTAGCGCGGCGCATTAGCCCGCGCTGGCAGAGCTCGTTATGTCGTTAAGGGTGCAATATGAAGCCTGCCGCTAATGGCCAAAAGACGCCATTGCGCTGCACTGGCCCTGCATACTGCATGCCGCAAAACAACAAACACAAGCACCGCTCATTTGCCCGCTTTATCTTCAGGACAAGATATGTATATTTGCATTCAAACCGCGTTTTATTAGTACACAGCCGCTAACGTCATCCTCGCCGCTCATCTAACTCTGGGTAAAATAGCGTCCAATATTTTGTTACCATCATTAAGAGTTTTTCTTGGTGCATAAATAAAATTAATCTAGTTACACAGACGCCGAATTCTGCAAGTAACTGCGACATGTGTATCCTATGTATACGTTTACTGTTTACATATGCTGCTTTTATTAAGGTTATATATATATATATATATATATATATATATATATATATATATATAGATATATATAGATATATATATAAATTCAAATACATGTATTTATATATATTTATATAGCTTAATAAACGGTGACCTTTTTAATAATTTACTGTAGTATATATGCTTACGTCTTTAAAAAATTGCGCAGATTATGTATAGACGAATAAACAGTGTGGGTAAATGTATGTAAATGGATGCAGCAGCTGCAGGTGGAAATTGTGTTGGTTGTTGTTGGGAAATGTGTCAAGCGTAATGGTCACTTAAGATGACAAATGCTTTTTTCGTCCCCACCCGAACGAATCCCCTGCGCTGTCCCTGTCCCGACTTCACCGTCGTCGCGGAGAACAATCACTGAATCAGCGAGGCTGCTGCTGTTTGTGCAGGGACAGATATCGCGATTGTCGTCACTCACCATCCGCATCAGCCTCAGCGAACTAGAGCTGGCCGGCTGGGATCGGAATTCCCCGGTCTGACTGTATTAATCAGTCGCCGGTTCGGGTCACTTATGGCCATTCGCTGCACAACAGCGTCCCTTTGACAACACTACTTCCGCAAATGATGCCATTATCATTAGGGATTTAATACCGCGCTAGCTGCAGATAGCCCAGCTGACCAGGCATCACCCGCTCACCATCGCTCTCCCAGGCGTATATATTATCATACTGCTCCCGCTAACGCTAACGCTAACGCAGCAGACTGCACTGCGCCGCGTCAAAGGAAAGGGCATACCAATAAAATACTTTGCTTTATTATATTATTTATTTCCATTTCCCTGCAAAACAAACAGATAGACATTCAGTCATATATTGCTAAATCGGCCAGTAATAATAATTTCTCATCAGTATTATTGCCCTTATCATTGAGCAGAAAAATACTAAAATAAACTAATTGGATTTGATTGGTTACGGGAACTAAGCGACGTTAGTTGGAGGATCGTTTAATTAGTAAAAATGAATGTTGCTGTCGATCGTCCGGTTGTGGCTGTTCGGAGGAGCATTAATATTCGCGCACTCGACGCTGGAAAGTGCCTCTGACAGCACGCATCCACTGGCTCCATTCATCAACGCCACATCTACACGACGGCCATTTTTCATCCGCTCCCAACCAACTGCTTCTGCTCGGCTAGTCTACAGTATGTATACGTCAATCCTGACGGGCAGAACACCACGCTACTGCACTACAAAATTAAATACGCTCGTAGCGCGGATTATACTTGCATTTGCAGCTTTTGAAAACTGCAGTGTGTTTGGCTGTGCATGCATATCTGTACGTGAATTGAGTACGCGCTGCTTGCGTGCCTGTTTAGATCGTACACTGTATCGAGCATTGATTAATGACCTTTTAACGATAAAAGTGCGTGGAAGCACATTTATACTCCCCTCGACACGGCTCTTTAAAACCTCTCCGCATCTTTACAGAGAACTGTTTTATATTTGCACTTCGGCTGCACGCACGCAGTATGCATATATGCATCGCACAGAATGGAGAATTATTATTTGGCCTCGCGTTTCCGGCCACATTAACATAATATATCTCCGTTTAATGTCTGAAAATTATTGCCAGCTATCTTTCTAATGCAATATCTCTTATCAGCTTCGTAAATTGCGCCTGAATGTTTCTGCTCTCGCCAGCAACGGAAAATGGCTTTTTAATTACGTAAATGACCTCTTACGTGCCAGTCCATCAAATTAATGGTTATATAGGTGTTTTATGGACGACACTCGTCAGTTGAGTGCTCATAAAATTTAATAACAAATTCAGTTGCCGTAATGTTTCCCGTAATGCCTGCAATACACAACTTGCAAACATGTGTATTTTGCTGCAGACTTGCATGTATATTTGTTTTCACCTCTTCCAGTGCTCATAAATTCATAATCACACACGCATTCCATAATGCCGCGCTTGCATGTGCAGTTTCAAGGACTTTATGTTAATTTGTGTATTGTGGCCTTGATTTGACCAATAAAGTATGAACTTATCCTTAATAAGAATTAACAATTGTAAATTAATAATTGGGCCCATAGTTAATTTTTGCACGTCGCTACTTTTCGCTTATTTTTATTATTTATTGGTTAGATTGCTCATTGTAGCAGTACTATACATATGCCATACTTCAGATCTGGAGTGAAATGAATTATTTAATCAGCCATGTATTGCAATAAATACACATAAGTAGTCAGGCATGCAGCCGTAGCGGCCGCAGACTCTATCCATTAAACTTTGCGCAGCTACGGCCTAATTAAGTTTGGTGACCTTTAAATTGCGCAATCCACGTTGCGCTTTTTTAATGATTACAGCGATATGCCGGCTGCATTTTCTGAATTGAAAACGAGTTATCGACAGAAATTAAGATGTTGTTGCAATAAGAATTTTTGCGTTTCTCTCTTTAAAGCGTTTAATTTTGTAAGTTTATACAGAAAGTTTTGTAAGTTCTGTAGTTTGCATGAATTAACGTTCCCCGGTTTTCTCTAGTCTCTTGCACACGTATTCAGTATCCACCGTTTGCAAAGCATTTCTTTTATTGATTAATTTTATTCTTGTAGCAGAAATGCTCTGCTACGCCGCTGCGACGGCCCGCACAGATACAGTGAACAAAAACGACCACAGTGGAATAATATACCGCGCAACAGTTTCTAGAAATTAAATTAAATTACAACACATGCTTAACCGCGTTCCAATAATCCTAGTTCGTTAATCTAAGAGTCTGCAGGATTCTGCAGATATAAATGATTGAGGTCGTTGTAGAAAATTCATCACGGATCACGCGCTGCGCTGTGCCGCATAGAATTCGGCAGCGAGCGCAACGTCTTCCATTCTGCCCGGAAATAAGCGTATAACATAGGGAACCGATGAAATGTCTGTACACTGTACAGTCGACATTAGCATGCGCATGCGAAGGAAACTCTTCAGCGAAACAACAAAATTCAGTCTTTGGCATGTGGAAACGCAGAACAACGTCAGTCGGTGTTGTCTGCGGCAGATACATGCGAGGGAGTTGAGAGAGGAGAGGGAGCCGTCGCTCCATCGGAAGCTGGCTAAACCGGTCGATCCATTTTAGGTCAGCGCGCTGCACACGCTGTTTGGCTGCATATAAGCAGCGTTCAGTGGAGTTCAGGCCATGCTGGATGGACTGCCGCTGGCCGCCGCCGCCAACTGCTGCATGATGACGCCGTGCCCGATGTGGGTTGGGTGGGCGGGGCCGTGCGTCTGGCCCGCCGAATGGTGGCCGTGGCCGTGCTGGCCCAGCGGCCCGTTGCTGCCCGGGCCGCAGCTGACGGCGGTGGTGCTGCCGTGGTGCAGGTGGTGGTGGTTGTTGCTGGAGGGCTTCGTGTTGGGCAGTTTGTGGTCCTTCTTCCACTTCATCCGCCGGTTCTGGAACCTGCATGTCCACTCAGTATTAATTTTCTTTCTTTTTTACATGGCAGCATAATTATAAGTAAATTTTTTAAGTATTGATATACGTAAAAAGATCACCCTTTTTAGAGGCATCATACATATATAGTTATTCGCAAAAACAGTATATATAGAAAGGTCACGGCGGTAATTATACGTAATTTTACATATCTTTTATATATAACAATAAATAACATCATATTTATTGAATCCTGTGTTGAATACTGGTATATATAGAAAGGTCACGGCGACAATTAGCTGCATACATCAATATATACATTTATTTGAATCATAAATAGAACTGCATCCACGCTTAATTACTGCTATTATTATATCAATTTAGTGTATCAATGGCCGCTTTTTTAGCTGATTGGTAATGCGAGCATTATTGGTAATTACACTGCCTTGTGTTCGGTACAACGACTAAGCTTGTTATTTGTAAAAACAGAATAGCTAATTGGTAGTTTGTTATGTCGGCTTATTTATAAAAAGGCCCACAAGGAAAGCAGTGGAGCGAAAGAGCCCTGCTTGGAAAATTAGCTAGGATTGTTGGCATTGAGATACGTACCATATTTTGATTTGGCGCTCGGTGAGCTGCAGCGTATGGGCGATCTCGATGCGGCGCCGGCGTGTGAGGTAGCGGTTGTAATAAAACTCCTTTTCTGCAGCGAAGAAAGACCAGTGATAAGAGTGTACTCTGTATATACAGCTGCCTATGTACATGATGCGGTCATAAATCAGTCAGCAGGTAGCTATCTGCAATTTTATTGCTTGTTCAACACTTGCACCGCTTCGCATGCAGCCGACTGTCTGCACACACTCACAATCCCCGATATTTCATCCGACCACCATTAATCACGCCGCAGCTCGCAACACTCGTTAAAAATCATTTTCTGTGTTGCTTAACGAATGGTGCAAGTCAGCAGTACCTTAGAAAAAATAACAACGCAAGGGAAGTGTCCTTACCGAGCTCCAGAATCTGATGGCGCGTGTAGGCCGTCCGCTGGCGTTTGGTCTCCAGGTGGCCGGCGGTGGCGGCGCTCAGCGGCCCGCTGCTCGGCCCGATGCCGGTCCCGCTCAGACTGCCGTTCGGGCTGTCCGCGCCGCCTCCGCCGTACGCGGCGCTGCGGTTGCTGCTGCGATACGGGTCAGCGCTTCCTGCACAAAAATTAAAATATATATATATACTTATGTATACAGTATAAAATGAAAAATGCATATGCGTAGTTATTAAAGTATATGATAATAATTAAGATTAATAAGCAACAACATTTTACCATGGTGGTTGCCGGTGTAGGCCTTCTTCATCCAGGGATAGATGACCGGATGGTGGTGGGAGGGGCTTAATTCCTGGATGTGCGGCTTGGCCTCTTCCGTCTTAATGAGAAACCCGTCGTTCGCGGCGGCCTGCTCGTTGGCGGCCGAATCGGCGTCGTCGCCGTCCTCCTCCTCGGCGTCATCCGTCGCCATCGCATCGGCGGATTGCTGCTGCTGATTACTCTGCACGCATGGCTGCGCCTCGCTGGTGGGCACCGCGGGATTCCCGTGGTGGCTGAGAGGCTTCATGTCACTGTGCAGGCTGTGCGCCGGGCTGGAGACGGCGGTGCCGCTCTTGGAATGCGCTGGCTGTTCTGGGCTGTGCGGGGCGTAGCGCGCCGCAGCGGCCGGTGGGGACTGGTAAAGGTCACCGCTGTTGGAGGCGCGCTGGCGGTGGGTAGACTGGTAGGGGATGTCGGAGAGGGGCTGGTGGGCCGGCACCGGCATCCCGCCGTAGGAAATCACGCCCGACTCGTCGAAATGATTCGAGTTTAAAACTGCAATTATTACACTTTTCAAAACACTAACCGATTTTTAGAAAAATCACTGTCAAAACTATATATTATTTAAAACCCGTAAATCAATGTTTATTTACCGGTTGGATTGTGAGAGTAGTGGTGGTTAGACGCCGGCGAAAAGGGCTGATGGAAGGGCTCGACGGCGGTGGCGGGGTCGAAGGGGTAGGCGGAGGGCCAGAAGTGGTTAGTGGGCGAGCTGGCCTTGGTGGCGTGCTGGCTGGAGGCCATGCCGGGGTAATACGGAGAGGCGGACTGGTGCACCGGGTAGCCGTTGTAGCTGTTGGGCGGCTGGTACACCGGGAAGGTGCCGCTCCCCGCCGAACCGTTGACCATGCCCCCGACCGCTGACTGCCGGTAGCCCGGGTACAGGAATTTGGAGGCGGCCGCCGCGGCCCCGCCGTAGCCGTAGCCGTGGCCGCACAGCGGATGTCCGTTGGCGGCGTCCATCCTGTTCAATCCAACGCATATAAATGTCGTATTTACGGCGTTGTGTAATTTATGGCCGCGACTATTTATCACGTTAGGAATATTAATTGCCCGTTCCGCGTGTGTACGACATTACAGCGTTTTTTCATGAGGTTGCTGCTGGAGCGCGACACGCTACTTATCCATGTTTAAGCATGTACCTCCACTGTATCCACACGCGGGTTTGATCAATGGTGCTTGTTGACATGCGGTTATTAGGTAATTATTTCTCACACGTTTACATGCTGAAACTGCTTAGCGAGGAAAAATAAATGGATTGAAGGCCGGCCGCTACATGAGCACCTATTTATCAGGGATTCATTAATTTCCGTCTGAACGTTAAATTGTGCAGTGGGTATGAGTAGGACTGTAAGAGCGTTTAAAGCGCCATCATGTCGATTGTTTTTCTAATGACTTTGATTAATGCCGCTACCTGTGATGCCTGTGCCAAACACTGCGCGGCGCATGTCTGTTGCTGCACAGCGAAGCGGCCGCGGCCGCTAAGCGTACTCGCTGTCTGCATATATATGCAGCTGCACGCTGCAGTGCATGTTGCCTGCGAAACGATAGAAAACGCTGGCCACGTGATGAAGAAACAAGCTTAAAAATAAGTAATGCCCGCCAGGCATCGTTTTTCATCGAATGCCAACTAGCCTGCATTTCCTTAACATGCCCACGCTTTTTAACGTCGTGAACCACTTAATACTGTGCCGTTGTTGTTAAAATATTTTCTTAAGACCACAGCACAGCATAACAACAGTTCACCAGTTTCAGAAATTAGAAAAAGATTCTTTTACCATTTTCTAATAAGGTCATGCTGTGCAAAAACAAGAATCACCAGAATCAATGTCATTAAAAGAACATTAATTGTATGTCAAATTTTAATGTCGTAAAACTCATCAGAGTCGCGTTTTCTCTAGCGAATAATTATTATGGAATTTAAAGTTACCTTGCACGCAGCAATTTCCACGGTTTGGAGTGGTGTCCACAACAAAAGCGGAGCGATGTTAAATGGGGTTTTAATGGGCAATATAAAGTGGTGGATGTTTTTACTAGCGCCACCGTAATGGAGCATGCAATATGATCATTAACCTAAGCGCGCCGTAGCGCCGACTGGGTCGTGGCTGCAGCAGCATTGCAATAATATTGCGCCGTTATACGCTCGTAAACGTTAACGGTCATAAATACACGCGCAGCATTAATATTATTTATGGCCAGTGTTTATGGGCATTTTTGGAGGAGTGTGAAGAGCGGAATGGGTCATTAAATATGATTAACAATCAGAATTAATCATCCCCACTTGCGCGGCCACACCGGCCGCGCAGCACTATCCGCACAGCGAACTAATGTTCTCCCTTCATGACACGACAATTTCCACTATAATTTCGCATTGCTACCTGTCAACAAGGGTTTCAAGTAATTATTTATGTTTCTCTCTGGCCAAAAAAATGGCACCGTCGATCAGGCATGAAAAGCACTCACGGTTAAACAATGGCAACATGTGACCTTTGATCTACATATTACGCGCTTATTGTCATTGACTTGTTCTTGTGCAGAAACACTTTAAATCAAAGAAAAATTAGTTTTTCGTTAAACTATTTGTGAAACGATATGAAAATGGTGGTTATACGAATTTTATTTGCAGAACCGGTGAGATGGAGGGAAATTCAGCGGAGCTTACCTTGGGAAAGTGACAGCTAATATTGTTGTGTGTGGTGATTAATGATGGCCGCGGCCGATGCAGCGAACGGGTCGGATCGGATGAGGCGGAAGAGAAAGTTGCTGCGGCGTTCCGGCTGGCTGCCGCTGGCTCGCAGATTGCCAATATCTGTATGTATATGATTATCAGTGCAGTGCAGGGCTTCTGCTGCGGATCGTGGAAGGTCGTTGAGACGTTCCAGCCGCGGCCAATTAATTGCTCCTTCCGTGCTGCACACACCGCTCACCGATCCTGCTTATACACAGCACAGACTGAATGATGGTAATGATGATGGGCGAATCAGAATGCAATAACCATCAACAATCATCAATCCCGTATGTATATATCATAATACAAGGATGCGGCTAACGTCTCAGCGCCGGTACGTATACAGCGGCCAAGACACTGGCTGTATCTGTACAGTGCCGTAATGGTCCTGTTAACATTAACTGGAAATTTATGATGATGATGATAATGATGATGATTATGATTATGGTTATGCGCCGCGCCAACCCAACCGCTTCAGCTGCAGCACTGCAACTTAAAGCGCCTCCGTGCCGGCGTTAAGTATAACTAGCGCTGCCGTAGTTGTGCGCCTTCGGAATGAGGAGAGCATAAATCAGGATGATGATGCCAGTCGCACACAATAAATAACCATTATATTCCCCTGCAAACGGCCATCATTTCTACGTGCAATGGGCATGCGATTACCGCGCAGCGGAATTTCGCGCAATTAACCTCGTGCGTGCTAAACAACGCTGACTGCAATTCAGGAAATGGCGGAGACTTCACTAGTGAAGAAGCAGAATAGATGGCTTCTTGGCAAGTAAATACGCAATGTCTTGGCAAGAGCGAATGTGTGGCGGATGTTAGATGGATTTCCTGAATACGTGCGTATTGCAATTGGGTAGGATCGGTGAAAAGTAGATCGGAAGCTGACAGAACAGGGCGGAATATATGGAATAGCGCTAGCATGCAACGCAATTCTGCCTGATTGTCAGCGTAAGAGAGAGCGGAGCAATCGCCGCCCATTGGACGCTATCTAGCGATGGCTGACAGCCTGACGCTAACGACGTGTACGTAAGGCCGCGGCTGTGGCCAGGGCGAAATGTGTAATAAATGGGCCACAGGCCGTCATTGGCTAATGGTAATGAGCGTAAATAAAGCTGCACTGCAGCTAACGATGCCGCTGTGCGTCTGTCTGGCGCTCTTGCTCGCTCTGTCTGCGCGCTTCACCTCGGCTGTCGTCGAAATAGCCGTTCTCTCTGAGACTGCTTATCGTATAGCCGCATGATGCCATCCCGACTCGACTGTCATTAGCCGGTGTAACGCTCGTACGATGCATTGAACAGCGGTGCAGTCGTACAGTGCTCATTAGCGACTAATGGCGCTGCCAGCCAGATAAGGCCTTTATTCGGTTGACGTTCAACGGCATTATATTTATTCACCCTGTGGCCACACAGCGCAGATAAATGTTGCTGTTCAAGTGGAAGCAAATGTTTTCCTTCACTTGACGCAGCTTGCCCTCGAGAGGAAGCTGGATTGGATGACCAGAGCGTCGCTCTTGTTGATCCCGTGGATGTGCAGGGCAGACGGGACACAGGCTGCATGATTACGCGCTGCGCGATGCAGCGGCGTCCGGGGAGGCATTAATGGGGATTGGAGGCGCCGGTCGGGTGATTGTTATTGTGAGGATCATGCGCTGTCCGCGCTGATAAGGCCCGAGATGGAGCTGACGCTAGCGCTAACGTGGGCGTTGTTGTCGAGGAGTGGCAACTGCCAAAGGATCTGCAATCGGCAACGGCTGAACAGAACAGATTATGCCATCTGTTTATCCATGTCTTTCGATATAATTCTGTACGGTAGCCGTAGCCAGTATCTAACTATGCAAGGAGCACTGGGCAGCGAGGCCTTTAATTTCCTGCTCGAAAACGCCCGACGTGCTGGCTTTACCCGTTCCGTTGTGAGCTGGGGCATTCGGCTAATACTGTCGAGCGCGATCGCTGCTAGATGATGGGCACCGACATCTCTGCGCGGGACTAGTTGGTTTTTTCCGCAGCGTAGCCGGAAGAGTCTCGACTGTCGACGATTCTGCATCAGATGGAGTTTATTTAATTATTCCACAATCGTCAGCTGATCCTGTTAAGCCGTATACAGCATCATGACAGTGTGAGCTGTACAGAAGCACACTGTCGTGACTTTTCGTCGCTCAAGCTAGTTCTGCTCTGTATTAAGCGTTAATAGGTGCCACGGTGTTGCTGAATGTGACATGCGTATATATATATCAGCATGGCAGGATTCTTATAGGCAGGATTGCAAACTTAAAAACCTTCCTGGCTACCCGGAAGCAGCACCTTTCGCTTACTAACTTGTCCTTATATAAGTGTAGCTACAGTAGTACCGCTGTTTCTTTTGATTAGCGAGCTTGACGGCGCTGCCCATTTCCTTCGACGCTCTGCTCGTCACCGGCACGAAATGCAGATCGCAACGTGGCACACGATGATGTATATTAATTCAGCTGCATTGGAGAAGGTTTCGCTAAGTTGTGTGACGCGTCTTCCGGTTGCTCCTGTAACGCGCACTGCAGGCAGCCGCACTACGCTGGAAGTGACCGACATTTACTCAACTGCGCTACAGCGAGTCGATGATCAGAAATTCAGCATTGCTGTGCATTAAACGCGACGCCAGCATTAATTTTCACGGTCAAGCGGAAGGGGGCGCCAGTGCGCATATAGATGTACCGGCCTGCTTGTTTCGTACCCTATACAATCGCACTTTGTAATTTGCACGACACAGGCTTTATCGTAATTATAACACGCGTTAATCTGCGTAAACCATCACACTGGACTGGCCGCTGCACGGCGTCGCTCTCTTGCTTTCGTACGCGCTGGTACGCGTTCTAGTACGTACAGTGTGGTACAGATTCGAGCGTATTACATTAAGCTTTATTTTGTTCGGTTGGCTGTCTAAGGAAACAAGTTTGCAAAGCGCTTGGTGCGACTGTACAATGGTCCATGGATTAGCGGAAGAAATGTACGACTGGTTTCTTACCATCAAGATAGCGCGCGCTGTACATACTGTATAATATTACGAGTATTAAAGTACGGTATTATGCCAACAAAGAGCATGGCCACTGCCAAGTTGCGCCGACTGCGTGGAAGACTTCCTGCTTACTTCATTCTCTGATCTTAACTTCCGCTCACAATCAGTTGCAACCTGCATTTGCACCACACGCATTTATACCGCGCGGTTTATAACCAGCGTGCAGTAGCAGTATTAGGCAGTTCCCGGGGTTCGCTTTTAACACGTGCATCGTTCATCTGCATATACGCATTTTATATTTGGTATACCTTCCCCTTCCGCAGAAAATGCTCTCTTCGACCGTGATCTTATTGGTACGAAAACCCCGTTGAATGTTAGCTGTTAAGATTAGGGAATTCGCATGAATAACTAATTCGTTTAGCTGCGCTAGTAGTCCATGTGCACTATATTTAAAGCGTGTTCAGTAGAAAAGGGTGTGTTCTTATAGGTAGCCGGGTGCCTGTTGGGGGGCGCCCTGGCCGGGACGGCGTCGGTGAGCGACGAGGTGACGCTGAACGTGATGCACGGCGACAGTCTGACCTTCCAGTGCTCCCCGCCCACCGACTCCATCCTGCTGCTGTCGGCCAACTACATCCAGCCGGAGACGACCACGCCGGCGCCCAAGAAGAAGGGCAAGGGCAGTGACACGGTGGAGCCGGTGGCCTGGTGCCCCAGCAGCAGCGCCATCACGGTGGTGGGGCCGGCCTGCGACGCCAAGAAGAAGTGCACCGTCAAGGCGCAGGACGCCGGCAAGGAGCGCGGCTGCTCCAAGCGACCCCTCCGCATCCGCTACAAGTGCGTCGCCTCCGCCCGCCCCGGATCCCCGTCCGGCAGTGTCCGCTCCGCGGGTCGCCGCTGATCCGGCATGCCACACACTCATCTCTGAATGTTGTGGGTTCGCCATCTTCTGCTGTTGTATCCCGTATAGAAGTATTGCCAACAACACGGGACACGCATATGTAATATAAAATTAGCATGAACATCTGCCTACTGTATTCTGTTGCTGCTGCAAGTGGACTTGGATTAAATTGGTTGTTTGGTGGTTTACGGTATCTTCTCTAGACAATTCCCTCCATGGCACAACAAGGTGTACTACATAATAAAACGTCAAAAACATTACATTTAGCTACGGTATACGTAAAAACGGAAAGAGTTGTTATGACAGTACTTACGTACTTGCACAGGTACAAGCTTGTACAGATACATGCATCTTGCAATTAATTATATATATATGCAGTACACCCGAAAATTTTTTCATTCCTACCACTGTCTCAGCAATTATATTATTATTATAATATCATCTGTATACGTTGATAAATTCTTGGATAGATCGCATTCTGCGAGTGCAATTACAGTGCGTGTCCTCAGGTGTCCGCTACAGATATATCCGCAGCGGTCAGCTGAGTGCAGCAGGCGGCGCGTCCTCGACTGCCCGACCTTGGCTCACTTTTCACGTAGCCATTTTATTGATGCCTTTTTTGTGTGGCATTTATTAAGTGCTAGAGCACTTCAACCAACTCAAAAATTTTTTCACTGCATACTGTATTAGTGCTCCATTCTGACAGCAAGGTAGGTGTGCTCGGGATTCTCAGCACACAATCATGCGCTACAATCAAGGGCATTTGTACACGTGTAACAAGCACGGTACTACTAACTTTCTGGTGGTTTTCATTTAATTCATACAGTATGTTATCATTTTGTTATGCAAGCTTACCTAACCAGTACGGGTACTGGCAATACCACAGAAACATTTAAAATTGCACAGTATTAGCTCTAAGAAAAGTAGATATGGACGACTTCGTACACGCTAAACTTTTAGCATCAAGCTTATACCCACAGCGTTCTTTTTCGCCGAGTATACTTCACATATCCTCCCAATTTTCCAGGCCTGTTTTTGTTTTATTCTTATGTATCCCGCATGTATTCCACCAAGGAGTCTAAGCAAATTAACAGAATATATCGAAGATACACAAACTAAGGATACTCGTACTGTAACACAGGAGAGTAGTATACGGTGGGGACAGTACGCTATGCATGAGGAACAAGGGACCGTATAACGTAATAAATGGTGAATACGTATCCTGATGAGTACATACCGTACAGGATAATAGCTGATTTAGCTAAAGACTATGCATGCATGTACATCACGTACGCCGATAAATATAAGCGCATATAAGCAACATTGCTTTCTTTTCGATCGATCCCTTATTCCCGCAGCGTTTGTCAATCCAAATGCAGCGCGGCAATGCGATATGTGTTATGGGTACATCCCCGACCAGAACAGCATAGAAGAAGTTATAAAATCTAGAAGAAGCATAGAAGAAGTTAGAAGTTTTTTGTTATAAATCGTGTTTAAGTACAAGCAAGTACTCATCGTCAGTTTGTACTTACATGCAATACTTATAATCCCGAAGGTTCTGATAGTAAGTATTACTGTTTTACTATAATTATATGTATAAAAGACACGCAAATAAGGATCCGTACAATGCCATCGAGTGTAATTGTATAGTGTACGCTTATAGTATCCCATGCATATATTTATAGATGCAGTATTCTGTTCGTTAATTACTATGTGTTGTTTCAGAGCTGAGAAATTTTTTTCAGACCCTAAATATGCGTCTCATATCTATATATCCAGGTAATTAGCGCTCAGTCGACTGCGTGTAATTTTTATTGACATGTGTTGTGCGCAAAAAATCTCTAAAAAATAATAGAACTAAAAACTGACTGCTACGTACATCCTCCCGGTACATGTACATCCGGACAATGAACTCATACGTCTTGTATGTATTTCGAGACAGTATATCGCAAGTACTGTACTTCCGGCCGTTCAGCGCTTCTGCTCCTGCTCCCGTCAGTGTGCAACTTAACCGGATACTGTACCGTGTGTACATAGTGACAATATTAATGCGACACCGCCGGTTCACTCTGTACACTGTACATATATTAAATATATATTAAAATTATAGCCTTAATTGGGCATACCATAATTACAGCGGCAAAAAAGGGGGGCTGAGCTATATCGTAGCGACGTAGACATCCTATAAAAAATTAATACAGTATCAATAGGAGAAAATGCGATACTGCACACAACAGCTGAAAGCCACATCCCGCTGCAATATGAAGAGGTCGGGCAAGGAAATCGTTGTTGCGGGAAAAATCAATTCGCATATGAATGGATGCAGGGGATCAGTGGGATAACGCTGGCCTGGAACTGCATGTGGCACATAATGCCGTATTCGGTAATCACGGGCAGCGGCACAAACCAAGCACACTAACTGTGATCCACGATTCCACCGCACGCTACTAAACGCCGCACCAGCACTTCCTATCGATTTCATAACAACGTTTAGCCCGCGTAAACCCTTCGCGATAATATTTTATAGCAGCATATGTATATAGAACCGATCATCTGTACATTCCAATTAATCGCAACGGTTCAATTCTTCCCGCCACATCAAATTTCCTGTTAATTTCTTCGGGATTTTGCTGTTCGAGTTATATGGTGCAAGCCCGTTAGTTAGTTGCATGGGCGTTTGTAGCGCATACATATGTGTTGATCCTTGAGAGTTGTTCCTTATCCACAGTGTTTCTTGTACATGAAAGATATTGGCTTAATGGACTTGATAAGTACCTGATTCGATTGCTGTTAACTGCGGACTAACGGACTACTTCCGGTTGCTGCCTTGCCGCGCTTCCTACTAAACTAGTTGAACGGCATGCGCTTGGCGTTGTGGGTGGATCGCTGCCTGATCGCGGGCAGGTGCCGGCGGGCGCTGTGGCTGGCGGCGGGAGTGATAGTGCTGCTGCTGCCCTGGACCGACGCGGCCAGCAACCAGTGCACGTACTACGGCCTGGACCGCTACTCGGAGCCGGAGCCCAACCTGGCCAACTGCTCGTGGTTCGCCGGCAACGCCTGCTGCAAGCGCACCGAGGTGACCAGCGTCTTCGCCGACATGTTCCAGCTGTTCGGCGCCACGCAGGACTGCCTGAACCGCATCAGCTACCTCATGTGCTACTTCTGCAGTCCCGACCAGTACATCTGGTTCCGCGAGTGCGTATACACATGTATATATAAACATATATATACTTATCGAATGTACGAGGGTATATAGTATATACTATATATACTGCACATAAAGTGTATATAGATATGCAGTATATATAAATTTTGTATATAGTATAATTATGTGTATGTATGCCTGCCATTCACTATTACATATAAATATATATTAACGATAAGCCGGTTTGCAGTCTGCAGTAGAAGTACTGCCATTAAGCGCACCGTTAATGTAGTTAATTGCAGGAACAAGAAGGCGAGCATCTGCCGGTCCTTCTGCGAGTCCATCTACGAGTCGTGCGCCGACGCCAGCTTCACGCCCGAGGGCGAGACGCAGACGCGCCTGCTGAAGGATTTGTTCGTGAAGAACCGCGAGAAGCAGAGCGAGAACACGGACGACGGCGGCTTCTGCCGCGACAACTTCTTCGACGTCGTCGAGGGCGACAAGGACTGCTACCGCTTCGACTCCACGCCCTTCAGCCACGCCCCCGCCCGGCTAACCACCCCCGCCACCCTCCTAGCTACAGCCGTCGGCCTCCTCCTTCTCTTCCGCTCATGACCATCGTATTCGCGTTTCATTCGACCAAGGCAACAACCATTAATTGCATCTTGCATTCAGTTTGAGTTAACAAAGTGTGTGATAAAAACAAATCTGTCATGTACCGGGTGAAGTGAACGTGAAGTAAACAGCAATAAATTAAATTAACAATTCGGGTTAGAAGGCTAAAAAACGGTAACAAGATCCGGGAAGAACTAGAGCAATCAATTACAAAAACATTAAGGCACAAAAATCGTGGCACGCACACCGCGCAGTGACTACAGTTCGTCGTGTTTTGGTCCGCGGAATTCATCGTGCGAGATGTATCCATCCTGCCACGAAACCACCAATTTATTCATTTATTCTCAAATATCACTTAGAAATTCATTTTTATAATAATTTTTCTTTTATTCTTACGAATTTCTGAGTTTTTCTGTTAATAGTGATTAATTTTATATTTGATCAGCAATAATAAAAATTAACAAACGCACCTGGTCGGCGTCCTCGTTCTGGAAGATGTCGGCGATGATCTTGTCGGTGTCGAGCTCCTGCGTGCCGCCCTGCTGGTGCTGCTCGATCTGGGCCTCGATGAAGTTGAACATCTCGGTGCGGGAGAGGCGCAGGTCCTCGTCGGCGTCGATGGCCTTGAAGATGTTCTGCTGCGGCGGCGCGTCGTGGATGTCCACCAGCTCCGTCTCGAAGACCAGCGTGGCGCCGCCCGGGATCAGGTTGCCGGCGCCGCGCTCCCCGTAGGCCAGCTCCGGCGGAATGGTCAGCTTGCGCTTCTCGCCCTTGCACATGCCCAGTAGGCCCATGTCCCAGCCGGGGATCACTTGTTTGCGGCCCAGCTGGAAGGTGAACGGCGACGGGCGGTCGTAACTGCGACAGACACACACGTTAAACTGTTTAAACTGCACCGACGATCAGTTTCACAACGTATTCTGCTGCCGAGATTACTTGCAAATTTTGTAAAAATAAAAATAATTATTAAAAAAATTACAAATTATTAAATACAAATAATTTTTTAATTATTAAAAAATGCATAGGAAATTTCCGTTGATGCTCGCTAGCGACAAGCAGCAACCTGCAAAGAAACAGCGTACCTGGAGTCGAACTTGGTGTTGTCCTTGGCCAGATATCCCGTGTAGTGCATGACCAACATGTCGCCATCAGCGGCCTGTCGTTCGCAGGGCTCCGGTTTGGAGAGTGTCTCGATCTTGAGGTCGTCGGGGATGTTGAGGCTGTTGGAGTTGTCTTCCTCGGCCAGACTGCGTGCAGTCAGCAGACTGCATCCCACCACGCACAGAAAAGCCAGACCGCGAGCGTTCATGGTTGGGCAGGTGAGTTACACTCGATCACAGGGATACACAGGGAGCAAGAGCGACAACGAGCGGAGATCTTCAGAGCCAACGTGGCTCTCGAATAAGAGAAGAGGCTCTCCGACGTCAAGCAAGCTCAGAAAATCCGCCTACGCTACCACACTTTCCTCCACTGAATCCGCGCTCTCCTCAATTATTACGTATTCAACCAGCTTCAAAAAAATTAGGCTGAATAATCCTGTTAAAAACGAGCGCAACAATTTGCAGAAGCAAAGATGCACGCTGCGGAGGAAGATGTCAAAATTAAAAACAAACTGAATGGCTGGCCATGTGTGTGCAGCGATAAAAAAACTTCCGACGTGGCCGAACGGATTTCTCACGAAGCTGCACGATCACTGCGGCAACACCGTGCGCTGCGCTCATTGGTCGCATTGGCTGAGGGGGGAGGTTTTGCTCTGGCTGGTTAACGGCCTGATCAGCCTGCGATCTGCATGCACGTGTTTTGAAAATATTCATGTTCATTCATGTCGAGCGTGAGGTTTCTTGTTGGATGTTGGATATTTTTGTGGAATAGCATTCTGTAACCTGTGGAATAGCATTTTTGTGGAATAGCATTCTTTAATATCTGCCTTGTGTCCTTGGGACCTTGAAACAGGTTTTATTACGAACGATTGGATCGCTGTGGATCATTTGCGAGTCCGCTGATCGTGTTTGCGAAGGAAGGCAGGATCCGGAGTCAGGATGGATGCGATGGAAGTGGAGGGAGCGGAGACGGAGGGATCGGTCCCCCCGCTGCCGAGGGGCCCGTCCACTCCCCTGCGCAACGCGGACAGCAGTGAGGAGGCCTACGTCGCCATGATGCCCGAGCCCGGGGAGGACGAGCAGGTGTGGGGGCCTCCTAGTTCCTTCCCTCTGAGCGTCAAGAAGTTCAACCCCGTCTTCTTCTGGAGCTGGGACGTCCACTCCGACAACTGCGCCATTTGCCGCGTCATGCTCATGGAGCCCTGCCTCAACTGCCAGGTCAACAACAAGACCTCCTGCATCGGTCAGTCAACTGTAAACAGTACATTCGCCTTCTGTGGGATAAATCAGCGTTCTCCACATTTTGGCCTCATCCGTTATTTAAGATTAATTCGGACTTTAATTTAAATTAAGCATTTTGAATTGAATAGGAATTTAACCAGATGATGTTAATTTATGGATCAGTTTAACATGATTCTAATCCAAGTTAAAAACAGGATTTTGATTTGAATTAAATAGGAATTTAATCGAATTAATAAGAATATAAATTTGAATTAAATAGGAGTGTAATTTGGATTTAATTTAAATTTAGGGCCAGTCGCGACAGCAGAAGCGTGACACATTGTGAGGGTCTGTCTACGCTGCTGTTAAATTAATTCAGCGTTGATTGCAGTGGTGTGGGGCGAGTGCAACCACGCCTTCCACAACTGCTGCATGTCGGCCTGGATGAAGAACGCCAGCCACGCGGGTTCCGGCGCGGCCAGCAAGTGCCCGCTGTGCCAGTCCGAGTGGCTCATCCAGCGCATCGGCAACTGACCGTCAATGCCTTCTGGATGGGGGATATTTGGATGACTGCTGCTCCTGTGATAGAATCTTCAAAGAGCGTCGCTGTATTTCTCTGCTCAGGTCCTTAATTTATGGTTATAATAAATTGCGATTTATTAATAAAGTCAGTGGTGACGAACAGCAGTTTAAATCTGTGACTGAAGTACGGTAGAAATTTCTGAAATGATTGGAAAGGAAATTTGAAGAATAAATTTGTGAAAAACGAATTCAGATTTATTTTCGAGCATTCTTCCCAAAAACACAGAAATAAGTATGATGAAATATTAGCATAAGCAGCACATGCAGTTACTCATATAGTTATCGTTTACTTGCAGTTTTTCGAATGTTATTATCGTTTCAAAGCCTGCGCGCGCTCCGCTGAATTACTTTATTATTTTCACCACATCTCACCGACATGGTTACGAAGCCAGATGAGATTACGAATGTCGAATTATTGCGGAAATCATAGTTACAAATCACACTAGAAAAAATCCTCAGCAGTATTCGTTAGGGATTCACTGCACATAAACAAGAAAAGAGCGCGCTTACTAGAACAAAACAGGCGCGAGCTTCGCACAACAAGTACAGTACTTACAGTAATAACAGTATTGCTAATAACGGTGCAGCTGATAGGCAGCGTCAAATACATACAATATACCAAGACTGGAGAGCAGCGGAAGGCCACCTGGAGAAAACGGGGGAAAGCAGGAGAGAGAGATAATAAACAGACAGCAAAGGCGCACCACGGTGCAGTCAGGATAATTATACAATTCGTTAGGGCAATAAATCATCTGCGTCGGATCGGTAGTTGATAAATGGATCGGCCAGACCAGACAGGAACCCAGGACAATCAATGGGAAGTTGGGAATGGATGCAGGGATTGCGAAGGAGGTGATCCAGTGGGCATCTGCCTCTGGAGAGTGCAGCGGACTCCACGAGGGAGACTGCTGGCTGCTGTGTCTGCGTGGAGGCGCTCACGAGGCGGCACTGCCTCCCGCCGTTCCCGCAGCGGCCGCAGCAGCCCCTCCATAAACATACCAATTAATTTCAAAAGAAACTCCCAAATAATTCCAATTAAATCGAAATTTAATTCCAAGTATCATTAAATTTAAATGATAAATTCCCAATTAGTAGTTCCTAGATATCTAATTGGAATTAAATGAAATCAAATCAGACTCCACTGAATGGGATTAAAATGAAATTCAATGAAATAACGGAGAGGGTGAGAGCGCTGACTGAGTGATGCCTGATGCCTTACCCTTGCCGTCGCAGGCGACAATCTTGACTTTGTCGACCTTGACGGGGTCGCTGTGCCCGTGGCCGGGGTTGTCCTTGAACTCCACGTCGCGCAGGATGAAGGTCCAGACGTTGTCGCAGAAGCGGTAGGTCTCCAGGTGGCCCGCCTGTCCAACAAAGTAACGAAGCAGCGTCAGACCAGTCAGCAGCACGCAGCAGCATCACCCACCTTGAAGTTGAGCCGCGACTTGACGCGCGACTCCAGCGCCGTGTTGATCACCTTGTCGAACTGCTGCAGCACCTTCAGCGCCAGGCTGGGCGTGATCTGGCCCGACTGCAAGACTCAGTATCACATCGCGTTGCTAACCCCATGCCAGCACGACTACCAAACTAGTCCCAACGCGTTCTGTACCTGGATCATTTCGTCGAGACTCTCCTGCAGGGTGCTGCCCAGGGTCGTCGTACGGTACAGCTGATAGGCCATGGCACAAGGATTCCTCCAACCACACAACCAGGAATGACAATTAATTCGACCCACAGAGCCCAGTGGACTAAACAGGCCCCGAGACTAGTGTGGAAGATGTAAAGGGGACACGACTCAACAAGCACGCTCACTGTCGTTCAGCAACCCTTTCACATCAAACGGCAAAGACGATACCACTTGGCCCTTGGGCAAATTAATTATCTTCTAATACACCAGCCAAAAATGATTTCACAAGGATTCAGATCACAGCAGAAACCAAAGTGATTGTCTTGTAATTTGTACACGTAATTCTAAACTGTCAACATACAGATAGAAGGTTCTGCAGAAAACTACCAACTTACTGCAGAGTGCAGAGCAACGCATGAACAGACGCCACTCACAGTTCACTCGTGTGATTAGTGATTACACAGCTGAAGCGGTGTCACCGCACGAAGCACACCCCGAGAGGCGGACGTCAAAATGGTGTAACGTAACAAACACCAGTCCGGGGCTATTCCCAGAACTAGAAAAACGATTTTTTTAAATCAAAATTATTACAAGAAAGCTAAAAATTTGGATATGCGAAAGTATTCGCGTAGCAGCGTTGCCAGCGTAGCATCACGCCAATTGAAAATCAACCGGGAGCACCCTGCACGCCTAGCTAGACATGTTACGAGTGCACAACAAAAAGTAACAGCAAAATGCGTACGAGTAGTCGTATCACTTGAACGAAGCAGGCCATTAATTTTGCCGTTGCGTCTTGATTCACGAATCGTGATCCCTATAATTTGTGGTCTGCCCTGACAGTGTGGCTTATTATTAGTTTTCTGGAAGATTCGATTTATTATGATTCTCATTCACTAAGCAGCTGTTGTCTTTGATGATCCAATTATCCATGGTTTATAAAATGGGCCAGGTTAAGTCGTTGAGACAAGTCGATATCGGACAGTATACTACTATACAGTGCATACTGAGCAATGAGCATGGAAAATGATGTTGATCAGTGGCGCACGTGGTTACGAACCTACGTTGGTGATGTGCAGATTGCTATGGGACTGTTTCCTTGCAGTAAGAAATTGTCGACGCACGAGTACGGTTTTATTTTTTCTTGGCAAAATATCTTCCAGGCACATTGCAGGAGGAAGCTGCAAAATGTCATATGTCATGTTGCTTTGTGCCTGCCTGGCTGCTTGTGCTGGTTCCCGTTCGTGAGCGTGTTGGCTCATGAATCGTGAGCTGACTGCTTACGCGAATCACAGTAATGCCAAGGGATCATGGCCAGCATCTTGTTGATCCATCATGTGGACTGGCCGTACCGCAACGTCGTGTCCTGTGTTGCGTGGCCTGTCCTGCGAGAGCGGGACTAAGAAACGTCCAGAATCCAGATGCCATTGCCATCGCCATGGCAGCTGTCAAGAGCACTCGCCAGTATGCAGCAGGTGGGACGGTGTGGCCAACCTGCTGCATCTTTCCCAGTGTGCTTGACAGTGTCTCCAGCACCGCTCAGGCTCCGTGCCCCGCTTCGTCATTGGACTGATTGGAATAGTAATAGCCACAACTAAAAGCAGAGCCACCAGTGCCACTGCCCATCACCACGGATCCACGATTTGCGCACTGGAAGCAGTTAGGTGTGCAGGTAAGAGCCAGCAAGCTGCAAGAAGTCTGTAATGGTAAAATAATGATCACCCGCGATTACTTTGTTACTAAACACTGAACAGTACTTGATTACTTTTTCAAATTGCTGCTTTTTATACAAGTACTGCAAAATTCCACTTACAATTAGATATCACGATCGTCGAAGGCGCACGGTGTTCTAAATTTCTAATAAATCTGAATTGTTAGCAATGACTGCTTTATCGCCTTGGAAGAAACTATTACACAATTGTGTAAACTGTTCCAGCGACCAGCGTCAAAAGCACTGATGGACATGAACAAGGTTTTTCTCTATCACTGACCACTGCATACCTTTCATGGTACTGGTCCCGGTTGAGTGTTATACTTTATCCCAGCATCAGATCCCTGACTGATCTGATGATGGTGATGTAATGCATTTTAATAATATAGTTTCTATATTCTGTTAAGTTTTGGCAGGTAAATTTTCTATTGAGAAGCACGGGGAATGCGGGGACGGTGCGTGGTAACTTGATCCGAACGAGTACAGTACGGATTAAGATGGACAGCGTTTCTTGCCAATCCCCCTCGACGGTACTTTTCCGGTTTCATTGCAACGTTTCTATAGATTTTTGGTGTGGTGAGCAATCAAAGTCCTTCAGAATCCCCTATATACAACGGGAGCCCGCCATTTGTATGATTAATGGGATTTACATTAATATCGGGTGGTACGTATCAGTACCTGTACAAGTATACTATACTTCTATACTCGTACATAGTTTTCGATTCACAAAAGAAACATCACATCCTAATATTAACAAACAGCAGAAACATGCGGCCGGATTACAGAGAACATTTGATCTAAATTAGCCGAGGCCGGTGCCGTTCCCAGGCCGGTGCCGTTCCCAGAAGTATACTTCTACTCTGTACATGTCGGTACGGTCAGTCAGCGCATTCATGGAGATGCAGCTCTCCCATGGTTTCACCGATCCCATATGAAGAGGCGCTCCCCGCCGCTGACATGTTCCGGGCGGCGGAAGTGTCTGCATCTCGCAGAGTCAACCGTACACGTATGTACGAGTACTATACGTATTCGTACATTGAAGAAAGGTGTCTTGTTGCAGTTAGAAGAAATTCCGCGTGACGTGCACCGTCCGATACGCCAAACCGGTAGCTACTAGCCAGGTTTGACACAACGTACGCTGACGCGACAATAATCACCGCATAATGACATTTTTTAGTCGGTGAGCTGCACTTGCTTCTTGACTGGCTGCTGTACAGAAGTAACACAACCACGGCAGACGCATAAACAAGTAGCAGTTGATTGTCAACACAGTACCCAGTAGGTGTCTTAACTTTACTTGAAGAACACACTAACCGAAAGAGTTGCGGCGTTGCGCTCAGCCGATATCTTATTAATTGTGACTTGTGAGGGAAGTCAATTTGCCTGTTTAATTCCCGTAACTGACAATTGTGAGCCGCATCGTGCTGCAGCGGCATCATGTCGGCGCGGGGATACGCTTCGGCTGGTCGCAGCGGAAGTGGCAGCAGTAGCGCGAGCGCCAGCGCCATCACCGCCGACCACCGGCGCTACAAAGCCTTCTGGTTCTACAAGAACGTCCTCGGTATAATCATATACAGATAGATCCGCTCTTGAGCGTTCAACACGCGCAATGACTCCAATATAATCAGAGCTATGTACATCAGGGTGATGTGGTTGTGTTGCCTGCAGATGTGGACGGGAACGGATACACCAACGAGGACGACTTTGTTCGCATTGCGCTGGTATGTACACCAGTGCTGTTGCTCTGTAATATCCCCGATATTATTTTACCGTCCGCTGTCAATTTACCAATTACCGATACATGTACAAGTACGCAACGTGGGCAAATAAGAGCTGGCTAATTAACGAGCCAGTGAATTCGGTGCTGTACATGTGCAGCTGATTACGTATAAACGGTCAGTGTTGATGCGAGTGTCTGTCTGCAGAATCACGCGGTGTTTTTCTGCAAAGGTGCCTACTTCAAGGACATCTACGAGAACTACATCGAGACCTTCCAGAATATCTGGCGCCAGCTGTCCAGCGAGGCCGACACTAACCAGGTACAGTCAACAACTTGGTATAATATATTATTAGCGACGATTAACTGACCGGAAATGGAAGTTAAGGGTTTCTGTTAACTGATACTTGTGCAATACATTGTTCAATACGTATTGATCACCATTAAAGGCTGTCATTAACGGGACAGTACGCAGCGGTGAAATACCGTACAGTAATACTTCTTGACATAATACATTATAAGTACTTTCAACTGTACTCAGTTTATCGTAATTATTCTAAACTGTACAGGATATAAAGTCGTGTCGATGTCTACATATAGATACAAATATGTGATACGAGTACTGTATACCAATATAGATGAATAATTCGATGGCTGTAATCAGCTAAGCCCGCGTTAATTGAGTGGAGAATGAGACGAATGTTGTCAGCCAAACTGCCATTTTTGGTCAACTTTTGGCAGTGCGAGTAGTGATTGCATTGTGAGTAATGCCATCATGACTAGCACCTGTACAGGCACATATACTGCGAGTGTTGAGCGACGCGGCGAAAACATGTGTGGCGTTGTTTTTCGTGCCGGTAGCATGTAAATACTGTACTCGTATACATGTACGCTGAAGATAGATCGATGCAGGCAAGGTATGCGTTGATAATTGTATAATTAAATTGATTATGTCGTACTTCCGGTGGACGTAAAGAAAATGCTAAGCATAGTACGCTGCATTCAGCCCACAGGAAGCTGGAACTGGTTAGAAATGAGGAGGGATGTAATTCTAAGGGGTGTTGTGGGTTGTGGCAGGACGGGATCGTGTGTTTCGAGGAGTGGTACGCGTACCTGCAGCGGCTGCAGCAGACGGGCATGCGCTCCTTCGAGGAGCTGCCGGGCTACCTGCGCGAGTTCATCGAGCACCACTTCAACGCCTACGACATGAACCGTACGTATGTTTTTCTATGGCTTTCGGGGATCGCCGGAAGTGGACAGTGGCAGCGCCGGGCATTGCCTGTGACCTTTACCTGTACATGTACCATCTGTATACTGATTGTGTAGGAGACGGACAGGTGGACGTGAACGAGTACCGGCTGTACCTGTGCGGCCGCAACATGGACCTCAAGATGGCCGGCGCCTGCTTCGACGCCCTGCTGGCGGTATGTATAACGGTATAAGTGTATAACGGTATAAGTATAACAACGTATACACGTAGAAACGATACTGACGGGAGTGCGCCCTTCGGCTTATAATTACTGACCTCACTGAGAAGACCCGTTCCGTCTTGATAAGGGAGTGCGTGCCGGTGCAGCGTACGCCCTGACCCATTAATTGCAGTTAAAAAGAGACCACTGCTAATGAATACTGTCGGCTGTACAGGGCGGCGACCGTGCCAAGGGCACGATCAACAAGCGGCAGTTCTGCGCGCTCATGTTCGACTTCTTGTTCTCCCTGAGCCCCGACAGCCAGGGCACCTTCCTGTGCGGGCCCCTGCACTCCGTCAAGCACACCGCCATCCACGTCTACGCCCAACTGGCCCTCGCCTAACCTCCTCTGCAGATCCTTCTGCGCCGGTCGACGCATATCTTATTAGTGTACATAAGTACATTGTACATCTACATGTACGCTGCTGCCAACGAGTATTGCCGCTTGATTGCCAGAGGAACGTCTGCACGATTGAACTGCTTTGTAACTGTTGATAACTGTACAGTGCTACTTATACAAATTTATGACGTACTTCAACCTTGTCACATACGCGCAACTGCACGGAAACACATTTCAACTGTGCACTTTATTCCCAGTAATGTAAGCATGCAATACTTATTTGTGTCTGAAGGACAATTTAACCACTTAATTTAAATACGTAACTATCTCGTCTGTTTGCATACTACATAACACATAGGTACTAATTAGACTGGTAGAGGCAGGTAATTATTGGAGTAATTTGTATTTTAATCCGGCAAGATTACGTATCGCGTACAGAAACGTACTTCGTTGCATTGAGGAAACTGATAACTGATATCAAAGCCGGCTTTCTCGCGGAGGGCGATAGTCTAAGTACTCGTTCAGCAGTTCGACTGGCGGTTAACAGATAAAAAGGTCAAAGGGTCAAATGATCAGTTGCAAATTATTAGAAAGGCAGTTTGTGGAGATCGTGTTGCGTGAAGAGGGCGTCGGTGGCGCGGAAGACCTTCTCCATGCTCTTGACCACGCGGGCGGTGGCCTGCTGCGTGTGGGGGTAGTCGTACTTGGAGACCTTCTCGCACAGCTGCACCTTGGTGGGCAGCGTGCCGATGGCCAGCCCCGCCGCCTTGGAGAGCAGCCAGGAGTGGTGCGTGCCCAGCGTGGCCTTGTACACCGGCGTGCACAGCGCCGGCAGCTTCTCCGCGTCGCCGGCCGTCTCCACCTTGGCCAGGAAGCCCATGAAGAACTCCAGGGTGCGGTTGAGGTGCAGCACGGTGCGGCTGGCCGACTGGGCGGGCTCCTTCTCTTTCCGCTTCGGCTCCAGTCGCCGCTCGGGTTCGGCGGCCTCGTGGGCCACGAGGGACGCCACCGTGGCGTAGTGCGCCGCTTCCGGGGACTGTAAGTAGCGCTCCAGGATTTTCACCTGCTCCCGGATGTCGCTGGCCATCGTGGCGAAGAGGGCGCCCATCAGATCGAAGAATCTATATCAGTGTACAGTGTACTGCAAATGTTAGTGACTAACTATGTTAATCATTAGTCCTAATTCTTTATACTTTATTTGCAATATGTACGGAGCTAGACGAGCATCGCTCACAGAAAGACATTCAAATGAAAAATTTGTCCCAGTTGGCACGAGAAGGCACCGTACGTAACACACTCATGGCAGTCCTGATTCCTATCAAGATACAGGACTGACTTGATTAGTAATTAAGGAACAGTCAGAATGGAATTCAGGCTTAAGCTCCATCGAAAGACTACGGTCCAATGTACTTTTTCACAGCATATAAAGTATGCTGCCGCTGTTGTCGAGAATTCAGAAAATAGATATAACAAATCCAGGAATCAATTTCACTTCAACCTACGTATCGTATATCTGAAGTATATATAATTTTGTACTTTGTAGTAGCGTTAATTAATCATGCCGGAAGCGAAGCCTCCCATAATGCGCCGTGCCGGTATATATTTTATATATACGCCGCGTAAAGTCGGACTAAAACATGCATATTAAATATGCATATACTCGTATATCATATATATATAAAATTTTTGTGTATGCATGTATTTTTATAACTGATGCGAGCCGTACCTGGCCAGTTCGCTGAAGGCGTCAATGTAGCTGGTCAGCTCGATGCCGGCGTCCTTCTCCAAGGCCGCGTCGAAGCTGTCGGCGATGCGCACAATGTCCACGCCGTCCGGACGAGGAGTGTAGTTGACGCCGGCCATCCTTGTACAGTAATTATCCGGATGCAATTGCAGCTACAACAATCGTTGCTAATTGCGCTCGCCAACTAGTCGTAATGAAAAGACGATCGCGAGTATACACCGCCGCTACAATTAATGGCGTTCAGCTGTGCAGGGAACTGGACTATGTATTTGTACGTCGTATATCCAGTAGCAAGTGAAAGCCCGTGATAAGGTGCAGTGTGCGATGTGTAGATTAGCTGATACGGTCGGTGCACGCGTGCAGCTGTTCTTTGATCAGATGGCCAAGGGTGGCGACTGTCGAGGCCCTTATCTCCCGCTGCAATAATGAATACCTACTCGTACTCTAAAGTCTAAACTAGACTATGAAAAATAATAATATCTATATTGGCCAAAGGCCATGCTTCTGCAGTGGGTATGCGTGCAAGTTGCAATAGCCGGTACAATACTGAATATCTATATTAATTTTGTTGTAGTCCGCGCACTGGATACACATACTAGTATATATATAATTACTATATTTAGGATAGTCAGCTACGTACCGCTACGACTATCCAGCATTTGCGTGCTGCCGCAACGGGAATTGTAAGAAATTCTCAATTAAGTACTCGTATCGCTGCTTAGTGCTTACCAGTTAACGCCGCATCAATCGCAAATTATGAACAACACGCATCCGTCCCAGTCCTTATCAATAATGCCGGCGTGTCTGCATCCTGTAATATCTGGCTGTAATTGCTGTCGTGGCCTCATAGAGCATGCATGCCATGCATCCAGCTGCTGTATATGCATATATAGGGTACAATAAAAGTAATAATCACGCTAATTAAAGGAGCACGACACAGATGCGCCAGCAAGGGAAAGAAATCCTCTAACACAACCGGAGTACCGTACCACCAGGTTGAACACACGTTTTACAGAATTACAGCCAACCTTCAAATGCCAGCAGGCCCAGATTGCAATCTACGCATGTACGTACAGACTAGGGAGCCGGTATTTTTGCCTTGTAGATTGTTAACATTGTTGCTTGCCGATCGGTGGATATATTATATTTTGTTGAGCAGCAACAATTTTTACGTGCCAGCTGCATCCGCAAATTAAACAGCGGTCAAACCGGTTAAATAGCCTACACTACTCTGTAGTCATGCCATTGTTCCATGCGTCGTTAACGTTCCGTGTGGCCCACGTGCGAGCAGATGTGGACCGGTACAAACTAGAGGAACACCGTATTTCCGACCATCAAGTCATCAGAAGCTGCGTCAACCACCGGCAGGCGGCGGCCGAGCGGAGGAGAATCCGGTGACCTTTAAGGTTGCCATCCATTATGACAGTTTCCCGTAACCGGTACAGATTACAGAACATGGCCTATGCAGTCATATTTACGTGCAGTGTCTGTATATGCAGCAAGCTAAAAAGCAGTTCAATCATCGCATATAAGTCAGGCCGGCGCAGTGAATTTCATAATGCAGTTTCTTAAATCTGTTTCTTAAATCTTAGATCCGTAGTAGTGTCTGTGTCATTCAGTTGCAACGCGAAGATCAAATGGCGCCGCAGGGTGCATGTGTCGTGATCATCGCCTGGTCGAACGCTTCCGCTGAGGTCATGTTGTGGCAACAATGCAATGCAGCCGGCTTTTCGTTTTAGTAATAAGTATACAGTAATAAACGTACGTGCACGCAGTGTAAAATAAGTTCAGTTCGGTGGTGTGCATGTTCACGTGGCTCACCCATCTCTTATAATATTATCGCGGTAGCAACTGCCTACGAATAAACATCGTCCGTGTCTTCTGTGTACTGCAACGTCGTCAACATCGTTCTCTGCTTCCAACTCGCAACTCTCTCCACGATTACGTACGCGGTCTAAATCAGCAATCGCACAACAGCACGATACTAGGCTGGGATCTTTCACATCCATACGTGCCCTCTTCTTTCTGGACACCGGAAGTCGGACGCATTTGTGCTCCGGCAGTGGATACGCTCTACACCGCGTACAGTTTTATATCTTTTTATAGAACCGACGCCGCTCTCATGTAAGCACTGAGCACACTAATCATTACAGCCTCTGCGGGCATTTTGAATATACTTCTGGATATTTCTTGGACCATGTGTCGATGTCGGAAGGCGATCAGATTACGGTTAAAAGGACTGCCAACCATGAACCCGTAAACGATGGATGAACGTGAATTCCATTAGCCAATTGTCGGCGGTCGACGGCAAGACGCAACTATCCTTCCCTCCCGGGAATGGGCTGGACGGCGCCCCTCCGCGCCCTCCTTCTGACCGGATGCGCCACCCTTCTCCTGCTGCACTACGCCGGGCCCCCGACCCACACCTTCCGCCGCACCGAAGGCGCCCACCGAACGGACCGCTCCGGACGTCGCGCTCCCCCTCCCGACGCTGTCCCGGTGGGCGACCGGCGTCTGCCCACTGTGGCGGACATCTTCAACCCCGAGTGCGGCCGCTTCAACGGCAGCGTGCAGGCGCCCTACTTCCTGGACTACACCGCCTCCGTCCGCACCTTCCCCACCTGGACACCGCGCCAGCCGCTCCCGCCCGGCCGCTACCACTTCGCCATCATGACCTCGCCCAAACACTACTTCTACCGCCGCGCCATCCGCGATACCTGGATGAAAACGCTGCAGCTGGAGGCGGAGTGGCATCTCAATGCCGGCTGCGCGGATGCGCACGCGCGGACGGGCTCGGCGCGCTTCTACGTCGGGCAGACGGCGGAGCTGCGGGTGGCGCAGCGGCTGGCCGAGGAGTTCCGCCAGTTCCCCGACGACATGGTCTTCATCCAGTTCTGTGATGTCTACGAGAGTCTGCCGCTCAAAACCTACAATGTCTTTCACACCCTCCACGCCACTCTTCCCGTAAGCGTCTCTGTATAACGTCGTATACGTACACATAAAATACTGCATAGGAAATATTCATAAAAAATTTCAGATTAATAAAAATTTGCATGTAAAACTTTAAATATACACATCATATACGTAGATGTAACGGTTACCATAACTGTAACACGTATTACCATATATGTAATGGTGACCTTTATATATAAATTTTGTTTATAAATTTATGTTTGCTTAATTTACGGTGACCTTTATACGTATATAAATTTGTACCAGCTTAATTAAAGGTGACCTTTATATATACATTTGTACCAGCTTAATTAACGGTGACCTTTACAGGCGTCGGTAGAATGGGTGGTAAAGATCGACGACGACGTGCTGCCCAACCTCTTCCTCCTGATGGACTGCTTCCCGCCCCTCACCCAGCTAGTAGCCGCCGCTCCGGGCGGTGAGTTAGTGCAGATCCTGGGGAGCGTGGGCGTGAACAAGAGCACGGAGGAGCGCTACGACCCGCGCTACATCATCCCGCGGCAGCGCTACAACGCCTCGCTGTACCCGCCCTTCGCGCACGGACCCGCCTACCTGGTGGGGCGGCCGGCGGTGGGGGCGCTGTTGGCGGCGGGGCGCCGGACGCCGCTGATCAACCTGGAGGACGTGTGGTGGACGGGGCTGGTGGCCAGCCGGGCGGGCCTGCAGCTGCGCAACATCCACCGCTTCGTCCTGGGCGGCATCAACGTGTGGAAGCAGCTAGCCGGCGGACACCACCGCACCGACAAGGCCGTCTGGTTCTACCACGACATCGGGCCCAAACTGCTGGTCAAGTACTGGCCCAACATCACGCAGTGCTGCGGCTGCTTCAGTCAGCACTGCTGGATCTATCAGGCGGTACGGATCTAACGCGTCCTTCCTTCCTTCCTGCTCGACAACGGCGTACGAAGGTGTTCAGCGTGCTACTGCCATGTTTAGAATGATTGCGCTGTACGTTTACCTTTCTCGTGTAAAAAACACGTTCACGTTGAATGATCTCTTTTCTGGACAGAGCTATAATATCTTATGTGTCGCCGATTTAACTGGATGATACATGCACGTTATTCTTATGTTGTACTCGAATATCTGATAAATTCCTGAGAGGTGACTGATCTGGCAAAATGCGCATTACTGTAGTTTATTTCATGTCCGGTGCAGCATTGCAATTATCTGCACAGCGACATTCCCGAAAACAAAAATTAATCATGGTGCACTATCAACCAACGAACAGACCGCAACCCGTCATATATCCGGCACAGAATTCGCACAAGTAGAAAAGGGAAATAATTCTCGTCAATCCCGTCAAGCGAATTTTGAGCAACGCACGGCGCAACGGAACAACAACGGAACCAGAAAGGAACAGCCGGGCAGGGCTGGATGGACGGTCAAATAATTATTGTAATAATTTAATAGCCATAGCTCTGTTCGTAATGCGGCGTATGGGCGGGTTGGGAATAGCCATAACCCCCCAGCGGCATGTATCCGGGGTAATACGGCTCGCTGTTGGGGATGTGGACGATGATGGGGCCGTAGTTATAACCCCCGCCGTAGTCCCCGCCCCCGCCCCCTCCGTATCCTCCTCCCCCTCCGCCGTACAGATACTGGTTGTACTGCTCGCCGTAGTCGCCGTGCTGGCCGTAGCCGTTCTTCTCCTCCAGAATGACCACCTCCCGGCCGCCGTATCCCCCGTACCCGTTGCTCGCCGCCGCCTCCAACTCGCCACTGCGCTGCGCCACCGGCAGTGCACTAGCCACCGCACACACCACCAACAACGCACATATACACCGCATTCTATTCAAATCACCGTATACAATTAGTATTCAAAACTGAATAAATAAATTAAATCGTTCGGGTAAACTGAGTGAATTTCGGATCAGCAAAAGCTGTCAACGATCCCAACGCACGCTTTATATAACCTGTTAACTAACACTCTTCACGCTCAGACCGGCTGCCATTAGCTGAACTTGAAAAAAGCCACTGGTTGACTGTGTCTGTCCGGGCATAATTAATTAACACGGCGCAGTGACACGCTTCGTTCGTCCACTCCATTCACTGTACAGATACACTCTCTCGCAATCGAGATTATTCCATTAACCGTTAACCAACGTACAAAACCATGCTCAACGCGTAAAGCAACTCACCGAGAATCACAAAGTAAAACTGGATAAAAACAAAACAAACAACCCACCGCTGGCCAATTAATTTAGTAAAAAAAGGAAGGAAAATGTCCGTTGTGCTTAGCTGGCAGTTGATCAGCTGGCGGCGCGGACGCCCAGCTTCTCCATGACGCCGCGCAGTCCGCGCTCCTCGTAGTCCTTGCGGTGCATCCAAAAGTCCTCCTTGTTCTTCATCACCTCCGCCAGCACCGCGCCGCCCATGAACACCATGTGTTTGCGTCGCGGGGGGTCCTCGATGCGGATCTTGAACTTCTACAAACAACGGCCATTCAAAAATCATCGGTTAGACATTAAAGATAACTTTCTCACCGCCAGCCGCTCGGCGTCGCCCTTGAGCACGCGCTCCAGATACAGCTGCTTGATCTCCCGCTCCAGCCGGCTCGGGAGCCCCGGGTACATGGTGGAGCCGCCCGACAAGACGATGTGCTTGTAGAACTCGGGGCGGGTGTCCATGTCGGCCGACTGGATGGTGTTGAAGAGCAGCTCGGCCATCCCCACGCCCTCCACGTTGATCAGGTGCGGCTCGAACAACGCCTCGGGCGCCTCGAACCGCTCCGACGACAACTTAATCACGCGCCCGTCCGGCAACTATAAACATATCATTTCCTTCTTATTCCCGCTGCGATTTGTATTTTCAAGATTAATGTAAAATTAAAAAGGCGGCTCAGAGCTTCTTAGAAGTGTATGCTGTCACGCAAGCGTCCAGACACGGAGGATGACATCACAGCCGGGAGAAACAGAATAAAGGAGCGGAGAACGTACCATGTAGGGCTGGACGAGGACGGTGGTCTCCAGCGCCAGCTTCTTCTCCTGCTCCACGTTGTAGGCCACGTAGCACAGCTTCTCCTTCATCATGCGCACCGTCTCGAAGTCGGCCGTGTGGTTGAAGGCGTAGCCGCGCAGCAACAACAACTACAAGCAGCAGTGTCGTCAGTGCAGCCCCCCGCGGGTGCACAAGACCGCCTACCTTGATGAGGTAGCGCGTGATGTCGCGGCCGGCAATGTCCAGGCGCTTGGTCAGGTGCGGCAGCGAGAAGCCCTCGTACACCGGGCAGATGTGCGTCACGCCGTCCCCCGAGTCCACCACGACGCCCGTCAGCAGGCCCTGCGCGTACAGCGTCAGCACCGCCTGGATGGCGATGTAGCACGCCTCGAAGCCGTACTTCTCAAACATCACCTACAACGGATTTTTCCCCCATCAATCACCAATTTAATTTCATTTAAAATTACATTTTTACGCATCGAATCTCTTTAATTTAACTAAACTCCATTTTTTCGGTCAACATTATTTTGCCTGATTTTTGGTGAACATTAATTCAATTTAATTTATTATAACTCAGTTTAAACTGGATTTTTTTGTCGTCACGAATTTTTAAGCTGATTTTAGCCAGTTTTATTGCCAATATAACTTTGGTTGATTTAATTTCACATTAACATTTAAACTGAATTTTTAGGCACCAAAACTGATCAGTTTAATTAAGCTTAATTTTTTCAGTCAACATAATTCTGCTAGATTGTTTGTTAACATTAATTCAATTTAATTTAATTTAACTCAGTTTACATTGAATTTTTATCAGGAATTTTCAAGCTGGTTTTAGTCAATTTTCTTGCTGATATAATTTTGGTTGATTTAATTTCACATTAAAATAATTTAAAATTTGATTTAAAAAATTCCTCATACAGCGACGCACCTCGATCATCTTCTCGCGGTTCTTGAGGGGATTCATCGGCGGTTCAGTGAGGAGGATCTTGCAGTCGCGCGGGTTGACGTCGAGGCAGGCGGGCCCGAAGGTGTGGTCCCACACGTGCAGCATGTCCTCCCAGTTGCGCACGATCCCGTTGTCCATGGGGTAGTTGATCTCCAGCATGTGCCGCAGCTGGCTGGCCTCCTCCCCCACCATCAGATCCTGCAACCCCATCCCACTCTCATTCTCCATCACTCATGCTACAATCTTACTTGTTTTCTGGTTCTTCGACACACGGCTATGATGGTAACCCTGTACTGGCCTACGGTGCTGACATACGAGGGACAGGCAACTGACGGCGTGCGCCGCGTTTAGCCAGCCCGCGCGACCCACCTACCTTCACTTCGATGTCGCCCACTTTGGTGTCCGCGCGGATGATGGGCCGGCCCACCATCGAGGGGAAGATGTGCGCGGGGAAGTTGCTGCCAGCGAATCCGCACTTGACGAACTGCAATCATGCCCGCGTGAAATGATCTGGGCCAACGAAGGAGCCACTCGATAAGTCAGTACTCACGCCTGTTCCATTGTCGCACACGATCACTTTCCGACCTTGTGCATCCATCCCGCTGCGCTGCTCAGCTCTTTACAGGGAATCAGACTAGAAGAATATTATCGCACGTAGAAAAATGCATACACTTCACGTAAATTTTACATCCAAACTGAAAAACCAAAACTGCAAAAAGAAGGAAAATGTGCAAAAATAAAAATGGGAGATGGGCAGATACAATTTTCAAAATCCACTGCAAGCCACAACAGCAGCGTGTGGCGTGTATGAGTATACATACGCTGCTAACAAGCAGCATCCAGAACGTAGTCGCAACTCGATGGCGGTTGGAGATATGTACAGTACTGTACTTGGTCATTTTTTAAACAGTTCAGCAGAAAGCGGACGAAAATGGCTGTTACCAACAAAAATGTTTTTCCAATTTAAATCATCGTAAGAAAACATAGGCGTCAAATTGTCACAACTTCTTTTGAATAACAAGATTGTATAAAAACATAACCGGGAAACATAAATAACTGAAAAGTAAAAACGGAACTAAACACACAAAAAAAGCACTTCTGCTATGTTTTCCGTTTCCGGCAACGTGCTCATCACACTCAGCGCGTTTCTTCTTTGAATCTGGATCGACAAACACTGCCGGAAAAAGTCTTTGGGACGTGGCTGGCCGGTGGACAGAGCTACATCACGTCCGATCCGGTCCACTAGGTTTTTTTAATTCTAAACGGTAATTTAAATTTTTAAAAAAATTTAAATTACCGTTTAAAATAAATTATTAAAAAATAAATCTTATTGGGATAGTTTTCTTCTTGGCTTTCATATTTTCATCTACTCAGAAACTGGCACAATTTTGAGGCTGTAGGTCAATAATGCATAGAAGGATGCATAAATACTGCACAGGAGGATTCTGGCAAGTAAACCGCATTCACACTAACCTTAAGGTCAACTCCACGTCAGCTGAAAAAATTACTGTACGAAAGCAGAAATTTGCACTTTTTTACTTCTTAACTCCAGCGTCCATATATAACGTAACCGCGTTACAATGAAAATACAGAAAAGAATCCTTTGAGAACAGAACCGTATCAATTATCATTGTGAATCTATCGTACAAGACAGAAGGCAAGAAGGGGCATCTGGCCAGCTTCCGCTGCCGGTCAGCTGACGGTGAGTGAACTGTGAGTGTGATGCTCAGAAGACGAAGCGCATCATGAACCCCGTCAGCAGATCCATCTCCAGTCCCTTGACCAGCAACACCCCGTGCCGCTCGTCGAACAGGAAGTCCAGCGCCTCGTCGTGCACGCGGAGGGCGCGCGGCCGGCCCCGCATCCCGAAGACGGTCAGCCCGTCCAGCAGCGGGAGGGGCGCGAAGCCGGCGCGCAGCACCTTGGACTGCAGGACGTCCTGCTTCAGCTGGAACTGCACCAGGGAGTAGGCCCCCGCCTCCAGGGCGTCGCCCCGCGCCCCGTCGTCCCAGTACAGCTCGCCCAGGGCGCTGCCGTTGGCGTTGAGCCCCACTAATAAATGGAAGGGCTGGGTGCGGGTGGCGGCGGTGGTGGATAACGGCGACTGCGTCGGGAGGATGGCGCCGCCCCAGACGTGCAGCTGGATCTTGTCGAGGGGCGCCTCCAGCCGCACCGACTCCCCGGCGCTGTTCAGCGCCTCCCCGGTGTAGAAGTCGAACCAGCGCCCGGCCGGGAAGTAGGCCAGGACCTCGGTGGCGCCCTGGGCGAGCACCGGCGACACCAGGAGCCCCCCGCCCACCATGAACTGCCAGTCGACGGGGAAGGTGGCCGGGTCGGTGGGGAACTGCAGGAAGAGCGGCCGGACGACGGTGGCGCCGTTGAGGGCCGCGCGGAAGAAGAGGCTGTAGTAGTAGGGGAGGAGGCGGTAGCGGATCTGCAGGGCCTCGCGACTGGAGCGCACCACGTCCGGCGGGAAGGCCGCCGGGTCCTGGTCCGTCTGGCCCAGGCTGTTGTGGTTGCGCGCGAAGGGGTAGAAGGCGCCCAGCTGCTGCCAGCGCTGGCACAGCTCCACTGTCGTGTTGCCGTTGAAGCCGCAGATGTCCGCGCCCACCAGCGGCACGCCGAACATGTTGAAGGTCAGGATGGAGGGGATGCTGCGCTGCATGGCCTCCCATGTCGACGGCACGTCGCCCGTCCAGTGACCTTTACATTAACCGCCATTTATATTTATCTTGGTATTATTAACAAGACTTTTCAGTGGCCTTTTACACTGGGCGGAATCTATATACATAAAGGTCAACTCTTTATATATATTTATACGTATAATTAAAGATCAGTGAATACGGAAACTGCATATAAAGGTCACTTAATACCTTTAGCAAAATTTTATATATATAAAGGTCATTTAAATATATATATGTAAAGGTCATTTGTTTTATATATAAAGGTCATACATATATAAAGGTAAAGGTTCGGTTATATGTATAAAATAAATAACAATTCATAGTCCACATCTGTCGTGACCTTTATATTAACCGGCAGCATTAAGCGCCATTAAACCACCACCAGAAAGCTTCGCTTACCGGAGTAGCGTCCCTGTCCACTGAAGCTGGAGCGACTGATGATGAATGGCCGGGAATTGGGCTGCAGCGCCAGCAAAGCGTCGCGGGTGGCCATCGTTTCGGAGATGCCGTAGAGGTTGTGTAAATCGTAGTGGCGGCCCAGGTGCTGGCGCGCTGTCATGCAGATGGTCTTGGCCTTCAGCGTGTCATGGAGGACGTGTGGGAGGTAGGGCGGGTCCTCCAGAGGCGACGCCGGACAGCCCTCAACGCTGCCGTCCACGAAGTTGGACGGCTCGTTCTACCAACGGCAGCATTAACCTGTTAATTAATCCGTTAATAGCGGAAATGCATCGACGGTACCATGTCGATCCAGAGGCCGTCAAAGGGCACCTCCTGGTGGAAGTCGGCGATCTGCTGCGTCCAGTAGGCGCTGGCGTTGGGATGGGTGAAGTCCGGGAAGACGGTCATGTCGCCGGTCCACACGCGGCCCCGCAGCAGGCCCCCGGAGGCGTTCTTGACGAAGACGTCCATGGCCACACCGGCGTCGAAGGGCGGGTATGTGCCGGGCGTCTCCACGGCGCTGATGCCCGGGTCCGTTATGACCACCTACAGATACATACATTATACAACTGTCATCAAGGGAATAACGGTTTGTGTCAGTTTGGCTCACGTAGTGCATGCCGGCGTCGTGCAGCTGCTTGACAAACTCGGGTAGCCCGTTGAATTTGTCGTGGTCGTAGCTGAAATCGCGGCTCTTATCCATGTAATCAATGTCGTTCCACTGTAATTAGACCACATACAGTAATAGTGAACATTATTCAGTTCTGTAGCAGCGGCATCTGCGTAAAATCCACCTGAACGTCTAGGGGAATGCCGGCGTCGATGTTGCGCTGCATGACCTCCCGCGTGCGGTTGAGGGAGCCGTAGCCGAAGCGGCAAAGATGGAAGCCGAGCGCCCAGTAGGGCGGCAGCGCCGGCCGGCCCACCAGCTGCACGTACTGCTGCAGGACCTCCTTGGGACTGGGCCCCAGGAAGAGGTACAGGTCCAGGACACCGCCCACGGTGCGGAAGGTGATGGCCGGCGCCGGCGTCAGGATGACGTCCATGGCGTTGGAGTTGCGCAGGAAGACGCCGTGGGCGCGCCCTTCCGGCGGGCCCTCCAGCGCCACGTACAGCGGGTGGGCGCCGTACAGGGGCAGGTTGGGGCCCGGCTGCACGTCGGAGGCGAAGAAGGTCAGCCGGGTGTAGTCCACCGAGTGCACCAGTCGCTCGCTGTGCTCGCCCAACCCGTAAATATACCTACCCAATTCCCAGAACAATTAGATAGAAAAAAAGCACATGGACTTCCGGTGCCGGCGGACGCACTTAATCCCCGAAAATAAACTACTTGGGCATTGGTTAATATAAAGGCATATATGACAAGACGGTAGTGCACTTCCGGCGGCAGATGCCGGCAGCTACTCAGGAGTGATTAATTTCAAGAGGAAGTCTTTAAGTGCAGTGTTGACAGGCACTCCATGTGGCACTAGGAACACTGTTCTTACCGTGTGGGTAAAAACGAGGACATCTCGATGAACTGGTCGTAGAAGGCCAGACTTCCGGCAGCGGTGTCCAGCAGAACCCGTCCGCTGTCGCGCCGGCTGACGCGGAAGGAAAACGGCCGCCGCGTGACGTTGAACACGTACAGCGGATTGGGCGGCCGCCCGCGGGGCGCGTCGGCCAGCGGGGGCAGCGGCACCTCGTAGCGGCTGCTGTTGGCGTCGCCCAGCTTCACCCGCAGCCGCCCGACATCCTCGAAGTCCACGCTCAGCCGCAGCCATTCGACAGGGTCCGGGTAGCGCGGAAAAGCGGCCGTGTCGCGCCGCAGGAGGCCGGCGAAGCCGGTGGGGGTGGCGGTGTAATCCCGCAGCTCGTAGGCGGGATAATCTGCAAGATCAATCGCATGACTGCGCAGCAGGTGCGAACGCCGTCGTCCCGGATAAGTGCCAAGAGGCCACTTCAATCACGCCGGGCCATTCATCCTCCTTAACACCTTGTTTACCGGCTATACATTTCTCCTAACACAAGCCGCTGATGACCTTTGTGTGGGCGCACAAAGGCGCCTCAAGTGGCACGGATCGGGCTACAATAATCTGATCTTGCACCGGCATTTACACCGGCACCGGGATGCGTTACGCATCGATCAGGGCTGACAATGCGCCGGATGCGGCCTTTTCAACTGATCCGTGCCGGTGCATCTACACCTATGTACATACCGCATGTACATACCGCGGAAATTTACCGCGCATGCCGAACAATAATCCGCTGATCAATATTTTTTTTACAGCTTTGTGTGCATGAACATTTGTTCCATTAGGAAAACTATACACAATCTTGCGCCGGCAACGGACGCGGCCGGGCTGGCGTAATTGGCCCATTTTCCCATCATCCCGCCGGTAAATGTACCGGTTGACGTTGGAGAGTGATTAACGGTTCCGGCTGTCAGGTAGATTAAGCGCTTTCACCGCATTAACGAGGCGCATGAAGGAGAAAACGCGCTAATATTCCTGCCGCTCAATTAGCCGCGAGGAACGTTATATATAGCAGCAACGGCAGCGGGAAGCTAGTAAAGAAGCGGGTTTTCGTCTGCCGCGGGGTGTTGGTTGGTTTGGTGCAGTGCGTGTAATTACATTAAATCCCGGGCAGTAAATGAAAACGGCGCCGGGATCAGTGACAATGCGGCCGCTTATCGTCGCACCGCGATGGACACGGATCCTGCTCGTTGGAGCATGGAGCGGCACGCAGCCAACGTTTTCCAACAGCTATATATCAGGCTTATCCCGGCAGTCAGGCCGCATCGATCGCGCGGCAATAACAGCGATCGATGCCGGGCCGGGATTTAGGTGCATTATTCTGGCGCATTTAGCAGCATCGCGGCGGATTATGCCCACTGACAAGATGCGCTCAGCTGGCAAATTCAACGTCTTATCCAATATATGTATCGCCTATATCGCATACACTGTATCCTTAAATTCCCGCATGTCCCACTGCCCAACCCAGCAATCACCCGCTCGCCAACAAAATACACACACGTACCGCCAACGTTTTTTTTGCCGGGCCACGTCTTGGCGGATTCCGCTAACGATGCTCTCGCTATTTAAACGCTACATGTACATGCAACCGGCCAACTTCCGGTTGCCTTACTCGCCTATAACGCAGCTCGAATTCCCTGCACGGTGCACCTTAAGCCCCGATAAAATGCCGCACCTTCACTCCGACATTGAAGCATAAAAAACCATGTACAACCAAATTCCATCTGATGTTCAAACATTTTTCCCAAATTATTATAACTGTACCATGTACGTACAAATTGTAAAATGCGCTCGTACGTAGTACTGCAGTTTTTAATATCTATACTCGTATAGATATTATGCAAACCATAGACCAGAAATCATTCGCTGGATTATTGAAATGTATTAGCTAGTCTTCCGCTAAATCTCAAACATATATACATAATTATATAATATATACATAATAATACATATACAACATATACATAATTATGCAGATGCATATAGTACACTTTAAAATGCGCAATGCAAAGACATACATCATTATTGTATATGGGATATGGCATAAATATCAGTTTGTTGTCTGAGCGTTCACCTTTGCAATACTTACCATTCATTAACGCATTTAACGATTTGCTCTACATAATGTAAATAAAATACAGATATGTACATATGTACTCGTATCCCGCTGTTCCAGAAATCATCTTCCTATAGACAGCTGACTAAACACCTCGTACTGCATATAATAATAAGTCAATAAATAATAGTACGACTGACTAAATAATACTGCTACTGTTGAACTACTGAATTTTTCGTAAAAATGGAATATCTATATAAGCATTATCACTAGCTTTATGTTAATCTACAACGCGAAATGTGGATAAATAAACGCGCATTTTACTTCACTGCAACTGTATCCCCCCAAAAAAAACATACGTACTGTAGTTTGCAAACAGCAACTCACAAGGCGCGCCTGCGTAATGCGTATACGCCCGAACGCAGCCGGGAATAGGTGTTAATTGCGGCAAACGGAAGTCGATTAGCTGCGCTATTCTAAGCTCCAATCTAACCGCGCCGGCACGCACAGCGCGACACCTCCAGATGCACTACTCTATTCTGTTATATACCGCGGTTTACCGATCCCAGCGCGAAGTAGTGTACACGAGATGTGCTGCTTATTATGTTGATTGACGCGGGCTTAATTTCCGCTCCGTACCCGCAGCGCCAAGGGACGCATCCCGATGATATTAAACCAACTCAATCAGCAGCCCGCAGCCGGTCCCATATTTGATTAACGCGCGCTGGCTGTTACAATTTACAACCGGCAAATCCACCCATACTCGTACCACAAACGTAATAGAAACACACGAGTACACGGCAACATTTTTCACTTTACCGTGGTTAATTAAGTTAAGTGGCGTCATTTGTACTTACCGAAGGGATAGAAGCAGTAGGGCACGCCGAGATGCTGCGGGCCCTTTTTCCGGCGTCCGCGCTGCTCCTCCGCCTCCGCCTGCGCGTCCGGCGGCCGCCAGCAGCACCCGCGCGCCTCGCACGCCTCCTGCGCGGCGCCGGCGCCCGGCATGCAGTCGAACCGCTCCTCCACTTCCCAGCACACGTCGCTGCCGTTGACGGCGCTCGTCCGCCGCGACGTGGCGTTGTGCTGCGGGACACCCGCCTCCTCCTCCACGCCGCTCTGCTCCAGAATAATCACCTTCAGACTGAACTCGTCGACCACCGGCAGGGATTGCGCCGGGAGGGTCGGCGGGGCCGCGGAGCGACGGAGGTGGGGGTCCAGGAGAAAGAGGGACAAGAAGATGAGGAAGAGGCCGAAGAGGCAGGCGCAGAGGACGGCCAGGACGCCGGTGCTGCAGTGCGTCGGCCGCTTGACGATTAGGCGGCCGTCGGCGGCGCGCCGGCACACCAGGACCGACAGCTGCCGGCCGCAGGCGGTGGCCGGGCTGCTGGCCAGCAGCATCTGCTCGCAGCTGTAGCTGCTCGCATCCCGTTCCATGGCGGACGCTGGCTACTAGCGGGGGATCATCGCGAAGAGGAGTGTGAAGAGGAAGGCGCAATCTGGCGAGTGTTTGCCTACTTGCCGCTTTTAATCAGACGGGCCGAATATGACTGTCTAGAATGACGGGAGAAGAGCGATGAACAACTCTCGATAACGCTGTACTTGGGCACTTGCCCGGAAGTGGCTAGTGTCAACAATAAATTCACGGCGCCACCGAGTCAGCTGAATGGATGCACGCCATCCAGCACTTGCACGGCACAGATTTGCCCGATTAGCAAGCGGATCGCTTCCTGTCAGCTGTAATGAATGCTGCACTGCCTCGACTAAACTGCACCAGCCAGTCAACTCCATTTTGGCCTTCAGTGCAGTGCGATGTGTACGTACGTACGCATCGCACCGCCTCTACCAGTACCACGTACAAAAAACTGGCCAATTAAAGCCGCAGCATCAGACCGGTACGTGCGCATGAGTGCAGTGTGCACTGCCAAGTGAAGACAGTTGTACGCAGCAGCACAACGCCTGCGCTGTTTGAGTACAAAGTGCTGTTTTTGTTTACATGGGTTTGCAACTGCAGCCTTGCAGCATAAAATTGGGCAAAAACAAATGCATTTACAGAGTACTTAATTTTGCAATTTGTTAAATATTGAGTCATTTTATTTAGTAAAATATCTACGGTAATAACGCCATAACGGTACTAATGCACGTTATGCCGACGGGATATTGCCAAAAACGATCCATACGGCAGGAAACCATTCGCTTAAACGAAGATATTTGGAAAAATATAAAAATGCAATTTACTGTATTTAAATGCTGAGTGCCAATTTTGTATTCCATCTCAAGAACACATCGTCATAGGCCATAGCCTCATAGGCAGTGTTTACCTCTATGCTGAATCGGTATCGGCAACCATGGGATCCTGAACGATATGAGGCTTATCCAGGAAAATAAAAGGGGATAAACGGGAATAAACAAGTACGTAGGTCGAAATGGATTTAAATTCAAGGAATCCAGACAAAAACAGCGCGACTGACATATTGCAGAATAGGGACATTTCGATATGTCGACGCCGTCTTGGGCGGTTGCAGCATACACCGTGATAACAGGCATTTGCAGATTTCTGACAGCAATTGAAATTTACCTCGTATTTGGCAAACTATCACAGAATAAGAATACACTTTATTAACTTTATGGTTTGTATTTTGTACTTTATTTGCTCATTTCTGTGGAGTCGAGAACGCACGCAGCATTTGCACGCTGGAAATTAGGAATATCTCTAGCATAACTTGCAGAAGGAATTATCAGTGTTGGGTTCGCGTGATGCTGCGATAGCGAGACGACGAAGCTCTTCTTCATTGTGCCAAGACCCAAGAGCGTCCCTGCCCGCTGGACGCAGCGATGCGGCGGTGAATGGAGGGGTAGAGAAGGCGGCCGGGGATGGCGTATCTGCAGGAAGCGGGCGTGAAGGCGCTGCGGCGACTGCGGGGGGCCGGCGCGGCGCTGCAGTGGGACGCCAGTGTGAAGTCGCTGCTGGCGGCGGTAGGGGCGGCCTCCCTCGGGTACTGGGTCGCGCGGGGCGGCTGGGCGCTGCTGCGCGGATCCGTCTCCTACTTCCTGGCCGGGCCGCTGCGGCTGGGCATCAACCTGGCCAAACTGACGCGCGACGACCACGGCGCAACGGGTTCAGGATCGGGAACGGGATGGGCAGGCAAGTAGGTGCAGGCTTGCAATCTTATTGGCCAGTCAGTCACTCAGTCGTCGCTGCAATTGCATCAGCTGTACTGGAGCAGGTTGGTAAGCGTGTCTTGTGTGTCCTGCAGTGGTCTCGGGGGGCAATGAGGGACTGGGTCTGGCCTTCGCCAAAGAGGTACGCCGTCTGTGCTCGCATCGAAACATGACAGGTTCTCGTGACGCTGACGCGAACTGTTGGTAGTTGGCCCGCCGCGGCGTCAACGTCATCGTGGTGGGACGGAACGCCGAGAAGCTGGACATGGTGGCGCGCGAGATCGGTAGGGGGCGATGCGCTTGATGGGTTGATTAACTGTAGCAGCGCTGCAGCTGTTGTCTCGGCAGAGGCGGCCTTCCACGTCAAGGCGGACATGCTGGTGATGGACTTCAGTCGGGCCGGCGTCGAGGACTACCAGCGCATGCGCCAGCGTCTGGCGCGCATCCGCGTCGACATCCTCGGTAGGTCAAAGTGCTGGATCTCCTGCTCTCTGCCGATGCCTTGTCCACATGAATCCATGATGACCGCATGTAATTATGTTTGCAGTCAACGCCCTGGGCATGGTGGACGGCGTCTCGGGCGCCTTCGGCAGCGCGTCCAACATGGAGCAGGTCAGTCGGTGGCAATGTTCTTCTTCAACTGCAACCCGCGAATGTGCTACAATGCGTCGGTTGACACTATTCGTGGCGCATTGCAGACGTGCCTGGACATGCTGCACGTCAACCTCATGTCCATGTTTATGGTGGGTAACCTGGTGTACTCCGACTGGTCTTCCCCGTGTGACACGTGCCTCTGAAATGCAGTTGACGAACGCGGTGCTGCCGGGGATGAAGGAGCGCCGCGCCGGCGTCATCGTCAACCTGTCCTCGCTGGCGGCGGTGTACCCGCTGCCGCACTACGCCCTGTACGGCGCCATCAAGGCCTGCGTCGACTTCTTCTCGCTGGCGCTGCACAGCGAGTGCCGCCACCACGGCATCACCGTGCAGGTCAGTCTCTCCCTTCTCCCGTTGCGCAGCGTGCTTACTCAGCGTCGCTACTCCTTGCAGAGCGTCCTGGCCGGACCCGTGCTGACCAAACTGACGCGCAACTTCGCCAAGTCCTTCTTCATCGTCCCCGCCGCGCCCTTCGCCCGCGACACCCTCTCGCAGGTACGCCAACGCTGGACACCAGCCCGATGTGCGTTATTAGACTAATTAACGAGAGTGGACAGGTGGGACTGCGCAGCCGGACCTTCGGCCACTGGATCCACGCCTTACTGGTGAGAACCTTCGACGTTTCCTCTTATTTACGCAGTCAGCGTCTCTTCCGTCATTTTCTCCAGGTGTCCCTGGCGCAGCCCATCCCGCTGCGCCTCACCCTGCGCTTCCTCCGTCCGCGCGCGCGCCCGACCACTTCCGGCGCGGGCTCGGCCGCCGGCTCGTTGTAGGCGGTGGTGGTGTTCCCTCTGTGTGCTCCCTCTCCCGGCTCAGTCTCTCTGTGTCACTGCCCGCGTTGTGCCGCTGCGATACGAATTGCACATGATCAGAAACGGCGATGTCGACAGATGAGAGTGTCCGCCGCAAAGGACGACGTTTGTTTTTGACTGTTTTGTAGCGCAAATCTAGGCTTTCTTGGTTTTTATCAGTAAAATTCGTAAGCCGACCCCATCAAGCGCGCTTCCTCAGCAGGAAGCGCGCTTGGTTGTGGTCGGCTTACTCTCAGCAGTCTGGTTCGACTGACTTTGTTCTACTTCTTTCTATCGTACAAACAGTCATTTACTATACGCATCGCGCTGACACTGACGACACACCGATTTTATTTATCCAGTACTTAATAACTAGTGCCTCATACGTCGATATCAACAGAATCGACAAACAAGAAATCAGTAAATAAAAAATTATGCCGATAATAAATTAATAATATAGGTATCTTTGGAGAGCAAATGAGATTCACGTGACCGGGAAACACCGGTAACAGCAGTCCAATAAAAAAGGCAGCCGATGAATTAAAGATGGATGCTTAACCGAGCCGGCGCATCTGCTGTCGAGCCTTATGCAGGCGCGCGAGCCGGTGTTGTTGGGCGCGGAAGTGGTGGAGATAGCGCTCGCGCAGGACGTCCAACGGCTGCGTGATGGACAGCCAGGGAGGGCGCTGCGGGCGCGTATTACTCGCTGTCGGAGCGGCTAGCGACAAACGTCGGGCAGTCGGGAGCGTCTCCAATGTGGCCGCATCAAGAGTCGGCCGCACGTCGCGAGGCAACCGCACGCGGGGGGTGGGGAACTGGGTGAAAAAGGTCAGGGGATCGGTCGGTCGGACCGGAATGCCGACGACCAACGGCAGCAGCAGTAGGGACGTCCACAACGCCCAGTGCAGCATCCAGGCAGGCTGCAGGGGAAACCGGAAATCGGCCATTCCCGTTAAGAAATCCCTTTTATCGGCAAGAATTTAGTGCAATCCTCCGTCAAGCATGCACTCGTCAGCACCGCAGTCGAGGGATATAGCCGTCTGCTGTATAATCAAACGAAAGGTCACGGGCAGCGGGTAGATGCGAGCAACGGGCGTCAGTGGTCAGCAATGAGGATCGATTGATATACGGTGCATACAGTTCCCCGGACACCGACACGTGAACAACAGAAGAGATTCGTGTATCGCTACAGGTTTCAGTGAAAATTCTAGGCCGCTGGAATCACGCAGTTGGTGTTTATATACGATTAGTGTCATTGCATTCTGTTGAGCTGGTGTACAGGTGTAATTGGCAGTTGGTCAACGTTGTTGACAGTGGCCGTGCGCACGTGCCCTCTGTACGTAGTTTGCACCTTGGCTCTTGTCACAACCGGCACATTTCGGCACATAGTATTGGCGCGGCCGCGGGATTAATTTTGGGGATTTCTTAGGCGATCGACTGTGCATGCAGTGTGCCGGGCACTGCCTGCGTGCCATTTCCGTGCCCGATCCGCGTCCACATGAACATACAGAATTAATACTGTAATGCATTCTGCCGGTTGACTGTCGTCTACCGCTTTGGACCGACCCCAGCCGAACCGACGAAACAGCAGTGTTAATGCTATCCAAGTTGTACAGTTCAACGTCCAAGTTGTCAGCATGTTTTTCTTCTTGTGAATGCCGCAGCGGCGTCTGCACTCTGGTACGATAGTTAGCTCTTCGCCCTGTACACAACCACCATTCTCCCTGCCGGCCTGCACCTCGTACGCACCGCCTCGCTGCCGGGTCAAAGGTCATGGATAATCGTGTGACGACGTACACGTCCGCAGTCCTCGGGCGCTACGTGTTTTTCTTTTCCTCGCGATACGGGATCGGCACGTACAGTCTCGAAACACACTCGAGAAAGGTCACGTTATCGATGATTCCGCTTTCCTTGGTGACTCGGTGCCAGCATTTGCATGGAATAATCAACTATACTAGTACTTCCACCGTACATAAACTGTATACGATGTCGTGTAATTACTTTATTTGCCACAAATAATTAATTTTGTGCATATGTGGATCTCGCAGTATCCGGCATACATATTTTCGCAGAACTTCTGCTGTAGCAGGAACGAAGTCGGCTCATTGAGAATCTATTGAGAAACTAGCGTAGTACGGGCAGAAAATACTAGCTGCACTGTTGGTGGAAATGCCACTGCGAGCGGAAACGCGGTACACAGCCCATACCGAGCTCATAGAAGTGCTGTATAGTTCCATCCATATAATAGAATATTTTCGGCAGGCATGCCGACTGCCGATAGCAATCGCTACCGATACGTGTCGGTGTAGCCGATGTAATCGGCGCCGTTTACCGCTGCTGTGCCGTCGATTTCCTGGTCTGATAGGCGCTGATTCCTGCCAGATCGCCGAAAAAAGGAGGGAGCAGTGCGCGATGTTTACCAGCGCCGCCAGTCTGTTCTTCTGCCGATTTTTATTTAAGACCGCCGCCACTCACTGCCGCCACATTTGCGACTGTGGACCTCTTCTTCTTCTGGATAGTACGCGCACTTCCGGTTTCATCTTACCATGGATAATCTATTATTCCTGCTTTTAGCCGGTCTCCTGGCCAGCTGTCACGGTGCGTTCCTTAATACAATTTAAGCCGTCGTCATTACATAATAGTGTGATCTGCTACTAATATTAAGCCTCGACGTAAAGAAGCTGGACATTAATTTAGCCATACTCGATGTATCATTTTACTGCTTGTTTTTGGCCGCGTGGCTTACGCTATAGAGGATAGACATAGTTATAGCGGATATATAATAATTCCAGTTGATAGATTACGTATATATATAAGTGATTAATATAAAACGCATATAAAACATATATATATAAAACATATATATACGCATATAAAACATATATACATATATATAGCACATATATAAAGGCATTTATATGAGTATATAAAACGCAGGCCAGTACGGCACGGAGGAGTACGACCCGGTGACGGGGGCGCTGCTGGGCGAGTGCACCTTCTACGGCGACTACACCACCGACTGCACCGGCCGCCTCACCTGCCGTCCCTCCGACGTCGAGGAGCGCCCCACTACCGCCAGCCTGGACCGCAGCTGTCCCAAGACGCCCGGCACCAAGTCCGGCAAGTGGGACCGCGACCAGTCCGGTCAGTAGCACCTACATTCATCTCCATACCACGCATATATGCCCTGCCATATACATGTCTATCTGTACACAGTGATCCCCGCCAACCAGATCAGCAGCGACGCCGGCGCCGGCCGTCTGTGCAAGTGCCAGTTCTACGCCAACCACCGCACCGGCAACTTCAAGTGCACCAGCGTGCAGGGCGACACCTGGAAGGGCACCTTCTCCGGCTCCCTCAACACCGCCTTCCGCCTGGGCCTGCCCTCTTCCGGCTTCGGCACCTACCAGTACGTCCCCGACTCTGGTTCGGGCGGGCGCTACCGCGGCACGGCGGACGACGACACCTACGGCTCCTCCTACAACCGCTACACCACCGGCTCGCCCTACGACCGGCAGCGCGACCGCGACACCCGCTACACCACCTCCTCCTACGACCGCTTCCGGGACCGCGACAACTACAGCGGCGGCCGCTACTCCACCGGTCTGGACGCCAGCCGCGACCGCGACCCCTACTACCGCGACAACGAGGTCGGCACCGGCGGCACCCGCGACCGCTACCAGACGACGTACCGCGGCACCGACAGCAACGACCGCGACTCGCGCTACAACTCCCGCACCACTTCCGAGGTGCGCGTGACCTTTCCGCGCTCCCCTCCCGCGCCGTAATAACCCTTGTACTGGTGTTTCAGGTGGTGATGTGCACGTACAACAACGACGGCAAGGGCAGCTGCCGCGACTGCACGGAGCGCGTGGAGCGCCGCGAGCTGACGACGGAGATCCGCACGACCAAGCACTACACGTGCTCGGGCCCGGACAACAAGGTCAGCTGGCCCAACACCGGCGGCATCATCCCGCGCGGCGTCAAGGCCGACCCGTACGCGTACAACAAGAAGGTGGTGGCCACCTGCGTCTTCCGGCCGGACGACGGCAAGCGCTTCGAGTGCCACGGCTCCAGCACCGACGGCGACTGCGCCGGCACCGGCACCTACGGCTCCTCCGGCTTCGGCAGCAGCAGCACCGGCGGCGCCAACCAACGCTGCATCGGCGGCGAGAAATGGACCGGCACCTACTCCGGCAACATCTACTGAAAACCGCGCTTTTCTACGATATAGTAAAGGTCACTATTTCTCTTTCAGCTTCTTGCCGGTGATTGAGCAATTACGTATAATGAGGGTCGTCATTAAGCAATAGTGTGTGATTTATATTAAACAAAATCCCCATGTAAGCAGATGTCGAGCTAGAAAAAATAATTATAACCGGAAATCACAGAAATCGCCAATGCTATACAACTCCACGCAACAGAGGCAGTGCCTGCAAAAAATGCACTCAAAATAATATTCCATAGACAAGCACCGGTACGTGTTCTATGGTAACCGCCTACCGAGGTGGGGAGCCGCACACGTGGCCGCCGACGGGTTGGCCAAGCAGAGAGCGCCGGCGCCGGCGCTGTCCTGGTTTCTGGCGCGCTTCCGGCTGGACACGCGCAGCACCTATAGGATAAGATTAGAAAGGTCACCGGCAGTACAATGTCAACAGTATATAAAACAGCAAAGGCGACGGTGTGGGTATAGCCGATGGACGTACAATGGACTGGTCGACCGGCTCGACGCACAGGTAGAAGTTGCGCGCGAAGACGTTGAGGTTGACGATGTCGCGCTCCTTGCAGCCGTAGGGCGCTGCCGCCGGCGCGCACCGGTCCAGGTCCGGCGTCAGGTAGCGCCTAAAGAAACACAAAATCACCAACACAAACGGGAATATTTATATACATATATATAGGTGCACATATAAAAAATATCAATACAAAATTACACGAATATTATTCAGAGATAAGCGAGGCGGTATAGTGTACGCACTGGCAAATCTCCTCGTTGGCGAAGAGCGAGCCGGGCAGCGTCAGGTTGCGCACCTGGCCGCTGCCCAGGCTGTAGTCCAGACAGCCAATCAAGGCGCTGTTGGGCGTGGCGTACGTCGCGCTGCCGTCGTCGGGGGCGGAACCAGCGGGGCGCAAGTGGAAGCAGGCCTTGGCCGAGTCAGCCAGTTCTGCAGTCGCAAGCATAACACACTATTAATCACTTCCGGTACATAATATATTAGTTTCGCGCTGACCCTGAATCATGCGTTCACCGTTGAGCGTGGAGTTGGTGTAGAGTTTGTTTAACTGATCCATAGCTGCAGTGAAATACATGGAAATTAACCAACAAAACTGGAAAAATTCAGTGTATACGAACGGGAACCGATAAATGATGCAATTAATGAAATTAAATCATACTGCGGCATGACTTAATTTCATTAATTGCATGCGTATATATACCTGTTTGGAAGGGTTCCTGGCTGTTGTCGGAGGCCATCTCGTAGTCGCATCCGGCCGGCTGCAAGCATTAATTACAATCCGGTTGATTGTTGAATTAAACAGGTACTGTATATGCCGGCAATGTATATGTCTCTGTCAGCTAACCTTCTGGACGCCGACCAGTCCGCAGATGGAAAGGTCACCGGCGTTGACGAGGTTGTTCCACTGTGCCAGCGCCGCCGCGTACCACAGCCGCGCCCGCTTGGTGGTGGTCGGCGGCGGCGTGGGCGGGCCCGACGTCGTGGTGCTCGTGGTGGTCGTGGCGGCGGCCGCCTCGGGGCTGCAGCTCGACAGCTCGTCGTACTTGTCGTAGATCTTGAAGATGCTGTCGCCGTTCTTGTTCTGCTGCTGGTAGGCCAGCGTCGCGCGATCCAGGAAGCTGCTCAAGAATCTACCGTTCAAGTGGACCGATCGGTAAAAATTACCGGCAAATAAATAATAAAAAATAAAACTACAACGGTGATAACCGACTTGGCTTTGCTGCCGACGTCCGACCCGGAAATGTCGTCGTTAGCCAGAAAGGTCAAGAGCATATTGGGCAGCTCCGTGAAGGGCAGTTCGCGGTTCCACTTCTCCAGCACGCAGAGGTCGGTGGGCGGGGTGCTGCTGTCCTGCGCCTTGTTGGTCAGCGCCGCCTGGGCTTGGTCAGCGGCGGCCTGCGCCGACATATTGGCCGCCAGGTCGGCCATGTAGTGTTTATGCCGGTAGCGGTAAGGGACGTAGGCGTTCAAATACCAGGGCGCGCTGACGTTGTCGCGCGACACCGTGCAGTAGCAGTCGCCGCAGCACCCGCCCCCGGGCAGCGGCCCCCCGCCGCCGGCGCCGGTGAGGTTCTGCAGGCGCTTGATGAGGATCCGGCCCAGCATGTACCCGCCCACGGCGTCGCCCACCCCCGGGAGGTAGAGGTAGCCGGCGGCGAAGTCGCTGCGCCACTCCTTGCCGTCGTTGTCGGAGATGTTGGGCGCGGCGAGGCGGTCGGTGTAGAGCGGCTGGATGAGCATGTGCTCGGGGTGGGCGGGACCGCGGCCGCCCAGGACCGGCCGGTTGACGGTGCTGGTCTGGGCGGCGAAGCCGACCGGGAGGTAGGCGGTGTTCTGCAGGCGCGACACGGCGGCCGCCACCGAGAAGCGGTTGAGGTTGCGCGTGGCCTCGGCGTTGCTGGCCAGCCGCGCCATGATGTCGGGGTCCAGGAGGCCGATGGTCGGCCCGGAGGAGGGCTGCCGCTGCCGGGCCTTCTTCACCGGACCGGTGTCGACCGGGCCGGCCGCCGCCGGGGCGTCCGTCTGCGTGGGTTGCTTGCCGCGGCGGCCGGCCTTCAGACCGCCCACGGGGCGCAGCACGGTGAACGCCAACAAGAGGACGATGGCGATTCGGAGAATCATTCTTGCTTTCATCGGATAACGCATAAAAAATTCAAGTATCACAAATTAAAGCGAATTTTCGGGTGACGGCATAGACGCCCGCCCCGGGGTAGCATCGTGCACGGCACACCGGCGCAGCAGGCGGATGCCGTAGCGACAGGCGCACCGCTTCCGCTGATTGCAACAAAAACCGAAACGCGTGTGATGAAGACGGGAAAATTAATGTTACGAACGACGCGGCTCACTAGTGGGGATGCCGTTAACCGGAATATCAATTAAAACCACGTAGAGTACAAGTAAATCCAATATTATGGTTATTATAATTATAATTCCGTTCGTTGCGAGCGCAGTGGTCCCGAAATGAAATATTTCTGCCAAATGTTATTAATTGCTTGTAATAATTGTGAGCCGAGAAATTAAACCGCGCGTCGTCAGCTCAAAGTTTCTGTACAGCTCGGCTAAATTGTCCCGAGGGAAGCCATAAGCTTTTGTGCGCCGTAGGGGCATTATTGAACTGTTTTGCTACGAAAAACTGGAATGAAAACCGGCAAAATATCAATGCCGTGGTACGGCGCCCGCGGGCGATCGACCAACAAGAATTCTTTTAGCGCCATGTATATAATCATCACCGACTAATAAACTACCGTTTAATTTCTCCACGTACGATTTTTCTTTATAACAATCTGCACGTAACTCTTTACTGCACGACAGAATATTCATATGAGAAAATAATCAACAACACCGGCACCGATAAAATGAATCCACCACAAAATGTACATATGCAAGATTAAAATGTATAACAAATGCTCAACGGGTCAAATCGTGGACACTCTCATAAAGGCCTCTTTCGGGTTAAAACGCTAAAACCTCTTTCTCCGCACCGAACCACCGAATACTACTCGCAAGAATACACCCCCGGGGGCCCCTCGTCCGCCCCCTTTATTGTCACTGCGTGACGAAGCCCTGCGCGGCGGGGGCGCCCCCCAGGGGCCCCGGCTGCAGGAAGAGCTGCACGCGCTGCCCGTTGGGCGTCACGGCGAACAGCGTCGGCTGGGCGACGGGGGGCGGCGCCGGGGGCGGGGCCTGTTGCTGTAACAAGCTAAACTGCCCCAACTGCGTCCGCAACAAGATGTTCTCCTGCTTGAACGTCTTGTTCTCCTCCGTCAGCTGCTGGATGCGCGCCCGACTGCTCTGCTGCAGCGCGCGGAACTCCTTCTGCAGCTCCGTGTACTTGGCCTTCAGGTTCTGGTTGTTCACCTCCAGATTCTCCTGCCGCTCCTTGCGCCGCTTCCGGCACTTCTCCGCCGCGATGCGATTACGTCGCCGCTTGTCCGCCAGCACCGGGTCGTCCGTTTCCTGCCAAAACACTTCCGGTTACCGCGAGTCAACGGAAAAACACCTGCGTCGGGGTCTTACCAGAATGGGGCGGGTTTTGCGGGGTCCGGTGCCTCCCCCAGGCTCCCCGCTCCCGGAAGCGTGCGCCGGGAGGCTGGAATCATCCGAATGGATGCTCATCGTCTCGCTGAAGTCGTCCATGCGCTGCGCCTCCCCACCGGCGTCCTCCAGGGTCAGATCGCCGAAGCGCCCGGGCGACAGCTCCTGGGACGCCCCCGCCGGCGCCGCCTCCGTGGGCGGGGACTCGGGCGGGCTGTCGTCGCAGGTGGAGCTGACCACGCCGTTGGTCGGCGGCGGCGACAGCACCCCGGGGGCGGCGGCCTTCTCCGCGGCCGGCGGGACGCTGGACGGGAAGAGCGAGAAGACCGGGACGTTGCTGAAGCCGGCGGAGGGCGGCGCCGGGGGGTGGGCGGTGGCGGAGGGGGGCGGGGGCGAGGCTAGGTAGTAGAGGGGGTGCGGCAGCGGGCTGTAGACCATGAAGGAGGGGGAAATACCGGATAAGGGCACCGGGGAGAGGTGGGTGCTGCCGAAGAGCACCGGGTTGGTCAGCTCGCGGCCGGACGGACTCAGCGGGGCGTCGCTCTGCAAGGGAAAGACAGCGGTGAGTGAAAGGAGTCGCGGCGTGTTAAGGGGGTAGGGGGCGCCTACCGACTGGCCGTTGAGGGAGCGGAAGGAGGCGCTGAAGGGGTTGGCCTCCTTCGTCTGGCCGCGGATGACCGCCGTCGTCAGACCGGCCTGGTCCAGTGCCAACAGGAAGCGCGTCGGGGTCGGCGTCTCGTTCACTGTGGATAAAGCGCTATTTACAAAATGCACACAAGGTTTTCAATTTTTAATCAATTTATTCGGATCCTACCGGCGATTGCTTAATAAGAAAGTCCGCGAACTAATTGGCGAAAAATTGTTTGATTCCCTGCCAGAGCCGGTTTTTGAAAGATTTGTTAAATTCAGTAACTCCTATTAAGCAACCGCTGTAGAAACTAAATAAGTTGATTCAAAATTTAACTGAAGTTTCTAGTTTAATTCAAGCTGCAACGCTGCTTCCGTGCTCGGGACAATGGAGGGAGCGGCAGCATTAAATGAAATTCTGTTTTTTTGATCTGTTGTTCTGAAACTGTGATATTACCGCATTTTGTGAAATAAAACAAAGATAAGTATTCAAGTTATGAATTTCTTATGTTATTATATTCTTTTAAAATCAACTGATCGATTGTTAAAATCATTTTAAATTTAACACTCTTACAAACCAGCTTTAATTGTTAATTTTGGATTTTTAATTAATTTAAAAGCAGTTGATTTCGTTTGCAAATTAATCGGCTTATTAACAAATTAATGCTTTATAATTACCGCCAAAGAGGGGCGTCTTAGCGAGCGCCATTCGTGCCGGTTCGACGGCCAAACGCAGCGCGTCCTGTTCAACGTTAACGGATTCGGCTTTGTCCTCCTTGGTCAGGGACGGAGCAACGGTCAAGGCGGCGTCCAGGCCCGTTTCCGGCGGCGTGGGGGAACGGTGGCGCGTGTGGGTGCGGATCACGTGGTAGCTCAGCTTGGCCTTACTCACAAAACTCTACGGACACAACCGACCCGTCAAGTACACATCAACACAACCGGGCGCCATCGTGCGGTCAAGAAAACAACCAGCAAAAGGTCATAGACAACAAATTCTCATAAAAAAATCGGGGAAACTGACGATTAACTCAAACTGAAGTAAAATGGCATGGAAATGATTAGTTCATGAGCAGCGTTACAACAGACTGGTACGGGCCAACAACGAGTCAGAATTACTCGGCCGGAAAGCGGCAACAACACGCGCACTCTTATCGCCGCTGACGGCACTTTACGCCGAAATGATTTCATGCGCGCGCTGATTGGCTGCGTCGTGGACATGAATCAGGCATGTTTGGCACGCGTGTGACGTGATTTCCCTGCCGGTTATGCTAGTTCGCAATTTTTCTGCCCAATTTCCTGGCTACGTTCACGTTCATTGGTTAGCTCGGTTTATCGGCGTGTTATCACGCTGAACACTTCCGCCCACAAATGCCATCATCGCCCCGGCCAACTCAGCTGCAACTCACGTCAGCGCTGCTACGGACTGAAATTTTTATCGCAGAAATACGAGAAATAATCGGGACTATCGCCGTATTTGCAAGAAATGACTGTCCTTCGTAATACTCGTTAACTGTAAACCGATTAGTACACAGCAGCTTTGCTGATTAACTAGTATCGCTCGCTAGTCGCTACTTCGTTCCGATACTCTCAAGTTTTCGGCCGCTGTTGCTCAGCTGATAATTATTTCCTATCATTCTAATTTATTTAACTAACACTTTTGCAGTTGGAAATATTTTCTAAAATATCTCCAAATACTTTTTAAAATATTTTTGAATATTTTCTTTATTAAAATAAGCGATTACGCGACAATCAACGGCTTTACGTTACTGCCAGCGCCCGCGGGAGGCAGCAAGCACAGTGAACACGTCACTGCCGTACAGGGGCGGTCGCCGCGTCGCACAATTAATTTGATTTTATTTCTCAATTTCGACTTGATAAAACTCTCGCTTACCATATCGCAGTGTTCACAGGGAAAAGGCTTTCTGCTGACGGATGCAGTCCCGTTTCCGTTGCTGGCTGGAAGTGGCAGCAGGGCAGCCGCGGCCGTCGTCTCGCCCGAGACTTTCTCCGCTGCACTGCGTTCTGGCGTGTCCATGCTTTCCTAATCCTCAATCCGCCTCACGCCTGACACTTCGCTCGACTTCGCTCGCTTCTTCGCTCGTCTCGCTCTTCGCGTCTTTCTCCCAGGAATGCACTAGCATCACGGATGATCAGGCCATCCGTCAGCGGCGGGCGTGCTGATCGCAGGAACACCAGACAGACACACACGGCGAGCTCCACAAACGTTCATGGATCGCCGTGAATATTACGAAACAGACCCAACACACGTTTGCACACTGAGGGATGAATCACAAATCTAATCCACAATATTGACAATAATATCCATTTTCGCGATGAAGGCTCGCTCGAAGAATTCATCAGCGGCGTTCCGTGCAGCATGAGCTGTCCCGGCAAACTACGCGAAGACGCTGAAATGGCAGGAAGCCTCCAAGGCGGAATTTGAATGGGTTCACTGGGTTGCTGCGCTTAGTCAACACGTTATTACACGTTCAGCACGTTAGCGCATGATCGGCATGCGCTATGCAGTGCGTTACGACTTTTACGCGTACCGAGTGCAGCTTTCGTTGCAGCCGCCGCTGCCAGCGCTGAACGATCGACGGTCCAGCCAATCAGCGCGCGGCTGGCTAGCACGTGACACACCCCCCAAGTCAATCTGACGTAAGCCGTCAGCTGTGCAGTCGCTGCATTTATATTGATCGATGGACAAAATTCGATAATTTGTTGTTTCTAGTTTTCTGCAGTGATTGCTTTTTTTCAACAAATTGCAATAATTTTATGGTGATAAAACTAAAACCTAAAAAATCGTAACCACCGCTCCACGGCGACAGAATACACCACGCACTGCATTTTCCTCGTTGCGGTCAAACTCGTGTCGTTATTGATCATCATTATTAATAATTTTATCAGCCAGAAAATTATTTAAATCGCATAATATTAATTTCATAATTTAAACTATTTAAAGCGCATAATATTAAAAGTCACACTTGTCAATAAAATTGCATATTAAAACTGCAAATTAAATGGTAAATTTTAAGTACACACAGGCAAAATTAAATTGCGAGTTAAAATTGCAAATTAAATTGCAGACAATTAATAAACTGTGTATTCCTTTGAACTGCCCACCAAAACTCTCCAACACCAACAGATTTTAATCGGATTTTACGGTTGCGACTTACGATACGCACTGCTCATGACTAACCAGCGCAATTGAAATACAAATTATAACGAGTAACTAGTATACAAATTCAATAAGACGCGCCACACGCCGCTTGTCAATACTCAACACAGAGAAAACAAAAAAACAAACAAAATGGAAAGCAGATTCGAACTGCACTAAGCGCCAGCAAACAAATACAGCAGCAAAGCCATTTACAAGAATCCATCCTCCACGGACACGGCCGGCCATAAGAAATGAGAAAATACGCGCCGGAATAAAACGCTAAGAGATAACAAAAAACATCCAACACAACGCCCTCGCTGAAAAGGGAATTCTCCCGCATCCCGCGGCGTCCGTTTCACTCGTCGCTGCCGCTGTGCCGACTCTCCGAGCCACTCCGATGCAGCGTCTCCCCGGCGGCCATCGGCATATTCATCCCCATTCCTGCAAAGGAGAACATCAGAAAAATCCCGCAAAAATATCCATTAAATATCATTTTTACTCATTAAATTAAATAAAAATACATTCTGCAAGAAACAGGCGTTCACTGACCTTGCGCGGGCGCCTGCTGCATCTGCCCTTGTCCCTGGGCGCCCATGTTCCCGTACTGGCTGCCCGGCGGCCCCATGGGCATCTGGTGGGCGTGGTACTGCCCCATCTGCGCCCCGCCGCCGCCCGGATAATGCCCCATGACGTACTGCTGCGGCGGTTGTCCGGACTGCTGGCCCTGCCCCGGGGGCGGCTGCTGTTGCGCCTGCGGCGGCATCATGCCCATCTGCCGCATGGCGCCTCCTCCCGCTGGTCCTTGCTGCTGCTGTCCCGGAGCCATCTGCTGTCCGTACGGATTACCACCTACAGAGCAGAGATATAAATAACATGGCAAATAAAAAATGCAAAAATAATACTGACACTGAAACAATACTGATTTATCTTAGGTATTAAAAATAAATAAAATGACACTAAAAGAAATGCAAAATAAACAAATATGAATTACAATACATACTGATTCCCCTTTTGTTTTATTTTATGAATTGTTATCTACCATTAAAATGAAATTTGTGTTAAACTAAATAAATACTGGCGTGCACTATTCACCTGGCTGCATCTGCGCCATACGCTGCTGCGGCTGGCTCTGCTGCACCGCGTACAGCGACGCCTGGGACAGCTGCGGGTACTGCTGTTGTTGCGGCGGCGCTTGCTGTTGCTGCTGCATGCCGGGGTAGCCCTGCTGCATCCCGGGATATCCCTGCGCCTGCATCTGCTGCGGCTGCATGGCGTACTGCTGTTGCTGCTGCACGGCGGCCTGTTGCTGCGGATATCCCGGATGCGGCTGGAACATCTGCCCGGGCTGTCCGCCCGCCTGCGCCATCCCCATCCCGGGATGCGGACCGGTCGGCGCCGCGCCGGCAAACTGCGCCGGGTACCCGGCCGGCGGCTGCCCACCCATGGGCGCCCGCACCGCAATCTGTCCGGGCGGGCGCAGCTGCATCGCGCCGGGATAGCCGGGGGGCGCCGCGCCGCCCATCTCGCGCTGCGGCACCGCGGCGAACTGCGGCTGGAAGGGCGGGGGTGGCTGCTGCTGCTGCGGGGTGTTGGCGGAGAGGGGGCGCTGCAGGTCCGGCGTGCCGGCGGTGGGGTGCATCATGGGCTGGGGACTGAGGGCCGACGGGTGTCCGGTCATCGCGACGTCCATGTGCAGCGGCGTCTGCAGTCCCTGGGGCGGCGTCGGACCCATCCCGCCGGAAGTGGACGGGAAGGCGCCCCCCGGCAGGGAGATGGAGGGGGTGGGGGCGGCCACGCCCAGGACCGGCAGGGGGCCGTGCTGCTGCTGCATCTGCTGCTGGGCGGCCAGGCGCGCCTTCACCTCCATGGCCTTCACCTGCTCCGAGTGGAACTGCTGGCGTTCCTGGATCAGCTGCTGGCGCAGCAGCTCCAACTGGAAAAGCACCGCTGACGATACCGCATTCTGTGCGATTATAAATAAGCAAAGCATACCTTTTCGCGCTCTGCTTCGATAATGTTCTCCAGTTCTTCAAAGTGCTTCAGCTTGGTTTCCAGCTTCTTCATCTGCGTCTCCACCAACAGCGCCACCATGCTCTTGATCTTGCGCTCTTCCACCGTGGCCAGATGCTGAAAATTTACACAATTATTAACCACAATACTCGCAATCATTTCCGTTGTCCACTGCTCACAAACAACTTCGAACATGACCAACAACCACCGGCTAAGCAACTTTTTATCGCGTGAAAATAAATCGGAAAAACGTTAAAGCGCAAATGCGAAAATTCAGCAGCGAAATACCATTTCAAAGTTAACAATGCACAGCACAATCTCGAAAATTCACCAAAAAAGTAATAATGATACCAACTAAACCTATACTTGATCACCTCAGAAAAAGAAATGAAAAACTTATCGTAAAATTAACAACGGAATTTAAAAATAAAAATGCAGAATTTTCAAAATTTCATAAATTAAAAAAATCAAAACTGATGTGCTCGTACTGCAAACAATTCGCCTTTGCCTTGATTATGTATAAAAGAAATAAAAATAGGATGCAAAATTAGAAATGCAATATATAATTTAGATTGTGGAATTTTCGAATTTAATCCAAAGATACTGAAAATAACCTTGATCAATAAGAAAGGGATCTTAAAACATTAAATGTTAAATTAAACATTAGTGCAAATTAAAAATGTACGATTCGGAAAACTGACCGAATAAAACTGACAAACCTTGGCCTTGACCGCGGCGCTGGAGAGCGCCACCGAGGCGGCCATCTGCAGATCCTTGCGGGTAATCTCGCGGTCCGTCACCTTCTTCAGCCGCTCCCAGTCACTGGCCAACTCCGCCGTGGGCGCCGCGCCCGCCACCTCGCCCGCGGTCGGCGGCGTCCCGTTCTTCCCGTTTTCCATAGTGGCATCGGTGGAGGTCGACGCCGTCGGCTCCGGGACCGCCGCCGCGGTGACACTCTCCTCCGCGACACCGGCAGCCGCATCCGGCGCCGCCGGGGCCTTCTCTCCGCTGTTCTCTACAACAATGCCTGCAATTAAATAATTCACGGAAAAGTAATAACGCAGCAGACCCACCGCCATCGGCCAGTCCGGCGATGTTCATGGCCGCCAGCCCGAAGCGGTCGTCGGGCAGGGCGCCTTCGCCGCGTTTGGCCGCGTCGAACGCCTCGCCCACCGCTTTCTGGTGCGTCTCTACCAGCCACGGCGGCACTTCTTCCTTCAACTTGCAGTACTTCTCTGCAACCACCCACAGTCACCGTTCAAATCCACAATTTAACACAAATTAAAATTTTTAAAACATACAAAAACCAATTCTTTTCTTCCAGAAATTACAAATTTTAAAAACTTTCAAGCGTAAGAATATTTTAAATATCGATTAAAAAGGTCGCAACAAATAAAAACATCAACCAAAAAGTTCACCATGGGTACAAAACTCGAGAACAATTAAAACAGCCCTTAAAAATTTAATAACCAAAAATGTTATGGAAAAAAACGAATCAAAACGGAATGAAAACATCAACAGAAAATTGATTAAAAAATTCGAAATCTGGACATCCATTAAAAGTATTTTTAAAAAATCCAGAAACCACTGGAAAAAAATGACAGAAGAATGCAATTGCACCCGCCTTACCGAGAGCCGCCTGTGCCGCGGCGCTGGCAATGCGCGGATCGACCGTGGACGCCAGAAAAGCCACCGTGGTCATGACGGGATTGCCCGCCTTGCTGAAGGGAATGGGATAGTGCGCCAGGGGACCTGCAACACCCCACCGTCAACACCGATCGCCGCCGCGTCAACGCCCACGCCTTACCAATGTCCTTGCAGTCCTCCAGGTAGGGGTCCTCGATGGGCAGCTTGAGGAAGTGCAGCACGCACTCGTCCTGCGTGCGCGAGCCCACGTGCTCGGCCACCTTGTTCCAGTCGTCCTTGTACATCTCCAGGGCCTCCAACAGCAGCAGCGTCTCCTGCTCCGTCCATTCGCGGCCCACTTTGCCCTGCAATCAGCACCAAGATATGTTGCACATTCCCGCGGTTGTGCCAACGAACAGGGACGCTACGCACCCTGGCCGCCGAGCGCTTGATGTAGCTGTCGGCGCGCAGACCGTAGCTCGGACCGGCGTTCTCCCCACAACCGCCGGGCGCCGGTGCCCCGGCAGCGGCGGCGTCGGCCTCCTGCTGCTCCTTGGTGACGTCGGACAGCTTGCAGATGTAGTCGGCGTTGGCGCTGGGCAGGCCCTGGTGCTTGACGGGCTGCAGCGGCTGGATGCCCACCGGCGTGTCCAGCAGGATGTTGTAGTGTGCCGTGTTGCTGTTGTCAACGAAATTATCCATCAAATTCAAAAATTAGCCACATAACACTGCATTAGTAAATTCAAACAGTATTCAGTTGTTCAAATACGTACTGTATAGATAGCTAACGTAAGTTGTTACTTAAAAGCGAAAACGTACCCAAAATTTAGCCAAATTTTCTTAAACAAATTCACCATCAACAGATCAACCTGCCAAATCACGAAATGGTCAATTGACATTAAATTGATAAATTCAAACATTAATAATTTAACTTGTCAAAATTAAGCATTAATTTAAAATCAAACAAACAACTAAAATAAATACGTCAGGAAATTAACAGAAATCATTACATCACTTGTATAATAAAATTCAACGTTAATTATTCCACTCGTCAAATACACAACGTAAATTGTCACGATAGGTACGAGCACTTCAGTACATCAGCAAACTCTCATCACAGCCAAAAGCGCGCTGAAATATCTCAATCCTAATTCCTTCGAAAACCATGTGCAAGCAAAACAAATATTAATTACAATATACTCAGCAATCGAAACAAAACTGACTGTCTGAGTGCAAATTAAAGAGTGCCAGTTTCAACTGCAGCGTCTGTTCTGCAGTTTTGCTGTACCTGGGTCCGAAGCCCATGGGGCGGTTGTCGGAGTCCACCTGGAAGTTGATGAGGCCCCACTGCTCCAGGAAGGCGTGGATGCGCACGATGCCGCACACGTCGCCGGTGAGGTTGCGGCGCGCCGAGGTGGAGGTCAGGTACTCGGTGGGGTTCAGGCGGTACGAGTCGATCATGAAGTTCCGCACAGTCATGTACGCCTCGGGACTCTTGGAGGCATTCTGGGAATTAAAGTACTCCGGCAGGGAGCGCTTTTCGATCGCGTTGATGCTGCAATTATGCAGTAAATTATATTACAAAAATTCCAATCCATTCAACTTGGATAAAATAACAGAATTTAAATCAGGTATTAAATGCAGAATAATTTACACATTAAATCAAATACATCCACAATTAAACGTGAGCGAAATTTGTCAACAAAATCAAACAATTATCTAAATACAATCAGCAAAGAAACTCTTCAACATCAAGCTGAAAATTAAGGCGTTATCAAAGTGACATAATCAAGTTTGTCCAATTAAATCAAACAAATTCCACATTAAACCAGAGACAAATCCAGAATGTAATAAAGTGCTTTTTCAGTCAGTTTCTTGACTCACCTATCATAGCTGAACCATGCTGAATAGCTAGGAATAATTATATTGTAGCTTTGCGGGGACACTTCCTGGGTGCGATGGCGCTGCTCCTTTTCCTGAGAAGTCGAAGAGCAATGTTAGCAGACGCAAAAACGGCAAGAAATGTCAGAAACGTCAGTCAGTTTACCCGTTCTTCATCGGCGTCCATGTCCTTGAAGAGGGCGCCCTTGATGGGCTGGAAATCGGTCTGCGGGGGCTGCTGCTGCGCGTGCCCCTCCTTCTCGCGGGCCCCCTTCCCCCCGGGCAGCTTGCTGTGGCCGGGATGCGAGTCGCTGTCGTGCAGCAGACTGTCGCCGTCCTTGCCCTCGCGCTCGCGACTGCCGGCCGCCGTCGCCGGGGGCGGGGGCGCGTGCGACGCAGACAGACTGCTGTCGTCGTCTAGATCGCTGAGCTCGGGCTCCTTGCGCTTAAGACTGCTTCCTGACGCGCCCGATTTGGAGGAACTGGCGCTCCTGTATGGGAAAAAATTTTTAACCAACCGATCCTCTAGAATTATGCGAGGATTGTGGCAAGGATAGACCAAGAACTGAGAAACTGCCAATAGAAGAGAAGCAGCTGAATGACTCACCTGCCAGGCGCAGGAGCTGGCGAGCGCTTGTTGGACGACGACAGATCGGCGTTGCGACTGGAGGCGCCAGTTCCTGACGCACTGCTGTTGCGGGAAGGGACGGGCGGGGAGGACTGGCGGCTGCGCTTGTTTTTGTTGGCCGTCTGACTGCTGCTGCTGCCGGAGGTCCCCGCTTTCTGGCTACTCTTACTCGCGCGACTCCCCTCCATTGATGATTACGCTCTGACGCCTGACGGGCTCAACGCATCCAAGACTTATAAACAGCACAAACAAAAAATCCTCGTAATGGCTGACACGTACAGATTTGCCGTTTGTTCTGCCCAACTTTTCGACTGTAGTCTGCACTCTGCATCAAGTGCAAAACGTATGAAAAACGGAAAAAATAAATTAAATACAGTACTGATTTTCGGTTTGAATGGCGCGCGGATTTGACGTATGACACTACGTTATTTGCTACAGGGATTTCGCTACAGCCTACAACCACAACAGTAGCATCAAGGCAGTGCAATAACGAGCCGTTGTACAGGAAAACTGCATACAACCGACAGTTTTGAAACATATCTTTTATTGGATGCGCAGTGTTGTCTCTATCGAGTCTGGCGGCTTACACGATGTGCTGCGGACGCGATGTCAAACTCGACGAGCACCGCACCGTCTCTGTACTCACTTCAAATTGTGCTAGTTAATCTAATCTCAACAGTTCTCTCACCAACTCACACCAACAGTTCTCAACTTCTCAGGCTGCATGCAGCTGTCAGTCTGCGAGCGTTGTTGTGCTGTATTTTTACATTCTCTCCGTTTCATTATTTTATCATTGTTTAAAAAATGTTTTTGGAAATTTCTTTTGAAATTACATATCTGGTTCCGGGATCGACGGACATGCGGGTTATGCTGCCCTGATGGAAAAATCCAACTGGCTTGATTCATGCCAGTTGGGCAGTTTCGATCAGCGCTGGTGAACCCAACTGATATTTTTTATGTGTATCGGATTCCATCCTTTATTTTCCGACTGGCATTTGCATTTGACGGCACGATTTGCATCACACGGCCAAGCTATAAGCGTCGGTGTGTTAGCAAACGGGGGAATAGTCCGTTTTGCTCTTTATAGATTCCTGCATGCGTTGAGCTCGTTCAGGTGTCAGCAGAGATGGACGGTAGTCGCGCGAGTACAAGCAGCCAGAAAGTGGGTACTTCTAGTTCTGGCATGAGCTACGTTCAGGCGGCCAAACGTGGCCATCAGTCTTCACCGCCCAACGTCACCGGGGATAGTACTGCATCGGGAGCGGGCGCCTCCACTAGCAGCGCCGAGCTGACGCCGTCCAACAAGCGGCACTCTCCGGCCCGTGCTCACAACATGCACGCAGCGACGGCGGCTGGCCGTCGTGAGCGCGACGTCAAGGAGAGCGGCAGTCGGCTGCACGACAGCGACTCGCATTCCGGCCCGAGCAAGCTGGGCGGGGGGAAGGGAGGCCGCGAGAAGGAATGGGATGGGCACTGCTGTGTATCGGTCAGCTACGGTAAGCAGGACTGTGTGCGCGGCGTAGAGTACTGTTAGTTAATTGTCCGTTTTTTACTGAGGCTGATGTGAATATATATTCCTTATCATATTTATGAAAGTTAGCCCGTCTCTGTCGATTGATGCTTAATGAGTGACTGTATGTTCCGAAGCTGTTTTTTTATTGTCTAATTTTTCTTATGAAATAAAATTAACATTGATTCCTAAAAGTTGTTCAAATCTTTGTAACTATTCTGTGGTTTCTGCTTATTCGGCAATAGCCGCCAAAACAACAAAAAGTGCAAGCGCGGGCACACTACTTTACAGTTAAAATTTAAACATTAAAAAAACAACCAAAATCTCTATCCGACATTATTTTTATGTTTGTGTTAATTGCAGATACAGCAGTTCGCGAATACGGTTTCGGGACGCAGCCGAGAGTGTTGGCGTCAGTTGTTTTGAAGAAATTTGAAATGGAGGAAACATTCAACCGCAAAAAAGTGTCCTCGGCGATGTGGTGCTTGAACCGAAATTCCCAGAAAGTGGTTCTGCTAAAGTGTCGGGAGGCAAATGGCGATGTTTCATCAGCAGTCAAGTAAGATCTTCAAAGATATTTTATTTTTATTTTAAATGTTTTCCCAGCTTTTGAAAAGTAATGGTTTACTGATTTTCAAATCGCGACATTACAGTCGTAAGTCAATTAACTACGGCCAGACAGCAGCTTTTGAAATATATTATAATTATTATATCGATTTGCTGATGTTTTCCTTGCAACGCTGCCCGTTGTATTCCAGACAGAATGACAACTTAGTACTTAGCAGTGCTGAAAATAGAGATAAGATTAAAATACAGTTTAGAATGACTTGCGACTGTTATGTCGCGATTTGAACATCAATAAAGGAAAACATTTTCGATAGTTAATTGGAAATGGCTGCCTGCCCACGAGCGAAAGTGTTTCTGTTTTGAATTTAAACAAATAAGAAAACGTACCTCGAAATTGATGTACGAAATTAATTATGTGTAGTAAAAATTAATTTAATTCTGTTGTGAAATGCATTGTACTGGAAAAATAAGTTTTCACATATTCGGGTGCGAAAAACAATAATATGTCATGCCGGCGTGGTGTCACTGGTGTCTGTCACTAGTTCATTAGGCGGACTTTTTACAGATCGCTGCAGCAGAAACTGAGTGGAACAGGAATCCGCATCAGAAGTACACCTTACCCAGATGAGGCTGCATTGGACGCATTTCTACAATCCAGGTATTTTACGTTATTTTGATATTCGTTACGACTTACCGGGGCATATTTTCCGGATGAAAATTCAAAAAATCTCATCTTTTGTAAAAAGATAGTATATTACCGTAGTATATTTAAAAAAATTATTCCATCTGCCATGGTCCATGGTGCACGGGTGGAGAAAATGCTAGCGAGCCGGAATGCGGACAATTCGACGCGCAGATGCCGGCCGGCTGCTGCATCAAGAAGGCCGCATCATTGCTCGTCAGGTCGGCATCCCGGGCATCGAGGACACCAGCGGCGCCCGTCAAGACGAGAAGAAGTTACAGCTGTTCATGCAACACTTGACCAACCACGAGAAGATCCACGGAATCTGCATCCTGCTTAAACCCAACGATTCCCGACTGACCGTGATGTTCCGTGTTTTTAATCAGGGACAGAGTAGAAAGAGAGCTGAAGGAATCCGCGAGGGCAGGTAATCCAAGCGCCAACTGAGCCGGCAGCTGTACGTTCCGCTGATGGATCTGGAATCAGTCCCCTTGGGATTTCCGCGCACTGTCCGCGTGGCCAGTGGGGGGAACGTGCCGCGGGATCATTGATTTGGGTCGAGCAGAGTGGATGTTGCGGGAACTGTGTGAAGAGCAGCCGCCTGGAAGAATCGATGGGGGGCGGGGAAGAGGAGCATCAGCTGGCCATGGAAAATATTGTGGAGGTCAGCGGGCGGCGTGTCTGAGGTTGGGTGGCGATAATGCAGACTGTGCGCAAGCAGCCAGACGCGGCGTAAAGACATGTTCTACTCGCCCAAAAACTCGCGGATACGCCTCACGCAGTGCCGGGACGGCACTCATAATCTGAGATTAATCGCAATTTTTGTAAAAAAATAGAGCCAAAATGACCCGACGGCTCAGCAATCAGACGACATTGCATTGCTTTGTTATAGTATGGAGGACGAGAAAAAACTGGCAGCGGAAGCGGAAGAAAGGCAGCAAGCGGAAGAAAGGCAGCAAGCGGAATTCGCGGCGCGGGTTGAGACGGAACGGCGGCAGGTGACGGAGGAATGGGTGCTGCTGCATAGGCAGCAGGTGGAGGAGTTGCAACGGAAACAGGCGGAGGAATTGCTGAATATAGCCCAAGCTGGGCCGCTGGAGGTACAGTGAATGTCAAAACTCACTACATCCTCTGAACCGGCATGTGACATTTCCGGTTGCGTAACAGGTCGGTGCTTTTTTCAGCTGGAGTTGCTGCGCCAGCAGCTGATCCAGGAGCGCCAGCAGTTCCACTCGGAGCAGGGGAAGGCCATGGAGGTGAAGGCGCGGCTGGACGCCCAGCAGCAGATGCAGCAGCAGCACGGGTTCGTCCCTTCACTGGGCAGAGCCGCTCCCAGCCCTTCCAGCTCCGTGCCGGCCACGTTTCCACTCAACTCCAGTGGGCTGGGCCTGACGTCGCCCCCAGAATCGACGGCGATGCAGATTCCCGTGGGCACTGCGCACCCGTACTTCCTCACCACGCACTCCCAGCCCACTATGTACCCCACCTCCGCCACTCAGGGCCTGCAGCCCCTTTTCTCCGCCAGTCCTTCGCAACTGCAGTTCCAGCCGCCGTTCGCCGCGGCGCCGCAGCCGCCTTACGTCATGGGGCACTATCCGGGCGACGGCGGGGCGCAGATGGGGCAGTACTACGCCCACCAGATGCCCATGGGGCCGCCGGGCAGCCAGTACGGGAACATGGGCGCCCAAGGACAAGGGATGATGCAGCAGGCGCCCGCGCAAGGTCACTGAACACTGAACACGTGTTTGTTGCAGGGAAATGTCTTGGCGGATGAAGAATTATTAATTTTTTTATTTAATTTAACGAGTAAAAAATGATATTTTTGGGGATTTTTCTGATATTTTCCTTTGCAGGAATGGGAATGAATATGCCGATGACCGCCGGGGATACGCTGCGTCACCGTGGCTCCATTAGCCGCCCCACCGGCAGCGACGACGCCGGCGAGTGAATCGGATGCCGCGGGATGCGGGAGCCATTCCTCCGCAGCGAGGGCGTAGCTAGAATTTTTGGTAACTCGTAGCGTTTTATTCCGCCTCGTATTTCTTGTGGCCGTGTCCGGGGAGGATGGATTCTTGTAAATGGCTTTGCTGCTGTAATTGTTTGCTGGCGCTTAATGCAGTTCGAATCTGCTTTCCATTTTGTTTGTTTATTTGTTTTCTCTGTTTTGAGTATTGACACGCGGCGATGGTCATGGCCTCATGGGGGCGTCTGCTGAATTTGTATCTTACTCGTAAAAAATTTTTTTTTTGGGAGCGGCGCTGGTTAATAGTCATGAGAAGTGCATGTATATCCTACATGGTTACCGTAAAATCTGATTAAAATCTGTTGGTGTTGGAGAGTTTTGACTGGTAAAATGGAAATAACTAAAAGCAACACGAGTTTGAAAGCACAAAAACATACAACAAATTCAGCAGCGTACAGCACAGCACCACCTGCCCTGTACTGCTCCAGCCTCCAGTCATCCGTAAATTATTAATACGGCCATGTGATTGCCGTTTTCTTAGGATAAGGCGTCGTCGGCGTCGTCCTGCGCAGATATGTAATTAATTTGGATATTATTCGATGTAAATCTCGGCGATGCCCCACAAGGCCATGTTGCTGAGTTGGCGGATGTCGACCGTTCGCAAGTCGACATCATCGCACGCGTACGCATGCCGACTGCCATTCGGCTGTAATCCGCTGTACCTGTAGCAAGATACCATAATTATGTAAAGAAGCGCTGCGGCATTTCTTTTCGGTGAAAGAAACGCATTATGTTGCTCAAATAATGCGAGATATATATATATACACTTATAGTTGTGTGTGGATATGTATTGTATATCAATTATTGTATTACTGTCCACTTGCTCTTTGACGAACTGCCGGAAAATGCACCAATCGTCGGGGTAGGCGAGGCTGCGGCACCAGCGAGCGTGCACCGCCGCCACTTTGGCCAGCACGGCGGCGCTGGCCGGCGGAAAGGCCCGCTGCACGGCCAACAGGAAGCGCCGGCTGACCGCCTCCCAGTCGTCCGGATCCCGCCACTTACAGATCAGCCGGGGTACACAGATCAGCGTCGCATCCACAACGGACGGCTGGGCATGCGCTACCGAATGCCAGCCGGAATGGAAATCGGACTGGAAATCGGGTCTGTAGGCGTTGATGAAGCGCTTTTCGTCGTCTGGCAACGACCAGCAGTTGAGCGCCATCCGCATTCGATTAAACAGCGTCCCGCGCATCTCCAGCCCGTCGACGATCAGTTGGTCACACTGTCGCCGGAAGCACCGCCAAAATCCCGGGTCCGTGTACGTCAGGCCGAAGGATTTCAGCACGAGGAAGGGCAGCTGGATGCGCATAACTTCCAAGAACGTCTGCACATAACTTAGGATGTGCCAGTTGAACGGCTCCCCCTGCCAGTCGTTGGCGTCTGCGCGGATGGTCAGACTGCGCGTTGTGGGCGTGATGACCCGGCTCAGCAGCATCGCGCAGCGACAGCAGTAACTATGGTCACCGCAGCGTGTAGTAGTACTGTGTAAACTGTCCGTCAGGACATTGTATGCTGCGTCGTGCCCGGATCGCCCAGGATCGCTCGCCACAACGCACACTCTGCAGGATGGAGAGACAGATAAAAATTAATTTACAATTAAGTAAATACTATACAAGTTATTACGGTACTCTACTGTAGTTTATAATGTAGACATACAGTACTTCAGCTGTAGCTACAGTACCATTACAAATTATCTTCCGTACCTGTACCGTATTGGCCGTGACGCACTGCGTATGCAGCGTATAGAACATTAAATCGGCGTTCCGCTGAGCTTAACCCGAAATTAGATTCCCTTTGAAAAGATTAGCAAAATTTCCAGTTATGTTTAATATGTTCCTTTGTTTTAAATTATAAAACAAAGTTTTTAAGCTTCTCGCAAATCAATCAGCAGCATATGCCGGTCAGTTGTCAAGAACTACAAATAAAAAAAGCTCCATAATTACTGAAATTTTTGTAGCCGTATTTCAGTACTTCTACTGGTTCAGATACCATTCGGAGACTTCGTTAAATTTTAGTTAGTGCGTCCCGACAAAACAATCCAGTGATGCGACCGTACGACCACCGATGTCAACCTTTAGACCACTTAGAATAAAAATACTTTCCAGTTTCCTCCAACTGTTTACACACAAACAATTTAAACCTGATGAAGACTTCAAAATTTCGTTGTGTTCTTTGGTGAATTTTTTATTGATTAACGTCGACAACTTAAGCACAGTGTCTTGCTTGCGACCCCCGCTGCAGAAAGGCGCCGCCTATGATTCCGCTTTCTGTTACGTGCTTATAAAATTTGTTTGAAGTTTGGCAAAAATCTATGCATTTGTATAGTACATCCCCAACGCATTGTCGCCTCCCCAATCCCAACCCCAACCCATCCCAAACCCAACCCATTTAACGCCAACAACATCCCCAACCCATTAAACGCATTGTCGCTTCACGCTTACGTCCTCACAGATGGTTCATTAATGTAGCTTGTCGCACCCAGGCGCACCGGAGAGGGTATTCCCCTAATTTTTTTGTTTTGACCTTTGATGGGAGCTGATCTGACGGAATGCTTTATAGCTGGCGGAAACATAGATTAGAATGCGGATAAGCTTCGCTTTTTAAATTTTCTGTTTATTTTAAATTTTTGAATGCTAAAAATGCGGTTTTTGTTTTCATAAAACCGTTTTTGTCTACGTTCCTTAGCGGAAAAATATCCCTTCTGAAAAATATTTTTACCTTCTCTACCTTCCCCTGCTGGAGGCTTGCGCGCTCCTCATTTAGGTCGCCGTGAAAAGATTTGCCTTGGGCCGCTTTCTCCCCCCGGGCGGCGGTTAGACTCGAATCCTAGTGCGTACGCCCGGTGGGACTGGGACTCGCTGTTTTGCTCGAGTAGTCCACACCATTTCCAGTCGAACACCAAAATTCTCAAAATCGACTTTCGTCTCTCACAAAATGATGTTTATTTGAGATTTGAAAAAAAGGATAAAATATTCCACTTTATTGGCACGGCAGCAAAAGCCAACCGCCCTTTGGAAGCAGTTTTAAATTTTAATAATACATCTAATCAACCCGTTGCGAAAGGCAACTACTTTATCTTTGGAATTTGGGTCGCTCCCACTTTCCAGGAGATTCTGCATGTTCAGTCTTTAAGAAACATCACTTTCCGAGCCTACATATTTTAAAACTAACTCTTAATAAAAATCTTATGAACTAAAGGCAGTCCGATAACTAACGGACACCAAAGTTCCATCAAGTGTAGATGTCTTTTCCTGTGCTGTTCGTGACAGTGGTGGCTTGGGTGGGTTTGCAGTGGTGGGTTCTGCACTTTTCCCGTAGACTTTGTATGTTAAGTTCTTTTAAGATTTTCTCTAAAACTTCACATACTTTCAAAAAACTAACTGGTTTCTGCAAATCTGCAAACTCGCGGCTATTGAATGACATATAGACATCAAAGTTTGGTTCAGTGGATCGCTCAAAAAAGGGTGACAGAAATGGAATTCGCTAAGGCTTATTTTATTAATATATAGGATATTTTCTAAACGTACGTACTCGTTCTTCACAATTTGCACGCACATGCGGAATATCTATGTATATATCTGTATATCCATTCACAGTTGTAGAACAGCACCTACTACAGAGTATAGACTATAATTCATGCTATGATAATTTGTTTGTTTCTCTCTTCTTTCTGTTGTGCACGACAATTGTAACAATAACGCCGTATAGCATACTGGGATCTGTATATATTTATGTACATATTTACTCGTAAATTATGTACTGTATAGATACGCATACAGATATGCACATGTACCGTATGTATACTCGTACGATTTGTATAGAATTGTACGTACAATGGAGGACGAAAAAAAGTTGAAATCGGCCGGCCAGTGTTCAGCTAGTCGCGCCTTATCAACTTCTTTTTGTCGTCCACTGTATAGGAACTGTATAACTGATGTAAGTATAAATATAATTTGGTGCAAAACAGACGCACCTGCAGACAGCGCGAAGCGTTCATTGTGAAGAGTCTGGTGCGACGAAGTCGTAGTCGTGTGGCTTGATAAGCGACCGGCACGGCACGCAGCATACTGCTCCAGTATCTTGTGTAGTGCTGCCGCTGTCCGGTCCATGCTGGCGGTGTCGGTCTGGTTGCCGGCGACAATGAACGTGCACCGCTGCGGATCCGGCCCGATGCGCAGATGGAAGCGGCAACTCTCCTCCATGGCCGCCTCATCCGCCTCCGTCGCGGGCCCGGGCCCGGGCCCGCGCCCGGCCAGCGCCGCCGCCGGCTGCACCCGGTACCCTTGCCGGAAGCTGTCCAGCAACTGGCACGCGTCGGCCGCTGTGCGTATGTTGAAAACACATTGCGCCGTGGCATGAATATTCATATTCAGGAGGATTTCATGGCGGGTATAAAGCAGGCCGGTCGTTCTTGCCAGCAGCGGTGGTTGGCCGAATGGCAGCTCGCTCATTATCTGACACCAGTCGACAACGGCCATCGCATTAGCATTACCAGCTGCAGGCGCCGCTGCTGCATCTGCTCCGGCCGCGGACAGGTTGATGAAGCACATTTTGCACTCCCAATCGAAATGCAAGGCAGTGGCCGGCCGGAAGCGAAACGGCTCGTCGTAGCGGTCGCGGAGGGCCGCGAATACCGACGTATAAGGCCGATCCGGATCCGGCGACAGAAACGGCAGCGGCCACACGTGTGACGCGTGGATGTAGCGTGCAGCCGCCCCGGGCCGGCTGCTGGCAAAGTCCACCAGCACGTGCTCGTCGCGAATATCCTGGATGTATCCCAACCAGCACTCCTCCTGCCCGGCAGTACCAGCTGTATGCACCCGCACCGCTACCGTATTTTGGTAACTGATCCCCTCTGCGCCAACCCAAAGCCGTCGAAATCCCGGATTAACCAGCCTGCAATCCATTGTAAGCTGCAACAAGCAAATTAATTGTCCATAACTGTTTTCCACACACATATACGTAGTTTGTCACGCATATTTTTCTACACAAGTCTTGCAGCATGCAAGTATACAATTAAATTGCTGTTTAATTTACAGTACGTTCCTAGTTATCGTTAACAGCACGTACATAAAGTAAGTAAATGGTTAACTAAATTTTTTTAAATATGTGGACTATCAAAGTCACAGCCAAGGTGCCAGGAAAACAACACCGGGCACATATCATTCCCGGCCAGCCAATTTAACTGAATCTCACTCCAGCTTTTTCTGGTTGTCTAACTTGCATTGTAAATTTGTACGAGAAGCACGAGCATTGTAGTATTAGAAACATTTATCAATAGATTCATATATCCTTACGTCCTTATTTTTTGGAAATTATCTCCTAAATCAAGACTGAGTTTTTCAATAAGTTGATGATTTTAAAAAATAGAGCATCGCACAAACGTTCCTACCTTTATATTTAAAAAAATCTTAAGTTTTGGAGAAGGTCTAAAAAAATTTTTAGAAGTTGTAGTACTTAAAGGTTGTTAGTACTTAAAGGTTGTTGGTTTTGGAAAATATCTCCTAATTCGAGATTCCGTTTGTGAAGCTTTTGATAGTTTTATAAAATCCAGCATCTCCCAAAGCTTCCTACCTGCTGCTTGGAAAAAAATTTTGGTTTTCGGAAAGCTTTCAAAACCCTTTTAAACTTTCAGTACTTAGCGTTCAAAATTCATAGAAATTTCCAGTAAATTCTGGAAACGTCTCGAATGAGCAAATACAGGTTTTGCAACTTAGCAACCTAAACAATAGTTATTTAAAATTGTCAATTACATCGAACTTTTAAATTTACTTTTTTAAATTCTTGAAACCTTTAAGATGTTTTTAAATGCGTTTGAATACCTCAAAATAACTGTAAATTTATTCAAAGTCGGCTCCAAAACTTTTACATTTCCATAATTTCTAAATATTTCGACTCGGCCCCGCGCAGCGGGGCCGTTACCTCTAATTTTCTGAGCCTCCAGAGTTTCAAAATTTTAAAAATATCTAGAAATCTCAGTATCTCAATATCCCACGGTTTAAATTGTCTAATTTATATGTAATTTTTAAATATCTAAAAGCCGGCCCGCGGCCTGTTTACCGTATTCACTCACGTAGCGGCTCTGTAATTCTGGTGGTAGCTTGGGCATTCCCTAACCTACGTTGCTCTGTAATACTGGCGGTAGCTTGGGTATTCACTAAGCTCGAAATCGAATATAACATATGTATTATTTTATTTTAGTAGAGCTTGACTGAAGGCTGAAAATCTCGCAATCTTACATGCAGCCTGCGAGGTCACCTTGGGCAACCGTTAATCGTTTCCCACAAGTTTCCATTAATTCTGCGCTGAAATATCGGCTTAACGGTTTTTTATGGACATCGTGTAAATGATCCCACTCTATCCATTTTATCACCGTTTAAATATTATCTGTCGTACCAAAAAATACAGGTTTTCAGTTCGTTAGAATCGACAATATAAAGTTACATTAAAAACGGGAAAAAGAACCGTGAAAAAGGCAAACAAAAAAAATTACGGAGGCTTTCAGTTTTTATAAAACTGGTCAAATTTAAGCGGAAAGCTTGAAAACTGTCCGCATTGTCACATATTTATAATATTTTCGTAGCTGGCTTCGCTGGGGTTTTATATTTGAAATAGTTCTCAAACTCGTTTTTATTGCTGTACAAGTGTATTTTGCACTGTATTTCTTTCATTTTTCCATACCTCGAACACAAATGGTCGCGCGCTAGCGCGACCGATACTTATACAGTATTATTTATACAGTATTAGAAACACTTATATGTAAATGTATAAATTCGCACAAATTTGTTCATGCGACACAGTTTTTGATGCAATCATGCAGCGCTGCAGGGTGAACTGTGAAGTACTTGTATCAGTGTTCTGGGAAGCGTTGAGTGCAGACTATATACAGATATGCTGTGGTCCCGTGCAGTGGAAACCTCGACGAACTGTTCTTGATTTTTAGCAGTTTACCTTTACAGTTTTCTTGAAATCTAAAAGTCTGACCATTTACAGTACAAGTTGCCAACATAGTTCAACATACCATGAATCAGAAATGTATATAAAAGGCATCCGTACAGATACGCTGCGACGTATACCCGAACCACAAAGTACACAAATGTACAATATCTGCAATAATTATGCAGATGTGCATATAGCAATAATAACAATTATTATAGTTATTACACTATAATAAATGATAATTATTGATTATGTCCATTGAGCGTAGTGTTCTGTGTATACTCATATACATACGGGATCATAAAGATTAGTACAGTAAGTCAGAAGTAAATGCAGCAAAGCCCAGTGCGTCGAGTCCGTCAAAGCTGAGCAGTGAAGAAAAACTGGCAAGTCCCCGATTATGACTGCACAACTGCTCAGCGATCTCCAGCTCTACAGTATCTGTGCCAGTATGATCAGAAGAACACTACGCATTCCAACACCGGAAGGCGTACTTGTACAGCGTCTAACTCAACACTCTAGGGCGACCATAATGCGACTTTCTTTATTATTATTACAGTATTATTGTATATAAAAGGGTAAGTACAAATTAATTTATGGAATACATACTGTAGGCGCGATTCAAATAAGTATGTTCACAGCGGCTCTTGTGTCACTGTCTTCAAATCGAATCGGAGCGTCGCTAGCGTTGCAACAGCACGCTTACCCCGCGCCTGACCGCCACCCCGCCGCGCACGCTCGACCCTTCATCCCCACGCTGTTGCTGTTGGGTGGCTTTTGGTCTGTCACATTCGCAGCCGTTGGCCCGTTGCACTGCCAAAACGGCAGCGCAATATACAGCACAGCACGAGCTATTACTGTACTTGTACTAATACGGTGGACTTAACGTTGTTCCTTTACAAGTACATGCAGTTAGTTACGTTTGTTCTTTAAGTCTTCCGCACGTACAATGTACAAGCAGTGGAAGCTCAGCGCTCGACGATGCAAAAATTTAGACTCACACCGTGCCGCCCGCCGCTCCTTCGATCTAATTTACGAAATGCCCGTGTACCCGACAGACCGGTCACCGGGCGCATACAAGTTTTTAAATATTACACTTTTGATGCTGTTTCCGGCACTTTATTGTTTTTTACGTAATTTATTTCTACTCAAGTAACCACTAAGGTTGCTGGAAAGCAGAATTAGAGAGGACTGGAGAATCAGAGGACTCTATTAGATAAATTGTCGCCCCTTTTTCCCCTTAATTGTTTTCGGCTGGTTTCTTGAACAAGTCCTTCAAAACAGCGCAGTACCGTCTGACTCTGACCGATCCTGATGTTCAGAACCTTTACATCAAACTATCTGTAATTACACTAACTGATCAGGTCCTATACTGTACGTCAGGTCATCTAAGACGACACGGAAGCCCCTTCCAGTGCTCTACGCACTGAACAAAACTGCGGCAATTGCAGAGAAATTCACAGGTTCATCGAGGCATAAGCTGCTTTCCAGAGTTGACAGTTTGAAACTGAACAACTAGTCAGCAACTTTCATGCATACTGCTTCTCCAGACGTTTTGGAAAGCGCATGTTACTTGCGTAAGGTTAAGTGCATTTTGCAGTTGTGGTATCTCACTTCGACAATACCGCAGGAAAATTGAGTGGCTAACCATAAATAAGTAGTAGATCGGACAACAACAAAATAAGAGATCGTCGTATATACATACGTGTATATTTACGATGTCACATGTTAATGATGTTATATGTATATTTACGTTTCGCTACCTCAAAATGCATGCATATAGATATTTATGTATGTCGGTATATTTATGTAGTGAAGTGTCACTGTGTCAGTGCTCGGAACATTTACCGATATCAATATATGAGAGACAACGAGGACGTCTTTTTAGCTTTTAGACTGCCCGATCGGGAATGATATGTGCCCGATGTTGATTTTCTTGGCAGCTTGCCTGTGACTCTGTAATAAGGTGTGGAAAATAATTACAAAGTTTTATGTACATATTCTAGTAGCGGTAAATAAGCGGATGAATGTTGTCTAAGCGGTGCATCATGTGTGAGTGTGCTGTTCTGACTAGAGACCGAAAACAGTAGTACTGTACTGCCGTATACGGCATACTGTACGGTCTGCCGTACGTAACCGTATAGGAAAAGACTACGGCAAATAACTGCCGTACCGTAGGCAAATAACTGCCGTACCGTAACCGTAAGCCAAAAACACGACTTTACAATGGGCTTGCCGTATACGGTACTGCCGTATACGGTATACGGTACGGTCAATCCGGTTATTTTTGCCGTAACCGTACCGTACCCGTAGGAGCCGTAAGCAAAACCGTACGTAGCCGTACACAAATTTAGTACTGTTTTCGGTCTCTAGTTCTGACTAGTAACTACGAACTTATTATCCAGATTATGCCCGACACTGACAGCAATGGATGTCATCACCGCCGCGCGAGCCTGGAAGTTAGAGGCCGACACTGACGAACTTCCGACGTACGGAGGCTTTCCGACACGTCCAGAAAGCATGGGACACTCTCACGACACTTCAGACATTTTCTAAGGCTGACCGCACTACGAACTTCCGAATAAAATCTGTTGGTGTTGGAGAATTTTGGCAGACATTAACTGGTGTGCAATTAAAACTAATACAGATTTACTTTGCAATTCAGATAGTTATTTGTATACAATTTAATTGGCAGTTTTAATTCGCAGTTTAATTTCACAGGTGTGCGATTATAATTTAACCATGCAATTAAATGAATTAATCTGCAGTTTTATATGCAGTTTAAATGACTACTTTGTGTGAAATATAATAATTAATATTATGCGCTTCAAACGATTTAAATTCGAAATTTAATATTATCCGACCTGAAGAAATTTCCGGCTGATAAAAATTAATAACGATAATCAATAACGACACGAGTGTGAAAGCAACGAAGAAGGTGCTGTTGCGGCCTGCTTGTCAATAATTCTGCCGCCGTGAAGCGGTAGTTACAATTTCTTTTTTAAATTTTATTTTCAACGCGCCCACAGAGTTAATGGGAAACTTCTAAGAAAATCACTTCTAAGTCACTGTCGGCAAAAGCAGATACAAGACATTATCAAATTTTATCCATTGATCAGTAATAAATTCTGTCCCTTCTCATGTAAATTGGGACAAATTCTTCATTTGATTGGTATCATTGAGCGAAGCTCGCTGTATACATATTGAGAGATTAAACCATTTCAATAAAATTTCAAATGTATCACTGCTTGTAACTGACAACTGTGCATTATTGATTACTTATCTTCAGAGGCATGACGTGCGCAAGTGCGATAATACTGTAGATACGTAACACATTAACACTCGTAATTAAACCATAAATATCTCCGCGATTCCCCACAATGCCAGTTTGCTGAGTTGGTCGAGATGAATACTTCTCAAATCGACATGGTCCCATATTTGCGGACTGCCATCCGGCTGGAACCCGCTGAATCTGCAGCAGCCAGCAGGCATTCAAAAATAAAATGGCAGCAAATTAATTAAACAAACTACTACCATACCATACATTATAACCTTTATACGGTATAATTATAATATTAAACCATAAACTCTAAAATATTAATAAATATATATATATATTTAGATATATATAGGTAGACCGATCAGTACAGTGTACCTATATAAAGAAATATATATACAGATATAACTATATAAAGAAATTTAAATATAGATAAATCATTAAATCTATATATATATATATATATATATATATATATATGCATTTCTTTATATACAGTATGTACAGTACAATACACTGTACCTGCTCGGTCTGCGTAATTATCAACTCGCTGCGTAACTGCGTAATTATCTACTGGTAGCGTATATATATGTAGCGCTGTCAAGCGAGCTTGCCTGTTGAGGAAGCAGCGGATGGAGTGCCATTCCCGAGGGTAGGCCAGCGTGTGGCACCAGCGCGTGTGCACCGCCGCCACATGGGCGTGCACCTGCACGGTGGCCGGGGGAAAGCAGCGGTCCATGGCCCACGCGAACCGGCGTCGGATGCGCTGCCAGTCGTCCCGCCGCCAGTCATAGATTAGTCGCGGTATGTACATGGGCGTCCCGTCCACCACGGAGGGCGGCGCTGCACGTGGATGGAAGTAGTTGATGCACCGCCGCTCCGCCGATGGTAAGAGATGAAAGTCCTGCGTTTCCTGAAACATCTCGTTATAAAGGTCATCGCGCAGCTCCCATCCCTCGATGATCAGGCGCTGGCAGTGCCGCTGGAAGTCCTCCAGTAATTCGGGCATCATCCTGCCGCTCTCGCAGAAGGATTTCAGCACGAGGAAGCGCAGCTGGATCCGTGCGGCTTTCACTATGTTCATCACAGAGAACGCCATGTGCCGGTTGAATTGCTGCGCCTGCCAGTCGTGGGCGCGGCCGACGATGGTGATGCTGCGCGTGGCGGAAGTGATGGTCCGGCTGAGCACCATGGCTAAGCGGTAGCAGCTATGCTCACCGCACTTGTGTGCGCGGCAGAGGGTGCTTTGGAAATGTTCGCTTAAGACACGGATGTGCTGCGTCGTGCGCCGATCGCCCAGGATCATTTGCCACAACGCACACACTCTGCATAATAAACAGCACTTACAACATCTAAGAGCCTTTTTGCAAGTTCTCGCATGTTCCGCTAATACTGAACTGAATTTCGGCATACGGTAATACGGTATTTCAAAAAAAGTTTGCCGTATGCCGAAATTACAGTACCAGTAATAGCTATAAATATTTAAATAGTGGTAGAAGTTAGAACGCTGTACAAGAACGCTACAATTTTTTACTACGATACTACTACTAGTTACTACTGTAGCAATCTATCAGTAGTACGTACTTACATACGTGCTATTACTACAGTACGATACAGTACTACTGCTGAATAGTCATGTATAAAAGCATAATAGCTGAGCGGAAATGAAGTTAAGAATTTGTGCTAACCGATACTCTTGCTTTACATGGTTCGATACGCATTGATCACCATTAAAGGTCATTTTTTTATTAATAATTATTCATATTATAATTATACTGCAGTACATATATATCCGGAATCTGCTAGTGCCTACCGTATGGCTTGTGCCTGCGTGTACAAATCCAAACCGTCCAGCATCTCGGTCAAGATTATGAGTGGCAGATGGCGTATCTGTATGGATAGACCAGCAGCAGTGCCAGTTGTGCCGGCCATATCAGTGCTACTTCTTTTGCCGTTGTTACTCGTACTTCCGCTTGCGATACTAATTGTACCGATGCAGCTGCCGCGCGTATTTGTACATCCTGCAGATTACCGAGCGGACGATCAGTATATTCACGATCAGTTACGGTATTGTATACTATATCTGTATATATGTGCACAACGTCACCTAAACTTTTAACAGACATTGACGAGCACCTTTTAATGAGACACAGCCACATGATATACATAGTACATATAAATTTATAAGTACTGTATATGGATACATAATTATGACATATTTATATATCACACATATATAATATACATGTAGTCAGTAAATTTCCAACGCACCCGTGACTGCGAGGTGGTGAGAAGTGTGGTCTGTAACGGTATGACCGGACATATCTAACCGA